CTTTTAAATTGAGGACGATTGATACCGCACATTTTGATGCTGTTGGGAAGTAAATTCCATTCATGAATTCCGGTATAAAAAATGTATTGCACTCTGTAAATTTTATTCTTGGAACAACAAAATTGTTGAGGTGGTGAAACTACCCCTGGTGGAATAATTATGCATATCTGAAACCTTCCTAAATTTATGACAGAGGTAGTCTGGTGCCATTTCATGAAAATTATTTGATAAACATGATTCAGCTTGAGTTGTGTAACACGGTCATTGACGCTTAGCATGCCCAGCTTGTTCAGTTCTGTTTGACCAATATGTGATCTAGAATCCATGTTTACAATTAAACCGGTCCAATTTATTTTCAATTTTTGGGTAACTTGGAGCCTTTTCTTCAATTTTACCGACAACGCAGAGTACAATAGTCAAAATGACATTGTATCAGACAGATATATACTGCAGAGCATGCAGAAGAGAGTCTTTTGCGGGATCTCTCATTCAAAAGTTAGCAAGTCTGTAAAGAAATTGCAATCTAGCACCGGCGGCTCTTTTTATAACAAACAATCTTTCCATTACAGCATACTTCAAATGCACGTTCTTTTGCAATGGAAAAAAACTGTTTTTAAAAAAACGCCTCCGTTTTGGTGCTTTCTCAGCGACTTTGTACGGGGTCCTTTGTATGTAGGCAGAAAAATCACTGTTTTCGCGGTTCACGATCGCCTGTTTGACAGCGCTGATTTCCCATTCAACCCAGTACAAATGAACCGTAATCCTCACTAACCTCAGCGAACGCAGTTTTAGGTGATTTTGTAGCCCAAACGGTTTGCGTCTCTCACATTAGAAAACTACACGATCGCCTCTGCGTAAACCGCACCAAATATCGGGCCATATCGGTGTTTCTGTAACCACTGCGCCGATGTCGGTCCCACATGGTGCCCACGTTGGACCCATATTTACAGACAAATTCGGAAACTCGTAAATGGATTTTTTTGTGGAATCTTGCTGCACACATAAAGAAATACCATGATGGATACAGCGAATTGGAACAAAATGTTGACGGATCCTACTCGTACAAAACACACAGAGCGTGAACCTTGCAAGTGAACACTTTTGTGCATGTCCACGCAGCAGAATTCCGTACTAACTGGCCTTCCAGAAATATCAGCATTGTGCCAGTTTCACCGGCCTACTGGCACACCGCGCGGTTTTCACGTCCGCCCCATTGAATAACGCACCGTCAGTGGTCCACACACACTGCACCGCATCAGCTCCTCAGTGAACGCGGTTTGAGGTGATTTTGTGGCCCGTGCGGTGCAGTCCCCTCGCGTTAGAAAGCTGCACGATCGCCTCGGAGTGCGCCTCCCCAAATATCCGGCCATTATAGCGTTTCCATGCTGTTCCAAATTCAGTGGCCACTTCTCGTTTGTTTCAACGTGAAAAGATGAAACGCGATTTTGGAACAGTGATTCCGATAAATGGGCAGAATTACCCACAAAATAACTGCGAAGTCTGTGCAATCCGTGTGGTGCAATCCGTGTGGTGTGGTTTGTACAGTGTGCGTGGTTTACGCTGTTGCCTTCCAGAAAAATCAGCATTTTAGCGGTTCATTGATCGTGTGGCGCATCGCGTTGTGTTTCAGTGTGTCTCGTTGAAGTTGAACTGTCGACGGCTCGACAAGTACCGCCACAATCAACTCCTCAGAGAACGCGGTTTGAAGGGATTTTGTGGCCGATGCGGTGTTGCCCCCTCTCATTAGAAAACTGCACGGTTTCCTCGTCGTACTCCTCACTAAATATCGGGCCATATCAGTGTTTTCTGTACCGCTGCGCCGACGTCGGGCCGACGTTGGGCCGACGTTGGCCCAACCTTCATGGAGCAATTCGGAAACTTATGAATGAACAAATTTGTAATCCTTCCAGTGCTGCACAAGGCAAGCGACAATACCACACCAAATATCTGGTTATATCGGTGTTTCTGTACCGCTGCGCCAATATCGGGCCAACGTCGGGCCGACGTTGGACCGACGTCAAAATAGCCTCATTGAGAAATTCGGAAACTTGAAAATGGAATCATTTGTAAGCATTCCTATTACTGCACAAGACACGTGACTAATTGGCATGATAGAAACAGTGATTCGGAGTAAATTGGCAGTTTGAGCTTAAACAAAATACACACAGCGTGAACCTTGTAAATGGACATTTTTGTGCATGTTACGCGCTGCATCATCATGCATTATTTGCCTTCTAGAAAAATCAGTATTTAGGTGGTCTTTGGTGGTGTGGAAAAACCGCGTTGTGGGCTCAGTGTGTCGCGTTGAAAATGAACCGTCCACGGCTCCGCATGGATCGCCACATCAGCTCCTCAATGAACGCGGTTTGAGGGGGATTATGTGGCCCATGCGGTGTTGCCCCCTCACATTAGAAAACTGCACGGTCGCCTCGGAGTACAACTCACCAAATATCGGGCCATATTGTTTCTGTACCTCTGTGCCGACGTTGGGCAAACGTCAAAAAAAGAGTTAGCTTCATGCATTGGGAAATTGGAAACACGGTAATCCTTCCAATGCTGCACAACATAAGCGAATTAACTGCACCAAATATCGCGCCATATCAGTGTTTTTGTACCGCTGATCTTCGAAATCGGTCCTTTTTTGCTTACGACTAGCATGTGCGGCACAAATATATAGCCAAATGTCTTTGATTTTTCATTCTTTCTATTCACTGACGTTAACCAAAACCCAACAAAGTAGTCAAAGTAAGCGCAAGAAATATCGTTTTGGGAAAGCGCTGTGTTTTTATTCTGGTTATTACTAAAAAGGAAAGTGATCTGAACTTTTTTCAATGTACACGGGGAAAGTACATTGGGAATGCAAACAAAATAAATTCTTTTATTTATCTTCCCAAACGTGCGAAAGTTCATGTTTCGGTATCCATGTTGGTGCAAACTGTAAATGTAGAGGATGTGCGTGTATCGCTGTTTTGGCAATGAATGATTATCGCTAGCGCTCCGTGCAAATTATTCCCCGCCATCGTCTAGGAAACTCAGTAATGAACCTCTCAGTTACTAAGTTACATGATAACATCTTTTGCCTTCCTGCGATTCTTCGCACCTGTGACGACTATCAGTTAATTAAGAACACTTGTCTATTTGTTTAGGGGTGACAACGGGATGTACACGGCAATGTTCTGTGAGGTTCTATAGCTCCATGGTGGTACAATGTATGTCGTATGAAAGGAAATATACATTTGCTTTTGCTGTGATTTTCTGAAATGGATGTATTTGGGTAGTTGGTATTAATAGCAAATTATTTGTTGTTACACCGACACGTTTAAAGTTTTGTGTTCATAGATGCTAGGAAAAAACTCTACCTCAGACGATACGGAGCAATTATTAAATAGACGTCGGGGAATTGTCAGTCAAAGAACCAGACTATCTGGCTTGCACCCGTTTACGGACGATTGCCAACAAAATGTGGGCTAAACTAACTATGCATGGTACATTGGGGGCAGAATTTGAGAAAAGTCCGTTTTTTCCCCAACGATGGTCAGCCGACCATCGTTGGAAATTGATACAAAAATCCCCCTTTTCTTGAAAATGACAGAACACCAGGTGCCGGCCCTAATTTCACAGGATGCTTGAGACTATTATTCACTTATACAGTAAGTAAGGTATTATGATTTGGTTAGTTTGGTGATGTTTGCAAATGTTGCATATTTATACCTTGAACTCCATGCGTGGAATCACCATATTGAAATGACAAGATAAGGCATCTTAGTAAAGCTGGTCCCAGAGCGCACAAGGGTTTAACCAGCAAAAACGACTAGACTATTATCATGTTGCGGCCATTTGAATTTGTCCCATTCAACCCAACGTAACCAAAGCGAGGCTGGAAGGAAAACAAAGTCTTGTTCCTTTTTGCGCAAAAAACATTATCATTCAGTGCTGTTATTGGATATAGGGAACATGACTGAAATGGTGGCAGCAGATAAAGGTCTATAAGTACTCCACCGCGTTTTTGGTGGGCAAGTGGCTGACGTTGCCAGTGTCCCTGTTTTAACTCAACCATGCCAAGGATCTATCAATCGGAACGACTTTAAACAAGCGATTACATTTTGACCGATGGCGCTTGACAAAAACCACCCCCTGAGCAATGTTGTTTCTTGCACGCAGGAAATTGAGGTAGGCAACAAGTTAGATCGTATTTAATTTAAAAAAAGACGAAGAGGGAAGAGGTACGGTACGAAGAAAGGATGTAGATGACGATACACACTGAACTACACAAGCCTCAGACACAGAGGCGCCTGCACACAAGACTATATGCAGTTCTCCTGACAGAAACACTGCTTCTCACTGCTTTCATTTAATTTTTAACCAGGATTGCTCCAAATAAAGGACCGTCGTCAGTCTTTCAGCTTTGATCATTCTTCATTTTGTAACTCGCACCATCGCACGTCTCTTTGAATAATGAACAAGATATACCGCGATAGAAAGGATGTATGTTTACTTTATGGGGCACGAGATAAATTCCTTCCCGAATTTATGACTTTCTTCAGCAAACTGGTGGGAACCACTCGATTCGTATCACACCATAGTCTACAATACATGGTTTTATTCGCGGGTAATCGATCCCAGTTTCAGATCTACTTGATTAAACGTGGTTCATAAACATAATACTGCATCGAAATTGCGCGGACAATTCCGGATATTTCTGTGCACTGGATTTGTTCCGGTGCGTGTGGAGGAAGAAAAGTAATTTTAAAATGTGACTTTTCAGCGCAGTTTGACTTAAATACCTTCATCGAACGCACGCTAGTCGATGATGACTATATTGGGACCAGCTGCTGCTTATTTGGTTTGGTTGCATCGCTGGTTGTTGATGGCCGTGCATTCATAGTGTACAGCTTGCAGGGGGCCAGGAGCATAAGGATTAAGATCGGACGTCGACCACAGTTCAATATAGTATTCGAGCTTTTATATAGTAGCGCGCAAGCGCAACGTACGTCACGAATAGATCATGAGTCAACCAAACGTGTGATCCACGATTTTACTTCCTCTGGTTGGACTTCATTTCTGTTTTGAGAACACTGTGTCTGTTCACGCCACACTAACAAGAAATCGGCACATATTAATCACACAAGACGGAGGAGTATCTCCATGATCTCTGTTCTTGAATCTTAAAAAAAGTCACGCAGACGCATGGGTGAGATTGTTAATTTCACAACTACTGAATCATTATTGAATGTCATGACATGCCAAAGCACGGAACCAATCGTCAACGCCACCGCGGCTTGGCCGTCGGTTGCCGGGGAGGAACAGCCGCTCGGCACGGTCCAAATCGCCATCGCCGTGACGAGTTGCCTCATTTGCTCCATCACCGTGCTGGGCAACCTGGTAGTCTTGGGCGCCTTCTGCACCGACCGTCGGCTCCGCACCTACACCAACTACTACATCGTGGGGCTCTCCGTCTCAGACCTCGTCGCAGGTCTCATTACAATGCCTCTGTACACCGTTTACTGGGTGCTGGGTCGCTGGCCCTTCGGTCCTGCCGTTTGCGACACCTATTTGTACCTCAACCACGTCTTCATCCACATCTCCGTCTTAGGAATCTTGGTCCTCGCTGCCGACCGGTACCAGGCTGTCTACCATCCGTTCAAGCACCTTCGTAGGCGCACGTTGCGTCACGCTACCTTCATGATCTCAATCTCCTACGTCATTCCCTTCCTCATATGGCTTCCCTGGTGCCTTCTCTGGCCGTACATCGTCGGTGCCCGTCGGATCAGGCCCGGCTTCTGCTACCCCCAGTACGTGGAAAGTCTCGTCTTCTCCATATTAGCACCCATTTGTTTCTTCTGGATACCCGTGCCGATCACCTCGGTGCTCTACTTGCGGATCTACCGCGTCATCCGCAAGTCTAAGCAACAAAGGCCAGTGAGGATGACCAACCTAGGCACCAGTTGCTCCACCCAAGATCCAGCCAGCGGATACAGCATTCCAACCGCCGATCAGCAGCCTCCGAAGAACCCAGCAGTCCTAGACATCCACTCTACAGCAGCTCCTCTCTCAGCCGCCAATTACAACCACACAACCGAGCTCCCTTCTTGGCACGAAAACCCAAGTTTTGAAGCCGACGTACAGCTCAACAACCACACCGTACCATCATTGTCCCGCATTGAGAAATACCCTGTAAACAGACCCACAACAGGCCAAGCTAGTGATGGAGGGCCAGGCTCTACGACTACGACCAAGCCGACCGAGCACGAGCGGGACTTTAGTACCCGGGAAAGCCACCGAGCGATCCGCACTCTTACGCTCATCCTTGTCGCTCTGCTCGTCTCGTCCGTCCCTTGGTCCGTACTTGTCATAATCTACTCTGTCTGCCCAAGCTGTATCCCTCTTGTTCTCTACCAGGTAGGTGTTTACAGACAAAATTTCGCAAGAACGGAACTTTAGGATTTGCAATTATTACTTAAAAAAAGTAACTTCTATTCATTTTGGCTGCTTTCTCCACGAACATTTAAAGAAGTTCAGATCACTTTCCTTTTAATAACCAGAATATACGAGATGCCCAAATGACCTCTTTTTCTTTGTATGTTGGCCTTAAAAACAAAAGAACTGAACACAAAACTTGTAACCCAACCCAACAAAATGAGTCACAAGTTGCCAGAGCTGCGTTCCTTTGATTCATTCGCTTTTCAAAGAATCTAACCTGATATGGAAGTCAATAGGAATTGATTGACTTGTTCATCATGAAAATATCTGAATACATCGAGATTTCAAACTGAGGAATACAGGGTGAGTAAAAAAAATGAAACTCAAATGTTGGGACCATTGTTTTAGAGAAGTTCTGCATGTAGCATTTTTAAAATCTATGATATGAAAGCCCAATTCATAAGCTTTCTTTTAGTACAAGAATCATTCAAATCACTCATGTACTTTTCGAAAGGAAATCACATAGGGGTGTGTGTGAATTGTTTTCGTTTTGCTGAAAGAACGCACACCTTTTTTTGTGATCCGTGGACAGAACCTTAAAACGGTGGTTGTGTTTAAAATTCCGAAACTTGAAAAGTACATAAGTTATTTGAATGATTCTTGTACTAAAAGAAAGCTTATGAATTGGGCTTTCATATCCTAGATTTTGACAGTGCTCCATGCAGAACTTCAATAAAACAATAGTCCCGACATTTGGGGGTTTTTTGGTTTTTTTTGCTCACCCTGTATTATAAACTGAAGAGCAAACTTGTTTAACATCAAAATATCTGAATACATCAATATTTCAAACTGAGGAATATATTAAACTAAAGAACAGATTATGCTCTCCCTATTGAATGTGAACAACTAATAAGTGAGAAATTGTCATTAGGACTCATTTTGTGGGATTCGGTCACAATTGAGTTTCATATAGCATGAAAGACCTAGTGGCTACCAAAGCTGTTTTTTTGCTCCATGTCATTTCGGTAACATTAACAGTTTTTGATAAATTACAAAGTTCAAATGAAACAAATCCGCTTATCCGTGTGTATTTGCACAACTCGCTCGTTCAGTCTAACACAAATCGATATAGCACGTTTTGTATTTTCAACAGGATCAATTTTTCCAGTAAAAATTGATTTTAGAACGTGTTAAAATAGACAGGAATCACGCATTACATGTAATATCCAATTTAATCAAGTTAATAGCAGACTATTCCGCAGACAGATGGTAAGTGTTGCACTTCTTGATATTTTAAAGGGACGTTGCACTTAACAATGTCCTGTGCTGTTACCTTGTTACCTGTTGGTTGGTGCTATGATTCACTTTCAGGCTTCCCCTTTAACCCTTAAAGGGCCAGGGGCGGAATCCGTCCCCTCAACTTTTTCTGCGATACCCTTGTAACAATTATTTTTCCCGACCCGAGCTTCCTGACATTTCTGACCATGGGTTGCCGCGCATGCGCAGCGAGTTTTTTTCGCTGCGCACCATGAAAACTGAATCTCCCCATTATGTAGTGTACACAAAGCAGAATTACCATTGGTACATATGATTAGTTAATTAGCCATAATTCCTAAACCTTTAACCTATAGTCATGACATTTCTTGCGTATGTTCATATTAAGTTGTTCTATGCATGCACCGAGTTTCATAATTTTTCGTCACTCGATGGCCGAGATCTGAGGGAGGGGGGGGGGGGGCGGAATCCGCCCCCGGCTGTGAGATGATCAAAATAACGCAGCCCCTTTGGGGTTAAATTCTAGAAAGTAACAGTTAAAATGTGAACCGAATTTTTTACTAGCTTATGGCTTTTGGGAAAAAACCTCCAGATTTATTATTATCCACGTCAAAACTAAAACAATTCCAGCAAACTTCTGCCCAAAGTTGTAAAGCTGAGGCCACTTAGGTGGCGTCACTTGCTCATGAATATTCAAAATTCGCATTAATAGTAATAATAACGGAGTCTTATATAGCGCACGTATCTAGGTACTCAAGGCGCTGGAAATTATGTCTCTTATTAAAGTAAGGTAAATAAAGTATATGAGAAATATGAGACCCATTATGTAGCACCTTATAATGGTTGACAAGGTGCTGCGGCTCATATTGCAGCCACTGCCAGAAACACCGGGGCAAACCCCATTAGCACAAAACACGGCCAGAAACATCCTTGAAAATGACAAAATAAAGACTGCACGTGAAGATTATTAAAGGCTTGGCGACAGAAATTTTTGTTTTGAAACAAATATTTGTTTTGAAATGCACCTGTGGGTCTGGTTTATCTTCACGTGCAGTCTCATTGTTTCAAAACATATATTTCTGTTGCCAATCATTTAATAAACAACTCTTTCATTTGACGTCATTAGTCGACCTCGATTAACGGGATGTTCCCCTCGACTTTAGAGATGGGCGGTTTAATTGATTCCACACAAGTTCAAAGTAAACGTAGGGCCTACAGGTAAATTCCCTTTCCAACCCGACACTTCATAGACGAGACAAACACTTCACAGATATCCGCATCGGATGAGGATGACGGTGCCTCCCAACCTCGTCCCCAGGGTGTCGAGCAGTACGCGCCCACCACTATCTGCTCTCTCACCCTGGTATTGGATCATTTGCATGTGCAAAGTTTTTGCACACGTATGCAAATGAGGAATAGTCTGGTGCCTGCCTGTACATTACATAAGCGTTTGTTTTTGTATACGGTGTCTGGGGTAAAAGCACAATCAACTCGTCGCGCCGTGAGTTACAAATAAACGATTGTTTTCGAAGTTAAAATGTTACAATCTTATCCCGCCAATATGTAATATCACATGTCATATTAATATGAGCAAATTGGAAAGGAAAAGAGTATTTTTGAGAAGGCGTGGACGTTATAATTACCATGATCGTGAAAACACGTAATGCACGTTGGAAATAACAACACTAACTACACGATATAAATCCATTAGTTGCGGTATCGAATCTTGCGGGATACAGAAAGAAAGTTTGCTATCCAGGGCTTACTATTGGAGGAACCAGACTGTTTTTCCTTCCAGCCTCGCTTTGGTTACATTGATCTGAATGGGAAAAAAATAAAATGGTTGCAACATGATAATGGTCTATAACTTTGGATCATTCGAAATTCGCAGTGGGTGGACCGGGTCTAATGGAGATCAATGGTCTCCCCCAACCTCGTTCTCATGGGTACGAGATCTTGCTGCGCCATGTTGTTTCCCATCATGCCTTGCGCAATCTCATTTAGTGAATGTACGCGCACGCGCCCATGGAGTCGAGGATGGGTCTCCCCCAACTCTCCGTTGAATGAAACATTCCACCTCGCCTCGTTGAATGAAACATTCCACCTTTCAACTCATGAAATATTCTCACCATTGCACTCATAGTCATTCATTATTTGTATACTAATTCTGGTCGCCCGATTCCACTCCAATAGTATAACCTACAAAGCACCGAAGTACTGTGTGATGCGCGCCTACGCTGAGCGACTACATTCGCTGAATGCAATTCGCAAACAGACAACGCAAGAACGCTCTTCCCTTGATAAGTGTAATTAATATCTCGCACCTGACAGCTAAGTCAATTTCCCCTGCAAATGAGTCTTTTGATTTTCCCCGTGCACCCTTTGTGGGTTGACGGATGGTGCTTGAAAAACTTATGTAAACACACCCTGGAATTAACCAACACGTACACGTAAAACCCATGACCGTAAGGACAGATGTGACTCTATGGTGACTCTGACGACGGAAAGTGTTACCAAGCTATAGTACGATTTGGGAATTGCTACCCGAAAAAGGTCTTGAACATTACCATGGAAAGCAAAAATCAGACAGTGCTCTTAAAGAAATAACGATGACAATTTTTCCAATGCAGTACAACGCCCCTCGGTCATTTACAGTGCACAGTGAATCTGTTGAATAGATATGGCTTCCGTGCGCCGACTAAAGAGGGCGCCCTTTTACCTAGCAACGACGTCCCATGGGCGCACATTTCGCTGGTTAACGCGCACCGTTCCTTGTGTGTGACCATATGGAGATCAATGTGTGTGACGCAGGGATTTGTACTATGTACACGCAGTGGCCGCGCTTCAATTCGCGTCAAATGAATTGCAGTCAGGCAAGATGGCGTCGGACGGTTACCCCAACTGTACTTTCTTTGCCGGTGAGAGGGTACTTGTGAACGGAGCGGATATGCTACCAACTAACTAAATTATGTTTTGGGGAATCGCTGCTGGAAGATTGTTGCACATTATCATGGAAAGCACAGGTCGTAAACTTCTCTCAGAGAAGTACCGATTGAAATTTACCCATTGCAGTTTATCGACCTCTCGGACATTGTATTTTAAGCGCCAGTAAGGGGGCGTTAATGGACATTACAATAGCAAACATAGACCGATGACTTCGATTTCCTATAGCAAACGGCCTATAATATGAAAGTAATACCTTTTATACAGGGTGACCAAAAAAAAACCGCAACTCTGAAACATTTGCCTTTTTTCCAAAAATATTGGGTATCAGATTAAAGCTGAGAGGTTTTTTCTTTCAAATACTGAAATCATGTAAACAGCACATTAGGTTGTTGAGAAAATGCCAATTATGTAACACAACACCTTTTTGGCGCATTCCAATGGCATTACCACAGTTAAGGGATTTACCCTGTACCTATTTGTACATGAAATGCATGTAGCGCATTGTGTCATAATCCTTACAAGCAACACGGCACATAATATGAAAAGATTACAAATGAATTGATGGAAATACCTTTTATTTCCACCTGAACAGGTATCTTGCCCTTTTAAGTCCTATTTAAAACCTTTTCATCATCAAACAAAATATTAATGAAATTGCACAATGAAAGATGTACTAAAATTAATGTTTCTGTGGCACGGTCTAAGATGCTTTCACTATGTCAAGTGTTATGTAACAATTATACACACCTTATCAGACTTAGTCTTTTCACACTTATGTAAGTGACACTTTGAATTGTGACCCTGTCAAGTTAGCAAGACCTAGATTTAGAGAATACAATATCCAAGTAATTTTTCATCAGAAGTAAATGTATTTAATTGCACATAACGCTTACAGTAACATGTTTCACTGTTTGAAGCACCAATAAAAAGGATGAAAAACCACTTCTTTTGTATAATTGGCATTTTCTCAACAACCCAATGTGCTGTTTTCATTATTTTTTTTCCAGTATTTGAAAGAAACAAACTCTCGGCTTTTATTTGATATCCAAAAAATGAAAATTCACAAATCACGTTTTTGAAAATTTTTGTTAGGGTTGCCTATTTGGAGTCACCCTATATTGAAGGGAATTTTCATCCTTTGCTTTTGCTGTAATTTTCAGAAATGGATGGAATTGGGGGGTTGGAAATATATAGCAAATATAGTTACACTGACTTTTTTGAGGTTTTGGGTTCGAAAATGCTATAAAAACCAAGAAAAACAATCATTTTCCTGTAGTCTGGTTCCCCGACTCCATTTTAGAAGAAACAGAGCAGTTTACATACATTGGGGAATTGTAAGGTCAGGGAACCAGTCTAGCTGGCTTGTACCCGTTCATATGTGTGTAATCGATTGCAAACAAGTGCGATGGTCAACTGGGGCCAGTATTTGAAAAAAACCCAGTTTTTTCCAACGCTGGTCGGCCGATCAGCGTTGGAAATTGATACAAAAATACCACTTTTCTTGAAAATGACAGTTTACCAGGTGCCATGATTTTACAGGATGCTTTACACTGTCATTCACTATTAAACAGTCCAGCAAGGTATTTCAAAATGATTTGGTAGTTTTATTTTTTGATGTTTGCAAATGTTGTATTTTCCCTTTAAATTGTCATAACTCGTAGGCCTAAGTACCTTTTTCCGTGAAGACAAAGCGTTAGATCAGCCGTTCGTGCCGACCTTTGCAAATCGTATAGCAAACCAATCCTCACCTTTACACCGTCCAAGAATAAGTTGTATTAGGTTTTATGCATTGATTCTGCTTCTACATTCAACCCCACAATCAATGCTGTAGACACGATTCTGAGTCAGTGTAGCGCACCACTTTATTTAACGAACGTGACAGGGTAGGCTGTTTGGAGTAGAGAATGTTTGGGCATAAGATTAATTAAAGTATAGCATTCCACCAAACTGTTTCAAACCAAGCTGTATGCCTATCCGCATTGATCACATTCATCAGTGCACGTATAGGCCTAGGCCTATAAACACAACATGATGAGATAAATGTACCGCTACAGTTTTGGTGTTTTATACTTTAAAAAAAAAACAACTCACTTAACACTTTCATGATTTTATTTTGTTTGTCCCAGACGGGGTAAGCCTAGTGTCCCCTTTGCACCTGACTGACTGACCAATTGATTCTCATTTATGAATTAGACCCTTAAAGGGGCATTACAGCCTGAAATCCCCGAAAATCTTAGTTTTGGATTGTTTACTTATACTATTTGAAAGGTCTAGTTGAAAGGAAACTAACCTAATGTCTTACCGTTCCCGAGAAAAGACGGAAAAAAATACGGTTGTTTACATCGAACACGACGGAGTACGCACGTGTTTCCTGTTTATTTTCATCCAATGTACGTACGATACACGTTGTGTGTGTCACATGCATAAATTACACACAGCACCAATACACAAATGTTGTTTCTTAGTACACGTCCGCAAAAGGCGACCAGTGCGCGGCTGGAGTCACAACAAGCACTGAACAGCTCGATTTTTTGGGACACAATATTATTGTGACTGACTGTCACTTGTGAATTAGGGTCATCTATCTGACTTCACGTTTTAATTAGACTGGTGACCTATCTCACTGAGTGACTGTCACCTGTGAATTAGACCGGTTACCTATCTCACTGAGTGACTGTCACGTATGAATTAGTCTGGTTACCTATGTCACTGACTGACTGTCATGAGTTAGACTGGGCACTATCTCATTAACTTCCCGTTTTAATTAAACTGGTAACCTATCTTACTGACTGACTGACTGTCACTAGTGATTTAGACTTCTTTCAGTCTCTCACTGACATACTGCCATATAGTCAATAATTCAAGTGGCCGTCCGTGCGCCGACAATGGACTTGTCATAATCATCAAGTTACCACAACGGTACTGCTTCTACAAACTCTATAATTCATTCTGAATAATTTAAATAGAATTTTGATCGCTGTTAGACCAGTTTTTCTTGGCTTACCTTGTATTGTTTTACTTTTCTCATCAGACCAGCGTGTACTTGGCACACATGAACAGCACCGTGAATCCGTTTTGCTATGCCGTGGCTAACCCGCTCTACCTGGACGCCCTCAAGAGGCTGGGCTTGTGCTGGAGACGGACCACAGTACCAACAAGGGCCGGCCGATCGTCAAGCCGACCGCGCACCATTAGCGTGCAAAACACCATGTTGTAGATAAGAACTGTGGAGCCAATGATTTTCTTCTAAAGGGAAGTTTTTAATTGATTTGTATCGCTACGGTTATATTTAACAATTGTTGACTGCTGTGATGTGGGATATGACGTTTTGAACACCCTTGGGGCGCATAACACCCGAGGCGAAGGATGTTGATGTAAAAATCACGAAAACAAACAGCAGTAAACACAACAGTCATGACAATTGAACCTCAACTCACATGCATGTCGCGTGCTCAAAACAGCTGATCGTCTGCTAGTTCGCTGCTCCCACACATGTGTAAAAACATGTTGAAAATAGCGTGGGTACCAACGATACAAGCGTTTCACACCGTACGTACCGTACCGTAGTACCGTACCGTACGTACGTGATATCCCACAGGGAAGGTGCCATGACTTTTTATAAACTTAACACGTGATCGTTCTGGGCCAATGAAAAAAAAAAGCAGTGTTCAAGACAGAGGTATGACAACACTGTTAGATAAGAGACCAGCATGTTGCCTGCCTATCCAGCTGTTCTTAGTCGTTATTGGACATTGAAAACACTGCTTTAAACGTTACAGACATTGGCAATTTGCGGAGCCTATAGTTTCGTAATCAGTCACTCCGTAGTCTTGTTTCCTCCTGGAACTTTTCAAGAATCGAGAGGATGATAATGAATCGATAATGATATTGAAAATGTGATGCTTATGACTTGCGCGTTACACCAAAGTCTTACAGCGCTACCCGTCTATCAGGACAGGAGACATTATCTGCAGCAGCTCCATATCAGCGCAGTACGGTCTGAATACAGTGTGTATAAAAAGAAAATAAAACAAAAAAATATTACAAATACTAGCTCCTATTTTGTTTAATAATAACTTGTATACGCTTAAGCCCCCCCCCCCCCAAAAAAGGTCTCCGGTTTCTGGTATGCGCGCGCATCGCCATAGCCATGCGCGTCGGCAAAATTTAACAAAAATAATTTCAATGTAAGATGATGTCTCAAAACCGCCTAACTCACTGGTTTGACTGGAGAGCTGCTGCTGCACAATTTTAACGTGTTTTTAGATTGGGTTACGATCGAGTTAAGGCTTTATGTGGCCCCTCTGGGCTCCCATATATTTTGCACTTAATTAAGTCGGGCACCATTTGCAGACGGCGGCTGCAATTTTGTAATTGTGCGACGGTGGAAGCCAGACTGAGGGATCGATGGTTGTGCATCTTGAACCTGTAAACGCTGTTTAATTATGTATGTATAAGGGAGCAAAATACTAACGGGTTTGCAGAAGAAAAAAACTATTGTAACCGAAAGGGAAAGCGGCACCGGGGAGGGTCGCGTGCTGGAGAACAGATGCAAAAAAAACGCACCAAACGTGACAAACGCAATGCCGTTTACGCGCACAATGCGCTGTGCATCGGCACCCATGGTCTACATGTGGATTGGGTTTTCAGTGATACATGAAAAGACTTCCAGTGAACAGCCATCTTGAATCAAATGAATGTAAGTGTGTGTTCTCTGGGACCAGCTTTATTGGCTTTTCTTATCTTGGTTGTATTTAATCATGATTTATTATTTATATATGATGAAAAGTGGCGTCAGCTTGCTACATTCTGCCCCTTGCACTTTATACTTCTCTTTTAACTTCGAACACACTTGGGAATCTCTGTGCGTGTTTGGAATGTTTGTGTTTCCCTAGCCCTCCCCATATCCAGCGAGCAAACACATTTAAAAAGTTTTGGGACTTGTACCTTCCGACCTTTAGATAACGATATCAGCGCAGCCGTGACAGGTACGGGTACAATTGCCTCACTGGTACGATTGTCTGGCCTTTTGTTGTCTGGCTTTTTGTTGGCGCATCTTTCGTGTTTACCCGTCTGGGTAGTAGCAATCAATTGTGACGATAGCATACCACTCCAGTTCGCACGCTAGGCTCGCACGCACCCTGCCTGATATCCAAAGGAACTGGTGAACTGGTGACTTGTTTTCAATTTTGAGATATAAAACAACTGCTGTTTCTATTCTCCGGTACATTTACACTGTATATCAAGTTAGGAACTTGTACCTTTCCATGACAGATCGTGACTAGGTGCATCTACTAGCTGTAAGCCTAAATATGGAAGGAGCAACCCATAGGGTCCCATTTGCAGGGGGGGGGGGGGGCAAGTGGGGCCTTTTATTTAATATGCTCAATATGTATTTTCCTTAAACCTTAGGAATACACGCCTGGAGGCAAGGGGCGTGGCCTTGCGCCGCGTGCCGCCTCCCACATGGTAACACGACTGCTAATAATTTTTTTTGACGACCTGTTTTTACCAGAAATCACAATGGAGATTCTCTCGGCCTTGACCGTCCTCGATGTTCGGTCGCTTCTCCTCGGGATCGCCGTGTTTCTCGTCGTGTTGCGGTTCCTTCGTCGACCGCGGAATCTGCCTCCCGGGCCCTGGGGCTGGCCCTTCCTGGGAAACCTCCCACAACTGACGTGGTACGGAGGCGAGCTGCACGAGAACATCTCGAAGCTGACTGCCAGGTAGGAAAAAGTTCGAGCAAGGACCATTGGTTGACTAATGCAGCAAGCTAGTTCGACCGACGTCCATCGGCAGTGGTTGATTCTTTACGTAACTAATGTGCCTGCGCGCTAAATAGCAAATGATTAAATCCTCAGTCATTAGCTACGTCAAACATCAAACTTCTCGCTCATTGTGATAATGACTGCCTTGTGCAACTATAATTATGAATTAATGTTTTCTATCCCACTAGATACGGTGATGTTGTAAGCATCAATCTGGCAGGAATACCTGTGGTCGTTCTGCATGGGCATCATACGGTGAAAGAGGCGTTCTCTCGGCAGCAGCTCAGCGACAGACCACCCGCTTACACGACTGAGATGGTTGCCCGTGGGAAAGGTAAAATTGAGCTTTGCTCAAAAACAAAAAAATCACGAACAAAATCCACAATCAAAAAAAGAAAAGAGAAAAAAGATGTATAATATGTCAACAAACATCCTTGTTCCCTAGTTGTGGGGACTACACACGATTTGTGCCATGGTTCTATGGGGACTGAAGACACTATGGGGACAGCAGACAGTCCCCATAACTCGTTTCTAATTTACTTAACAATGGAGAAATCCCTATAACGCGGAGAAGATCCGACCCCTCCCCCACACACAAACAATTGTTTATAATTGGGGAACAAGCCCGTTGTTTTTGCCTAGCTCTCTCACGCACTTGTGATAGTACACGATCGAGGTACTGTGATGCACCTTTTTGGGGTAATTTGTTAGAGCCTTCGGACTGTCACCTTTGCAGGTTTCCTTGCATCCTCGGGCGAGAACTGGGTGGAGCTCCGTCGTTTCTCCATGACCGTTCTCAGGAAACTCGGAGTGGGCAAGTCGGCATTCGAGCAGAACATCGTCACAGAAGCCGAGATCTTCATTGAGGAGGTCAAGAGACACGGCGGCAAGGCGTACGACCCGAAGCACGCCCTGGGCAATGCCGTTTCTAACATCATCAGCATGGTGGTGTTCGGCAAACGGTTCCAGTACACCGACCCGGCGTTTAAGCGCCTCCTTCAGGTCCTAAACGATGTCTTTGTGCAGGCTGGGGCAGGGAGCGTGTTCGAATTCTCACCGGTGTTCAACAAGCTGACCATGCTCCCATATTTGCGGACATATGTCGCCAGCTTGAAGAACTTCTACGGTCACATCAACCAACTCTTGAAAGAGCACAGCAAGGAGAAGACTGCCAATCATCATGAAGATTTGGTTGATATTTTTTTGAGTGAGCGGAAAATTAAGGAGCAACAGGGCGTGGAGAATGCAGCTCTGCGACCGGAGAATTTGCAGCACATCGTTGCCGACCTGTTCGGGGCCGGGTCCGAGACCACCGCCACCACTCTCCAATGGGGCATGCTGTATATGATGGCGTACCCTGAGATACAAACCCGGGTCCAGAAGGAACTGGATGACGTCACTGGTCGCAATCGACTGCCCAGAATCGCAGACAAGCCTGACCTACCGTATACGGAAGCAGTGTTGTGTGAGATTCAGCGCATTGGAACCATCACACCGCTGGCTCTGCCTCACCGAAGTACAGAGGATACCATCATCGCCGGGTAAGCGGAGTTGTGGATAGACTCACGCTGTGTATTTTAGTTCAGTTGTTAAACAAAAGGAAATACCTACATAAAAATCTTTGTCATTATTTTTTGCTGGTCCCAGTGTGCCAGCCTTCTTTATGCCTGACTGACTGACTCAGCGATTCACTGATTGACAGTCATTCGTGAGCTGGGCAGTTGTATGGCATAGGTCTACCCAAACAACGCCAATGAAGGGCCTGAATCCGGCCCACTGTGTAGAATGGTATACATGTACATGTACATGTACATGTACATGATCATGCTTTAACTAGGCTTGCCCAATCTTGCTATTACTTCAACAGCTATAATATTCCCAAAGGTACGACCATCATGTGTAACATCTGGCACAACCACTACGACCCACTGGTATGGGAAGAGCCTGAAAAGTTTCGTCCGGAGCGATTCCTTGATGGAGATGGCAAGTTTCGTCCCCGAGAGGAGTTCATGCCATTCGGATCTGGTGAGCAAATAGCCGTAGCGTTAACCACTGTTGTCCAAGCATATTTTGAGCTGCAGTACAATACATTATTTTTTTTCAAATGCTATTTTTCTACCGAAACTTTGTTTTGAAAATTTTGATGAGAAATCACACGAAAGTGATCGGTCGTCGACTTTAGTGATGAAGTAATCATTTTCGAAAACTGAAGTCCAGCATTAATTTCCATTGTCTAGCATTGTCACCCAGGAAGACTGGTTTCCACACAGCAGAATATATGATGTTTGAACCGGAACCAGTCTACTTGACCGCAGGTCTGTTTGTAGTCATTTGCTGTCCTGTTTGCATGTTCAAATCTCCGTAGGTCGCCGCATGTGTCTGGGAGAGCACCTGGCCAAGATGGAGCTCTTCGTCTTCTTCACGTACCTTATGCATCACTTCACGATCAAGAAACCCGACCATGTTCCCGCCGTGTCCTTCGCAGTAGTGAAAAACAGCTCCGTGAGGTCGCTACAGAACTTTGACATCTGTGCCGTTGCCAGGGAATAGGCCATATTTTGGACGAATAGCGGGGAGCTGTAACGACGCAATTTTCTGGGTTCAAACAGTAGAATTAACTTAGCAGTTTGGTGCCTTACTTTAATCTTACAAAATAGAGATAGAAAATAAGTTATTTTGAATCACAACAGCATGTACATTAACGTTGTGACTACCAATAACCTTGAGTTTAGGTCTGTTTCTACTCACACTAGAGCGCCCTCGTTCACTCAGATATGACTTAAAAGTTGTTCAACAAATGAGGGCGCCATTAAACGGCTCCATTTTATGTGCACAAATTTTTGGGAGATCACAATTTTCCAAACTGATAAAGCTGACGTCAATGGCTGATAAATATTCATGTTAGGGTGCGTGATGTGATTTGTGAAAATACGATGTATTCTGCAAAAAAAAATTAAATACGCGGCCAGTAGCCCTTGTTACAGACAGAATTTGACACTGTAACAAGTCTAATTAATTTGCCTTATTAGCATGTGCATAAAGGCACCGCCAGTTTGGTAGCATGAGGCACTGTTTAGTGGGCGTGGTCAGAGCCGTATGTAGAAAGAGTTGCGACAACTTCAGACTGTTGAAACATTACGGCCGTTCATTATTATACGTGTGCACTGATGCATATAATCCGCCATTTCAGTTCCAAACGGCGCGACCCTTATGTTACATTTGTACGGCTCTAGGTCTGGTCAGTTCTTTGGACATATACATGACCATAATGCTCATATGTACGTGTGGCAGGGCAAAATTTTCCTTGTGTATACTATTTTCATAGACTGTATAAAATAGGAGTAGCTCCCTAAGAAACAGAAAATCATTTTAGTTGAAGTTTAGATGTCCCCCTTCCTTTGTTGGTAGTGTGACCCCCTGTTTGTTTATTTTAGCCCACAAGTCCCCCTATATAAAGCTGCCGTCATGCCACATTTAGTTTTAGTTCAGCAGACCAGCAGAGAGACAAGTTATCACAGCCTTTTATTTTCCTCCTACCTGGAGAGTGTTTTCCCTGCTTGGGTTTGTCTGCTAGTCCAGTTATTGGTGAGTTTTCATTACTTTTGTTATTATTGCATAAATCCAGTTTCATATTTGTCGTTAGGATACTCATTTATCCAGTTTCATTATCCTTTTTTAGTTTCTTCGAGATGAAATTTTTGTCTCCCATCTTTTCTCGAAACAGTTTTAACTATAGTCATGTGGTTTTGAAACATTTGATTACTGTTCACTTTTTATTCCATTTTGATTATTCTTTTGGCTCACTCATGGAGGAAGGATTGAAAGTGTTCTTTTCTCTGAAAGTGTTGAAGTTGTGTGATTTGCTAATAAGTTGTGTAATATAAGTTTGTCGAGGTTTTGATAACTTGAGTCTATAGGATTACCTGCATTTAAGTTTCATGTGTTGCATTTTGAGTTTATATTTTCATATTTTTCTAGTTTTTTTTAGCTGCTCTTTTTGACTTTATGTACATGTACAACCTGTACTCATTCATTTAGTATAGACCAAGCATTTGTCCTAAATTTGTTTCTCCCTTCCTAGAAGTGATAGTTTGTTTAGACAGTCCAGAGGATTTGCATACATAATGACCTATTGGACTGTGCAGGATCTTAAAGTTTATAATGTGTTAATCCCTTGTGCACATAGTGTTAATCACTCGTGCGCACAATGACAAAATTGTATTTGGACCCATATGTCGCATAAAAAGGCGAGAGTATACTAATGTACATGGACTTGTAGTTTCATATAGGAGTTTTGTTTTATATGCTGTAAAATGCTGTTGTTAAATTGCCATTTGTTTCTTTCTTATTTTCTTGTGACAGGTTTTTAGTTCATTTCTGTATCTTTAAGAGTCATTTTCCTCTAGTGCTGTATGGGTTTCATTTCATTTTTATTTTTTCATTTTGATTTTAATTTTGGTTTTTTTCCTGTTTGGTTGTTAACTTTTTTTTTGGTCTTGGATTTTGACGCAGATTGAGTTTTTTGGAAAATTAATTGAGAAAAAAGATTTTTTTCTTATTTACGGATAGAAATTGTTTTTTTGGTTTGAAGATCTTCTTTTGAGACAAATGACATGTTTTTGTTTCCTTGATTCATTTTCTTTCTTTTTTGTTCCAGCTTAATAACTAAATTGCGACTAATCATTTGAACCAGGATATTTTCTTTGAGAGATTTTTCTACGCGGATACAATATACGGGGTGGAGTTGAGCGGTGGAGGGTCTAAAGAGGGCGCTAAGAAATGCGGCTAGCAGGGACAATGTGAATTGAATGAGGATCAGGGGTTAAATAAATCGAAGTCCAAAGCTGGTGCCAGGAAGTGGATACGCGGATACGGGGATACAGGGTGGACTTTATTTCTAGCGGAGGAAAATATTTTTGAGAACGAAGCATCCATATCGATGTTGGAAAATAACAAAGGCAGAGACAACGTGAGTTGAATGGGGATCAGGGAAAAAGCCTTAGTCCAAAGTAGGTGCCGGGAAGTGGATACGCGGATACGGGAATACGGGGTGGCACACGCGTGTGGTTTTGGTTGAGAATCCAAGCGTGACTCCGTATCCGCGTATCCGGATACGAGGTGGGATAGTGGCGGGGTATTCTGAAATGCAATTGTGCCTTTTTCTACGCTATACATACCTACGCACCTACCTACATGCATATATTACTTGACAACAGCACTGTATCTTACCATGTTTTATGTGTGACATTCTTTGGGAGCTCAGCAAAAGTAAGTTTACTGACACATTTTTAGTTATTTTATGATTGGGGAAGAATTCCACACTCAAACATCAGTTATCTACACTCAGACGTCAGTTATCTGCCACTATAAACACATCAATGTTTACCCTAGCCCCATAAATGTGGACAATTTACTGGACCACCTCCATAAATAACGGCCACACTTGGAACATGTACAAAAACATGTAGAACTCTGTCAATTTTTGATTTTCACACTTGGGCTTAGTATGTAAGCCTAGTTTATTTTTGCTGTAGAAGCATACTCACCTTGTTTATAGGCTAATCAGAAAGTGCTGCTTTTTCAGATGTCTATATTTAGTGATATGCAAACGTGTGCAAACGAATCTGGAAATTTCACGAAAAATAGACATCTGACATCGGAGGTAGTCCAGTAAATTGGCCACATTTATTGGGCTATGTTCCGGCACCCCACCTTGTGATTTAACCCAAGACGAAACCATGAAGCTTCGCAATGTGAAAACATATGAGCCTTAATGTGAGCCATTTCTTGTTTGTAGGCCGTATTGAAATGTTTGTTATTTATACACGCTACTGATAACGCAAAACTCAACCTTAGGGGCCATTCAGAATTTTCAATGTTTTAAAATTTCGACTTTTTTTCCAAATTATTTTGACCCACCCACCCACCCCTAATTTCGATTAATAAAAAACTGAACATGTACATGTACATGCACTCGCATGTACATGTACTTGAACACCATGTACATTCGTGTCTAGTTCAGTGACGGCGTGAAGTTTTCGGTCTTCTCTTTTATGTGATAAAATATGTGTACCTCACCAACAAGTATCTTTTAACGAAATTCAATCAGAATATTTATCAATTTAAAAAAAAAATGTTTAGTTGTGTTACTTGTTGGTGTCCCTGCCACACGTACGATGGTGTAGCCGTGCGTCATGCACGTGGATTGTTTACTTTCGTTTTGACAGGGACTTTACTGAATAGAGTCTGGTGACTGTACATAGAAATTTCTTTGAATAAAAGTTGAATCGTTCATTCAGGTGCACTTGTTATGCAAAGCAGGGGCAGTGGTTCAAGGATATCTATGTCGACGTGCAAAAAGTGTGCAAGAATGCGACTTGAATGCCTTTATGTGTTCACAACACAACGACGCTGTTTAGATATTTCACTGTGACACAGTGAGAAATTTTGGAATCATAATGGCGTCAGCGATACTTGCTGGGGAGCTCTTGAGTACGACTTTCTGTACTTTGGTACTGTTGTTTCCAGGACAATTGTGTGTACGGTAACCCGATGTACCCAAATTTTTAAAGACGAAATTGCCGACCTCAAACTTGTTAGTGCCATATTTGGCAACTATATGTGCGTTATTAGTTTAATTAAACAAATGAACAGGTTAATTAAACATAGTACCATTGAAGGTACCTAAAAGTAAACATAACAGCATAGAAGACCGACAGACGAACATAAAATGTTACAAAATAAACATATTTGTCTGGATAATTTTTTAGGGCGTTACCGGCAAGTTAACACAAACTTGGTGTCAAATAGATCATGGGAGTTACTTTTCTTTGACTTTTCATACAAGTTTACATAAACTTTAACTGTATGACCTGCAGTGGCGTAGCCACGGGGGGGGGGCGTGGGGGGCGACAGCCCCCCCCCCCCATGAAACCTTGTCGCCCCCCAGTCGCCTCCCCCACTGAGATTTTGAGTTTCTAAAAAAAATATCATTGATCTACATGACGCCCCCCCCCATGAAATGTTCCAGCCCCCCCCCCAAGCGGCCCCCCCCCCCAACTGAAAAATTCCTGGCTACGCCACTGACAGTACATACAGGGGACGAAGTTGGAAAAGAAACACGCATCGCGATATCGGAACGTTTGCGCGTAGTAGTTCAGGCAAGTCAAAAGATCTATCTTTCTTTGTTTTTTATCTTTTTTCCATGGAAAGAGAATTTCGATTTTCAATTATTTAGCTTGACCCACCCACCCACAATTTGGAAAAAAGATCGAAATATTAAAACATTGAAAATTCTGAATGGCCCCTTAGGCCAAAAAAAAAAGTCTCCGGTTTCTGGTATGCGCGCGCGTCGCCGTAGCCATGCGCGTCGGCAAAATGAAAAAGTTTTTTTTTCAATAAAAGATGATGTCTCAAAACCGCCAAACTCACTGGTTCGACTGGAATTCTGCTGCAGCACAATTTTAACGTGTTTTTAGATGGGGGTATGATCGAGAATAAGCTTTATGTGGACTCTCTGGACTCCTGTACATTTTGCACTAAGTTTAGTCGGCCACCATTTGCAGTCATCAGCCGACATTTGAAGCAAAAAAGTCGGGTAAAAAAAAAAAAAAGCCGCGTCGCCGCACCACTTTTTGGGCAAGCTCCATACCAGAAACCGGAGACTTTTTTTTTGGCCTTAGAGTTTCCTTTCTTTATGCTCAGTTGAGCCTTAATTGCTACATGCTTTACATGTACAGCCGCGTCTCGTGATAACAAACTCGTTCGGACCTATATAGCCAAATTGTTTGTTATATCAGAAGTTTGTGTTAAGAGGAACATCAGCTAGTCCTTTCATTGTGCACAAACTCGGGACCTGTCACTTTAAAACTGTTCCTTGCTCTATGCTGTGACTAACCTCACTGACTGTCACTGTGACTAAACTCAACGAGTGTCACCGTGACTAAACTCACGGACTGCCACTGGTGACTATAACTCACCGAGTGTCGATCACTGTTAATTAAACTCACTGATTGTCACTCCCATTTCATAAAACTGATCAGAGCATTGATCTCACAAATTTAACAGACTGACCGACTCACTTACGTATTTACAGTAAAAAGAAAATAGTCAAAACCAGTCTCGAATAGACTCTTGTGGACAAACTGGTTTTGGACGTTTTTATGAATTTAGGCTTTATTTCCAACGCCGTTTTTACCATATACCACCGAGATCCAGTTCAGGAATATCTTAAATTTTTTCAACATGTCTCCACATTCTAAGAAATCTGCCTCGTTTATGTTTGGACCACCCTGTGTTTGATGGTATCTGTGCGTGTTTGAATGTTTGCGTTTCGCTCCCCTTATCCAGTGAGCAAACAGATTTTGAAAAGAGTGGCACTGTAGGCCTACATACTTCTGACCTGGAGATAGAACGGAATCATGCAAACAAATAACATATTATGTAACATCTCAGACAATGAAAAAGAAAGGCTCTGAATGTGGGTGTGATAGTTTTATCGTGCGTGCGTATGCTTTAAACCACCGAGATTGCACCCTTACAGAAATGTCCCATGAGCATCCCGTGGGATTTCCATGGGGTCATGGGAAACCCATGGGGTCATCAAGTACACCATGTAAGATAAAATGATCACCATGGGAGATTTTATGCTCATCATGGGAAACCCATGGGAACACCATGAAGATTGCATGAACAACATGGGAACACCATGGGATTTTATTAGCTTCATGGAAACACCATGGGGTTTTTATGGACATCATGGGAACACCATGGGTTAGGGGTCTTTAACGGGTGCCTGGGTATCCTTTTTTTTTCAATCGGGTACTCGGCCCCCGTGCTAGCCGTAAATGCATACCCCTCGCCAGGAAACATTGCTCCACCGGTACGATTGTCAGGCCTTTGCTGTCTGGTTTTTTTTGTAGCCGTCTTTGTCAGTTGTTTACAAGTCTGTGCTGGTACGTAGGCCCCTTAGCGGGAGTCAGTGTGAATAAAATCGCTTTCACATTTCTTTGTTTTTTATTGTCCCAGCCACGCGGTAGCCATGCCCAGGTCATCTATCACTAGATCCTAGTATGGACCATGGTACATCCACCAGAGGGGGTGTCAGTCTTGTGATCCTACTGGAGGGGTTGGAAATTGGCGGGAAAACCTAGTGTGCTTGTGCGCATTTACATAGGCTTGTGTACAAATGCATTGTTCACATAGGGATTACCTCGATCACCCCTGTGACCAAAATGGAACTGTCAAATGGCATTGAGGAGTTAGCGTCTGGTTAGGATGCAGCCTCATACAAGCAACCTGTCGGCTGGCTCCTTAGGCCGAATAAAAAAACCCATGTTTCTCGTCCGGGTGTTTGAAAAAAAAGGAGGAAGCGGGGCTTTTTATTTTTTGTCATGTTTTATTTTCAATGAAATAATTTTTTAAAAATGAATAACATAATATAATACATTTGCGGGGTGAATATACAAGAGAGGTCACCCACTGAAAAAAAGGCGCTCTCTCTTGCCCACAATATTTCAAAAAAGGCGTATATGGACCTTATAGGTAGCAGTCATCAAGGCAATACATTTGTCTTGCTGTGACATACCAGAAATAAACTTTTTAAGCACTCATTGTTACTGAATTAAAATAACGAAGGATGCCCTATAAGACGGCCGCTATACGCATAAATTCTACCCATGAGGTCTAAGAAATACGAAGGGTGCTCAAGTTTAAGGAATAAGTCAATCTGGCATGAAATGTCATCATGGCCTACGTCAAAGTGAAAATGCACCGAAACGCTGCTCCGTCCCATAAATTCAAAACTTTTATTTTTCGATTCATTGACATTCAACGGTTGTATTCAAAAATGCTATCAAAAGCTTGGAAAACACAACGACTATCCTCTATCAATAGAATTTCTGTAGAAATATAACTATGCAGTTTTTCTAGTATATATTTTCCTGGTCAGTCTTGCAATTGACTTTGTATTTCGTTAATCTTTCAGAAATTTGAGATACTTAACACACCGTTATAATGCAACTCAAAATAATTATAATATACACGACTACATGTAATTGTCGCACAGATTTTTCATATTATTCAGGGAATTATTGTAATTTAAGGGAATTATTGTTGTTAATGTATTTTTACTCTGTTGGACGGTTTTTAATCAAATTTGGTATACTACTTTTAATTGGATAGTTGTATTTTTGGGAGACAGGTGTTTTTACCAATTAATCAGAATAAATTAAGTATTATTCCATCCTGTATGTTCATTGTCTCTGTCCCTTTGCCAGATTCATGCTATTGTGTCTCACTCAGTGCACATCACTGGAGTTCGTTTCATTCCCTTTAAAGGGAATATACATCATTGGCTTTTGCTGTAATTTTCAGAAATGAACTATTTTGAGGGGTTAGTATAATAGATCAAATATTGTTTAACTGACATGTTTGAAGTTTTGTGTTTGAAAATGCTTGAAAAACCAAGAAAAACAAAAATTTTTAAGTAGTCTGGTTCCCTGACTCCACTAAAGATAAAATGGACCAATTTATAGATGTCGGAAAATTGTAAGGTAAGGGAACCAGTCTAGCTGGCCTGCACCCGTTCATGAACATGTAACCAATAGCAAACAAAATTTGGACTGACAAAAAATTGTAAATTTGGAGCAGTAGTTGAAAAATAGTTAGGTTTTTCCAACGGTGGTCAGCCGACCACCGTTGGAAATGTATACAAAAATACCATTTTCTTGAAAATGACTTGACATCAGGTGCCATAATTTTACAGGATGCTTTAGACTGTCATTTACCAACATCCTATTGTAAGGTATTTCGTAAAAACTTGGTAGTTTTATTTTTCGATATTTGTTGTATATTCCCTTTAACGCGTTTCTATCATTCCGTTCCCCCTGTGAGCGTCCTTCGTTTGTCTTCTAAGACCAAAAAAAAGGTCTCCGGTTTCTGGTATGGAGCTTGCCCAAAAAGTGGTGTGGCGATGCGTTTTGTTTTTTTTTACCTGATTTTTTTGCTTTAAATGTCGGCTGATGACTGCAAATGGTGCCCGACTAAACTTAGTGCAAATGGGAGTCCAGAGAGGCCACATAAAGCTTATTGTCGACCATAACCCAATCTAAAAACACGTTAAAATTGTGCAGCAGCAGCATGATTCCAGTCAAACCAGTGAGTTTGGCGGTTTTGAGACATCATCTTTCATTGAAAAAAAACTTTTTCATTTTGCCGACGCGCATGGCTACGGCGACGCGCGCGCATACCAGAAACCGGAGACTTTTTTGGGGGGCCTTATTGACTGTTTAGGGCCTGAGGGATACCAGGGGTTAATCTGGGGTGAATGGTGGAGGGCCGGGTAGCTCAAAGTACATGGTGTCATGGATTGATTCCCAGCAGGCGTCTGATATTATACTGCCAAAAATTGGCCTGCCTGTGACTATTATATATAGGTTACCACTTCAGTTCGCAGGTTCGCATGCACCCTGCCTAATCTCCATTATAGGAACTGGGACTTGGTATTGTATTCATTTTGAGATCTATTTAGACACCTTTTTCCTCTTCCCCGGTATATTCAACTTGGAACTTGTATATTTTCAACACCGAATATATGTCTTGTTGCATCAAGCAGGTAGGCCTATGCAAGTTCTCCTCGGATAAGGTGATTTTCTCCTTTTTCAATTATGGCAATCATTAGTGAAAAACATTGTATAAAGTCTTGTAAAGATGCATGGTATTTTTTCCTTTATTTTACTTTAAAGCATATTGCATGCCTGATCTAGCTCTTTTTACCCAGACCTTAGGAACACATACGCCTGGGTGAGGGGGCGTGACCCCCGTGCCTCGTGCCTCCTCCCACTTGGTACAATGACTGCTTTTGATATGACATATTTCTTCCAGAATTCATAATGGAGATTCTCTCGGCCTTGACCGTCCTCGATGTTCGGTCGCTCCTCCTGGGGATCGCCGTGTTTCTCGTCGTGTTGTGGTTCCTTCGTCGACCGCGGAATCTGCCTCCCGGGCCCTGGAGCTGGCCCATCCTGGGAAACCTCCCACAACTGACGTGGTTCGGAGGCGAGCTGCACGAGAACATCTCCAAGCTGACTGCCAGGTAGGAGCACGTTCGATTGAGGACCATTGGTAGACTTATGCAGCAAGTTCGACCGAGGACCATCAACAGACTGGTGGTTGATTCGTGACGTTACTTGCGCCTCGGACCGCGAATAGCAGAAACATCCTTAGCCCATCCATGGGCAAAGTATTATGCTACATTAAACCACTAGATTCTGGCTCCCTGCTGTAAATCGCAATATACGCGGCCATCGATTATCAGCGTAACAACCAAACCTGGTAAACTGGTACGGACTCATGACGTATGCAAAGGTTAATATGAACATCTTCATCCCTTAAAGATTCGTTAAAGAGCCATTTTCCCTTGAAATTACAGTTAACTAAATTTTCACGGTTTTTTTCCCCAACCTATTAAGCCAAATTAGGAGTCCGTGAAAACACCCTTAAGAAGGTCCTTTGTTTACCCATGGAGATAGACACAGTGTACCGTTATGTATAACCAATGATAATCCTCGGTGGCCGGGGTCATTAAAAAAACGTCAAAATGCCCTTACAGGATTAGTCCTATAGCCCCATGTAAAATATTGTCCGTGAAACATCTCTTAAATATTCTTTTTACCGAGAAGTGGACTTTTAATGAAAATTTAAGGGATCAGAACTGATGTTCATACGAGACCTAGTGTGACACTGACTGTCTAGTGCATGACCAGGCGCGGATCCAAGCGGGGGGGGGGGGGGGAAACCCCCGAAAAAACAGCTCTCTAAAAATCAAATTTCACAGAAATTCTAAAAAATATTGCGACCCCCCCCCCCCCCCCTGCTCTGACACTCAAAAAATTATAATGGTATAATGTCCACCTGTGCAAAATACGGATAGAGGCAGCTTAGAAAGGGGGTATTTGTACACTATTCTGTAATTAAGTGTTTATAATCGTCGAATTTGCACGGGGGCAAAGTGCCCGGGAAAAAAAACTTGTCAACATTTCAGATTGTTTTGGCTGATGAAACCTCCCCTGCAAAAATTCCTGGATCCGCCCCTGATGACTGCTAATAATGCTAACCACTCTTTCCACTTCTTGTTTAGATACGGTAATGTTATGCGCATCAACCTGCCAGGAGTATGCATGGTCGTTCTGCATGGGAACGATACGGTGAAGGAGGCCTTCTCTCGGCAGCAGCTCAGCGAGCGTCCACCCGCCTACGTGACCCAAGTGGTTGCCCCTGGGACAGGTACTATAATATCTTCGATTTGAGGACCTAATTGTCCTGTATTCTTCATGATCAAACATCGAATGCACGTACACACAAACGGGACAGTCCTCATTTTAATTTACAACTGAGGACTGTTTTTTATCCATGTTGAATGTTTGGATTTTAATTTTCTTGGCACATACCGTGAGTTTGTACACGAAAACCTACTGAGGACCCAGGCGAAGGTCCACGAAGTTATTGCTATCGCAGTCCCCAGTCGTATACGATAACCAGATACACAGGTAAGCAAACACCTCCAATCGTGGACCTCCTGATGTCCTCTGATTGTACTCTATCTTTTGAATAGAACTTGCATTGCTTTTTTAAACGGTTCCCAACTTTGGACCTTCACTCATCCGTGGACCTTATTGTTCTGTGTTGTTCAAGTTCCAAAAGAGTGCAGATAAATACTTACAAAATTAATCCTCACTTTTCTTATAGTACATTGTACATGTACAATGTTCGAGGCACTCGGTTGATACTCGCTTTTTAATACAACATTGAAATGTTGCAGGTTTCTTTTTACCTTCGGATGGGAAATGGACGGAGCTCCGTCGCTTGTCCATGACTGTTCTCAGGAAACTCGGAGTGGGTAAGTCCGCGTTCGAGCAGAACATCGTCACAGAAGCCGATATCTTAATCGAGGAGTTTAAGAGACACGGCGGCCAGGCGTTCGACCCGAAGCACGCCCTTGGCAACGCCGTGTCTAACATCATCTGCACGGTGGTGTTCGGGAGGAGATTTCAGTACACCGATCCAGCGTTCGAGCAACTCCTGAAGGTCGTAGATGTTCTTGTTTCGCAGTCGGGGGCAGGGGACATGTTCGAAATATCACCCGTGTTAAATAAGCTGGCCATGCTCCCAGGTGTGCGCACATATGTCCCAAGTTTGCGCACATATGTCGCCAACGTGAATAACTTCTACGGTCACATCAACCTGCTAATGAAAGAGCACAGCAAGGAGAAGAGCGCCGATCATCATGAAGATCTCATTGATGTTTTCTTGAGTGAGCGGAAAATTAAGGAGCAACAGGGCGTGGAGAATGCGGCCCTGCAACCGGAGAATTTGAAGCACATCGTCGGCGACCTGTTCGCGGCCGGGTCCGAGACCACCGCCACCACTCTCCGATGGGGCATGCTGTACATGATGGCCCATCCTCAGATACAAGCCCGGGTCCAGAAGGAACTGGATGACGTCACTGGTCGCAATCGCCTTCCCAGGATCGCAGACAAGTCGGAGCTGCCGTACACTGAAGCAGTGTTGTGTGAGATCCAGCGCGTTGGTACCATCGTGCCGCTGGGTGTGGCTCACGCAACCACAGAGGATACCGCTATCGCCGGGTAAGTGAACTCGCGGGTAGTGTCTGTTAGATCTCTTATAAAGTCCCTTTATATTTTGTCTTATGTATTTGTCCTTGTTTCTTTTCCCTTGCATCTTAAAAGACTCACCGAATCAGTGACTGATAGTACTTGTGAGCCGGGCAGTGCTTATAAGTATCGTCTGATGATTACCCCAATATTACCATATCCGGTCCATGTTGTGTAGGATGGTGCATGAAAAGTCTTCCAGTTATTATTGATTCTGAATCAATTGAATATTATAATTTGCAAGCTCTAGGACCAGCTTCTAGGCTTACCTTGTCCTCTTATTCCGTCAACAGGTATAACATTCCTAAAGGAACGATCATCATACCTAATATCTGGCACAACCACTTCGACCCGCTGGTATGGGAAGAGCCCGAGAAATTTCGTCCGGAGCGATTCCTTGACGGCGATGGCAAGTTTCGTCCCCGTGAGGAGCTCATGCCGTTTGGATCTGGTGAGCAAACAGTCGTTGATTCAAGATTAGATCGTGCAATTGTCGAGTTTCTGCTGAAAATCAACGTCTAGGCCTACGCTTTTCGCATTTTGATATTCGCAGTTGCAATTTTCGTGCCAGTATAATAACACTGATTTTAAGATTCTGTGCGTTTTTGTCTCTTTAATTACATGAAAATTCATTATCATCAGGTCGCCGCAGCTGTCTGGGAGAGCACCTGGCCAGGATGGAGCTCTTCGTCTTCTTCACGTACCTCTTGCATCACTTCACGATCAAGAAACCCGACCATGTTCCCGCCGTGTCCTTCAAAGGGACAAACGGTGTCGTGTGGGGGCCGCTGAACTTTGACATCTGCGCCAGTGTCAGAGAATAGATCATTGTTTTTTTACGAATGGGGGCGCAATGTGCCTAGAAAAACGCCCGAAAAATCGTGATTAAAAAAGTAGTTTGGTACCAAACATTGAAATTATGTGATTGTTGACTCACGACAACTTGTAATTAACGTTAGGACGCGTCAATAACATTGAACTTACGTCTATGTGCACTACACAATGGCGTCACCCAAAGCGCCCTCTAATGATCAAATATGACATAAAGGTCATTGACTGAACGAGGGCTCTCTTGTGACCCCATTTTCTGAGTCGAAACAGTAGAGAAAAGTGTATTGAAGAAATTTAACACCTTTAGTTTAATATGAAAATAATTAAAGACTGTATGACGTATTGTAACATGTTAACTTAGGTCTATAAGCTAGGGTTTATGCCTCTATGTGCCTCCCTAGAACACGGCCAGTAGGCGTATTTTTTGGAAGCATACATCGTATCTTAACCAATCACATCACGCACCCTAACATGAATATTCATCATGCTGTGTGGATGGAGGACACTTAGGTTTTCGTAGTGTATTCCATTCAATTATACTGTACTTATTCCAACAAACAAAAAGATTTGATGAAAATGGACATGGGCCCAAACCGCGGATCTTGCGATCAATAGTTCATTCCAATATGCACTAGGCCACTGTGGCAGCTCGACGAAAGTCGTTCTTTGAAATTTGAAATGCTTTAATGTACATGCATGACTGAGCGATAGCAATAGTGTGACGTCATTGTTATTTTCTCATGAATAAACATCCCACTAGCTGAATAATCATAACCATTGATAATGCGTGCTGCAGATAAAAACATCGCTCACCGGCCCTATTCAAGGCAGCCATCTTGGAAGTGCTGGGGTAATGTTTCCTATGGATACGCACGAGTAGAGCATTAATTGTTCATTAAACAATTCACAAATCTACTATACGGCTGAAGCATTTAAGGGGTCTCAACAAATAATGAAACCCACATAGCATGTCAGAGTTATCAAAGTCTGTAGTCTTGCATAATTTTGCTCAGAGTTAACGCTGCATGGTATAGCAATGTAATTTATGATTTAACTTACAGGAGCCTTTTTTCTTATGTCAGAGGTGCGTACCTGACGGACTGACAGACTAAAGCTGGCTATCACTGACTAAAATCATTGTCACTAGGTAATTAGCCGGATAGTGCTATTGTATAGGATCACCTCATACATTGGACTTAATTTGGTCCATACTTCATGCATGAAAATACTACCAGTCCAGTGAATTACCGTTCTTAATCAAGTGAATAGGATTTTGTGCGCTCTGTGATCAGCTTTATTAGGCTTGTCTTGTCTTAGTTTTAGCTTACTATTTGTTATTAACGCAAAACATAAAGATGTTGATTGACTTCCTCTACGATTCGATTTAATTGTATTCGAAAAGTGCAGGAACGTCTGATGCAAGACGCATTTCAAATACAGTTCCCATGTTGCTCATTGTAAAGCGGTCGAGACCGCGTGTAGCTTGATACCATGATTTCGGGTGGTTATATGGCATTTTCATTAGCATGTAATTCACCCCGTAGTCTTGTTTGTGATGTTGCAACTTTGGAACCTTTCAAGAATCGAGAGGATAAAGATATCGATAATGTAATGCACATTAGGTACAAGGGTACTCCTTTGGTGGAGAGTGGTTATCGTAGACTTAGTAAAGTGTCTTGCCTAAGAACACACACCATCGTGTTCCCCTATCAGGGCTCGAACCCATGTACATCGATCGCACATGCGTTCGACATCATTGGACCACGATGCTCTACACAAGGCCTACGTGAGGACTAGCGATATTCCATTCCATATTTTTCAACAGGGCATTAGTCTAGATATTTTTTGTTTTATTTCAAATCAACGTGTTTTGTCAATGTTTTGACACCGATTTTTTCACTCGGCATGGAGTAACATTTGACATTCCATTAACAACTAAATATTTTACTTGTAAGCAATAAAGAATATGTTATTGAACGGCAAGGGCCCCTACTAAACCCATTCCATAAAGTTGATTAGATGGAAATATTGTTTAGCAAAATTGTATGTCCACCAAAAGTTGATACATTGCACGAAGTTTTGACTGATAACCAATTTCTGCTCACCAAATAATTACTTCCTGATATATTGTGTGTTAAAGATGTGACGAAGCAAAATAAATCCACTTTTAAGCTATAACTTAAATAAAAGAAAAGCCAAGAGCACAACTCGAATCCAGAGTCCATATTATTTAACGTTTTTACTCGTATTCTACGCGTCAATCCATTCACATGTCCGAGTCAACTTATCTTACGTTGTATGGCCACTGATCTCAACTATACTGTCAGTGTAATAAAGATCAGTGTGTACAAGGCGTCCTGAAAAAGATGGTGCATGTAATCCCCTCCATTTTTGCTAATTTACGACCACAATTTTCTGCGAATGTTTACACCGTCTTCAAGGTAATAGATTTAGCTTGAGAATACCGTTTGTTTCATTGAGATTGCTTTTGTAAAGAAACCCATTTTGTGCCACTTTCTGTGAAGCAGTTAAAATCAGTATAGTCCTAGTCTAAAACCGAATCACTTTACTGTTAGCGATTTTAACATTTTTAAGCAGAGTGTGCAATATTTTTTTTTATTTAGTTGAACTCTTTCATTGAAGTTTTAAAGAAGTGAACCTGTCTGTTCTATTAAATTGTTTCAACATAAGAACAATGCCCTATATTGTCATGTGAATGGAATGTTTGTCTTACACCCATAGGGATACTCTTATTAAAAGGGCCACACTGGCATTGTCTGATCTTTGAAGCACTCGCTTTCTAAAAGTGGCACGGAATGGTTTGTTTGGCTTCGCGGTTATTCAAACATATCCATGGGCGTCGCCAGGATTTTTTCTAGAGGGGGGCAAAAAATTTTTTGCCAAAAAATGCTTGTATTTCTCAACACATTCTTGATTTATCAGTTTTAGAGGGGGGCAGGGACATTTTGCCCCCCCCCCCCCAACTCATTAAATTTACACCACTTTGTCTTCGCGCCTCTTTTTCTTTTTTTTTCTTTTCTTTTTTTCTTCCTTTTTTTTTTTTTTTTTTTTTTTGCTTTTCCAGGGGGGGGGGGCAAGTGCCCCCCCTTGCCCCCCCCCTCGCGACGCCCATGAACATATCTCTCGATTTACAAAAGCAATCTTAATTCAACAAACGGTATCCTCAAGCTAAATCTGTAACCTTGAAGATTGAGTAAACATTTGCAGTAAATTCCGGTAGTAAATTGGCGAAAATGGAAGGGGTTTACATGCACCATTAGTTTCAGGACACCGCGTATAACCATGGAGCTATTAATAGCTCCATGGTATGACCTATGCAAACTTTTCGTCAAATCAACACTTAATGCAAATCCGCACATATAGTCGCCTTTCAACCAACAGTAGTCAACAGGTGGCATGACGCGTTGATACCTTGTGTCCCACAGTATAGTGGAGTTGGGTCGACTTGTTGAATTTGCAAAGCAAACCCGAATCAAGCTATGTGGAGACAAGTTCAAAAGATGACCTTGGACAACGCAGTACGAATAGTGCGCTGCCGGGTTATTGGTGACGCGGCATTTGTTCATAGGTTTCCGATCGACGGCTAGTCGTACCAGCAGAATAGAATAGCGAATACTTGGACCATTTACATCGGTGTTTGATTGAGTGAGAAGTCGCGGATATTGGATAGGTAAGTAGCTGATAAAACTCTTCCGAGTAAACTTTTAAGGTATGTTTTTTTTGGCTGGTGGGGCCAGCCTTCCCCTTTGTCCTCTTGTCTGTCTGACCATCCATGGTCTGACTGACCGACCTTGTCTGTCTGACCATCCATGGTCTGACCATGGAGGAATAAGGATTGACCGACTGACTCCTCGTCATTTCTGACTTAGACCACTCGCTGACTGACTGTTATAGTCGTGACTCTGTACACTGTGGACCGGCCTTTACGTAACAGCGAGCTCGATCGAGATTGAGTGGTTTTTCATTTCCATCATGTAAGCTTGAACCACTACAGCTCATTCTACGAGCGTTTAAGATATTCTGAAACCACTTAATGTACATTTTGTGCTTTCTAGGACCAGCTTTTCAAGATTGCTTATTTGCTTTCTGACATTCAGCTGTAAGTGGAGGCACACGAAAGTCTAATACATGTATAGGCCTACCAACTTGTTTCCAATGGGGTCACTTATAGTTGTAGATGAGGAGGAACCTATATCAATTCGTGATCTTCATCCGACAAAGTGATCTTTTACTGCATACCTCCCACACATTGTCTTTTTCATAATTCAAACGTTCAAATCTTGCATGTGTTCCGTAATGTTGTATCCTAGGTGACGCTACTTCCAATGTGATTGTGTGGGTAATCTAGACATTTTTTTTTCTAACTAGAAATGAGTCTCAGTGCCAATTTATATTTCCACCGATATGTAGGTTTATAATGGTGAAGTGACGTGATGCCATCTCTCCCCTTGCACTTATTGCTTGTATTTTGATTTTAGAAATATTTGGGAATATCTGTGCATGTTTGGAGTGTTTGTGTTTCCCTTCCCATATCCAGTGGGTATGATTTGCAAAGTGTAGGACTTGTTGTATGTTACCTTCCGACCTCGACACAATGGAATTATCCAGCGCGCACATCTAGTACCATTGCCAGCATTGTCTGGCCTATTGTTGGCACTTGTCTTTTGTTGTTTACATGTCTGTGCAGGGTAGTGTCACGATCAATACAATAATATGCACAATGTGACTATAGGATATAAATTCGCCGGTTTGCAGGCACCCTAAGTGAGGTCTTTTTCACATAGTCTAGGCGATATTTTTAAAAAAAGGTTACATGAAGAGGCATTTATGAGTAGAAGTTGGTAACATAGCTATTTTACCTAATTTTGGGGTGCTGAATCCGAAAATGATGGATACCAAGCTGGACGTTTAGTGGAAATATGTCTAATTTACATAAATCTTTAATACCTGTCGTATAATATATTTGTTCCCATATTTGGGGATATTGTTTATTATATTATTTTTTGAAAAGTTTATTTTGGTTTTTCTACTTACACTTCCTTACTTCAATAACATTTTCTAAAGCGTACAAGACTGAATAATTATGAGGACATAGTACCAATCCTAAATGGCTACTATAATAGCCTAACGTTGCGTGCCTTCTCCCAGTTGGTAAGTCCACTGCTCCATGAAAAATTAGTTGATGTGACCTATTTCTTTCAGAATTCATAATGGAGATTCTCTCGGCCTTGACCGTCCTCGATGTTCGGTCGCTTCTTCTTGGGGTCGCCGTGTTTCTCGTCGTGTTGCGCTTCCTTCGTCGACCGCGGAATCTGCCTCCTGGGCCGTGGGGCTGGCCAATCCTGGGAAACCTCCCACAACTGACGTGGTCCGGAGGCGAGCTGCACGAGAACATCTCCAAGCTGACTGCAAGGTAGGAGCATGTTCGACTGAGGACCATTGGTAGACTAATGCATCGAGTTCGACAGAGGCACATCGGCATACTGATGGTGGATTCTTGACGTAACTTGCGCCTGCGTGCTAATAGCTAATGTTTACAGCCTCGGTTCATCTTTGGTCAAACATTACACGCAACTTCTCGCTCCTTGTGATAATGCCTGCCTTTGCACGACTCATTGCTAATCAAATTTCCCAATCCCACTAGATATGGTAAGGTTGTAAGCGTCAATCTAGCAGGAATATCCATGGTCGTTCTGCATGGGCACGATACGGTGAAAGAGGCCTTCTCACGGCAGGAGCTCAGCGAACGACCACCCGCTTACATGACCCAGGAGGTTGCCCCTGGGAGAGGTAAAAATCTAACTTTGCTGAAAAACAAACAAAATACAACAAAGAACTCACACACCAACACAAGAAAAAAAACACTTCTTGGCCCTGAACACCACCCCAAAACCCATTTGTACCAACACTAACAAGCCCAGTCTTTAAACTGAGGAACCTTTCTGCTCCTTTTTTTTTTGGTTCCCGTCGTGTGGACTTCAACTATTTATTGGCATGTGCCATAAGCTTGGCACACGAAAACCAACCGAGAAGATGGGCTCAGCTAGGTCCTCTGGGCTGTCCCCCAATTGTTTACTTTTTTCGGGGGGGGGGGGACAACCCCATTTTCTTTATTAATGCTTTCAAACCGTGCGACCTTCACCCAATCGTTGACCATATTTTTGAAGGTCCACTATTGAATGGGTATACATATTCGAACACAAATGAAGTGTTTTGATAACACATGATCGAACGAGGAATTACGATGTTCGGTTTTTGTAATTTGTTGGAGCCTTTGCACTGTCGTCTTTGCAGGTTTCGTATCATCCTCGGGTGAGAGCTGGATTGAAATCCGTCGGTTCACTATGGCCGTTCTCAAGAAACTCGGAGTGGGCAAGTCGGCGTTCGAGCAGAACATCGTAACAGAAGCCGAGATGTTCATCGATGAAGTCAAGAAACACGGCGGCAAGGCTTTCGACCCAAAGCACGCAATGAGCAACGCCGTGTCCAACATCATCTGCACGGTGGTGTTTGGCAGGAGATTCCAGTACACCGATCCAGCGTTCGAGCAGCTCCTGAAGGTCGTACATAATTTTGTTTTGCAGGTGGGGGCAGGGAGTGTGTTCGAATTTTCGCCGGTTTTCAACAAGCTGACTATGCTCCCATTTGTGCGGACCTATGTCGCCTGCTTAAAGAGCATCTTCGGTCACATCAACCTGCTGATGAAAGAGCACAGCAAGGAGAAGAGCGCCGATCATCAGGAAGATCTCATTGATATCTTCTTGAGTGAGAAGAAAATTAAGGAGCAACAGGGCGTGGAGAATGCGGCTCTGCGACCGGAGAATTTGAAGCACATCGTCCGCGACGTGTTCGGGGCCGGGTCCGAGACCACCGCCACCACTCTCCTATGGGGCATGCTGTACATGATGGCGTACCCTGAGGTACAAGTCCAGGTCCAGAAGGAACTGGATGACGTCACTGGTCGCAATCGACTGCCCAGGATCGCAGACAAGCCTGAGCTGCCGTATACGGAAGCAGTGTTGTGTGAGATTCATCGCCTTGAAACCATCGCGCCGCTCTCTGTGCCTCACGCAAGCACGGAGGATACCACTATCGCGGGGTGAGCGAACTCGTGTATATACGTTAATTTTCCTAGTCCTAGTATGGTTTTTTTCTTATTTGTTTGTTCATATTCTTTGCTCGTTTAACTTGACTGACTCGCATAGCTACCGTATAGGATTACGCCAATAACGCCAGTGAGTAGCCTAAATCCAACCTATTGTGTTGACCATACAGATGCATAAAGAGACTTTCAGTGAATATCGATTCCTACTCAATTGAAAAGAATGTTGTGCGCTCTGGGACCGGCTTTACCAGGCCTACCATATCCTGTTATTCCGTCAACAGATATAACATTCCTAAAGGCACGACCATCATGGCTAACATCTGGCACAACCACTTCGACCCACTGGTATGGGAAGAGCCCGAGAAGTTTCGTCCGGAGCGATTCCTTGACGGCGATGGCAAGTTTCGTCCCCGTGAGGAACTCATGCCGTTTGGATCTGGTGAGCAAACAGCCGTTAAAAGAAAAATAATTAAAAAAAAATCATTTTACGCAAAAACCATACTTAATGGTTTAATGCGCATTACAAGATCCGAATAATTGTTAAAAATATTAAAATTACGGATTAAAAATGGACAAATAGTTTTCAACATAAAAACTTTTCGTATTTTAGAGAACACGGTTTATCTGTTAAAGACATACTGTCCGTGCAATTTTCGAGTTTCAGCCCGAATAAAAACCCAATTGCTATTTTTCTTGCAATACAATTGTTTAACTTATTTATAGGTATACGGCCCGATCGTGCTTATACGTTTAGTTCTGGGGGGAAAAATACGAGAAGTGCACCGCAGCGAAAGTCTAAAAACAACTTGTAGACAGGTTCCCGGCCCTCTCTTGAGCAGAATCCATAATTTTGCAACCGGAACCAGTCTACTTGCAGGCCGTATAGTCTCTTCGTGTTTAAAAGCAACTTCTACCCTGTTCGCGTGTTATACGCAGTTCCAATTTTCGTGCCAGTTTAATAACACTGGTTTCAAGATTCTGTTCCTTTTTGTCTTTTTCCATGAAATTATCATCAGGTCGCCGCAGCTGTCTGGGGGAGCAACTGGCGAAGATGGAGCTCTTCGTCTTCTTCACGTACCTTTTGCATCACTTTACGATCAAGAAACCCGACCATGTTCCCGCCGTGTCCTTAGAGGGGAAAAACGGCATGGTGTGGGTGCCGCTGAACTTTGACATCTGCGCCATTGTCAGAGAATAGGTCAGTTTTTGACGTATGGGGGCGCTGTAACAACGCAAATTTCTTAGTAAAAACAGTGGAATAATTTCCATTAATAAAGCAGTTTGATACCTTTACTTCTATTTGTAAATCGCAGCATCATGTAAATTAACGTAATGACGCATCAATAACCTAAATTGGATTACCTCTTTTTTGTACTACAACAATGGCGTCCCCCGAAGCGCCCTCAATCATTAACATATACCTAAAGGCAATTAAACGAGAGGGCGCTTTCGCGACGCCATTTTATGGGTAGGAACAGAAGAGATATCACGCTTATTGAAGAAATTTAACACATTTACTTTAATAAGGGAATAGATATGTGCTTGGCCGGTTCTAGTTAAACAAGTCTGTTAAGACCGACCGGGGGAATGGGCGCAGATTCGGCTCGGGCTATTATTACGGGCTTTTTACAATTTTACTTCATTTTTTTCCAACACCCCTCTGGCTATTTTATATTATGTGCCTCTCCCGCGTTGTCTTAAACAACTCCTTATGTGGAGATTGGCGCGCGCGTGGTGCGTACGTACGCGATGTGGCGCAGAACGCGGCGGTGCCGGTGGAGTATGAATTTAGGACTCTCGAAATACAGAATGATTACTGGCATTACGCATGGCTAAGTGAAGATTCTGAACGTTCAACCAATACAAGGATAAAAGGGGCCAGACTTCATAGGAGTCAAAATTTCATGTGACACCGGAAAGTGTTGAAGACCAGCCCGCCGGTGTTTTATCAACTGGTTATGACCGCCCACGTGACGTACTGTCTCAGGTATTTATGAATATGAATATTAAAGAGTTTTGAATTTTAGCAACATGTCAACTTACATCAATAAGCTAGGATTCGTTACCTGTTTGCTGCTCCAGAATGGCGTCACAAAAGCGTCCTCTATCCCCAAAACATCACGCCGGTCGCAGCCCCTTTTCATGGCAGCCATCTTGGAAATGCTTGGAAATGTTTTTTTTCTTCAAATGGATACCGGATACGCATAAGTAATCCTTTTGTTTATTCATGGTTATTTAATTGAAATTTAAGATGATAGATGCATTTAAAATGGTTGATGCATTTAAGAAATGTATACATGTAAAATAATGCAGAGCATGCGAGAATTATCTCTGCGTTCACTTTTATGTAGTCTTGCAAAATTTCGCTTAAAATTAACGCTGTATGGTCTATTCATAAGTATCTTTAACTGAGTAACATTTACATTTCATATTCTATTTGGACTTCTTTTAATGTTTAACCATGAGGTTCTTGTACTAACTTAGTTTACTTTTTATGAATAAGACTTTTGTTAATGTGCACATATTCACTCAGCATGGATTACAATGTGACATTCCATCACAACTAACTGTTTTACTAGTACATTGTACATGTATGCAATATAGAATATGTTATTAAGCGGCACGGGCCCGCTAACCCCCATTCCAAAAAGTTGCTTAGCTCAAAATATTGTTCTTTAAAATTTCATATGCCCAGCAAAAAGTCGGTACATATATAGCACCAGGTTTGGACTTGACTGACCAAATAATTATTTCCTGCATATATTGTGTGTTCAAGATGTGACGAAGCAAGATAAGTCCAGTTTTCAATCTATAGGTAAATAAAACAAATCAAGGAGCAAAGCTTAAATACAAAGTAATTAGATTCTGTCACAATCTCGTTATTTGTAAGGGGACTTTTGTATATACGCGTACCCATTGTATAGCGTTAACTTATCTTTCGTTGTATGACGTATGCAAACTTTTCGTCCAATCAACACCCAATACAATTCCCGCGCATAGTCGTGCTTCAAACAGGTGGAATGACGCGTTGACACCTTGATCAATCACAGTTTGATTGTATAATGCATTTTTTGGTTTCGTACTGAATCGAGAGATCGTATGTTGCCCCAAATCTGTTTATATTATTTTCCAACTAAGGTGCAAATACCTTGCCAACTTAATTCTCAGCAATTTATGATACCGACCAACCACCAGGCTGATGGCCCAGTTGCACTTAATGGTCTCTTGTAACTTTGGAAACATTTGGGAGTCGCCGCTGTGCGTGTTGGGAATGTTTCTGTGTCCCATATCCAGTTATCAAACACTTATGAAAACTATGACTGTAAATGACTGTACCTTTGGACTAAGCTATGAGATAACGATATCAGCGCGCAGTCATGGCAATGGCAGACATTGGACAACTTGCCTCACCGGTTGTATTGCCTTTTGCTGTCTGGCTTTTTGTTGGCACATCTTTGGTGTTAATCCGTCTGTGTAGAGTATTGTAGCGATCAATGTGATGATAGCGCACCACTTCAGTTCGCAGGCGAGGTTCGCACGGACCCTGCCAAATATGCAAGACTGGGGTACTGCATTTTGTTTCAGATACAAATCAATAAAAATACAAGTTCAAAAGCTGACCTTGGACAACGCAGTATGAATAGTGCGCTGCCGTTTATTGGTGACGCGGCATTTGTTCATAGGTTTCCGATCGACGGCTAGTCGTACCAGCAGAATAGAAAAGAGAATACTTGAACCATTTACATCGGTGTTTGATTGAGTGAGAAGCCGCGGATATTGGATAGGTAAGTAGCTGATAAAACTCTTCCGAGTAAACTTTTAAGGTATGTTTTTTTTGGCTGGTGGGGCCAGCCTTCCCCTTTGTCCTCTTGTCTGTCTGACCAACCATGGTCTGACTGACCGACCTGGTCTGTCTGACCATCCATGGTCTGACTGACCGATTGACCGACTGACTGACTGTCATTTCTGATTTAGACCACTCGCTGACTGACTGTTAGTCGTGACTCTGTACACTGGTCATGGACCGGCCTTTACGTAACAGCGAGAGCGATGTCTCATTTTCATCATGTAAGCTTGAACCACTACAGCTCATTCAACGAGCGTTTAAGATATTCTGAAATCACTTAAATGTACATTTTGTGCTTTCTAGGACCAGCTTTTCAAGGTTGCTTATTTACTTTCTGGCATTCAGCTGTAAGTGGAGGCACACGAAAGTCTAATACATGTATAGGCCTACCAACTTGTTTCCAATGGGGTCACTTATAGTTGTAGATGAGGAGGAACGTTGAGTAGAATATTCGAGTCAATTCGTGATGTTCATCCGACAAAGTGATCTTTAACTGCGTACCTCCCACACATTGTCTTTTTCATAATTCAAACGTTCAAATCTTGCATGTGTACTGGAAATAATGTTGTATCCTAGGTGACGCTACTTCCAATGTGATTGTGTTGGTAATCTAGACAATTTTTTTTCTAACTAGAAATGAGTCTCAGTGCCAATTTATATTTCCACCGATATGTAGGTTTATAATGGTGAAGTGACGTGATGCCATCTCTCCCCTTGCACTTATTGCTTGTATTTTGATTTTAGAAATATTTGGGAATATCTGTGCATGTTTGGAGTGAGTTGTGTTTCCCTTCCCATATCCAGTGAGTATGATTTGCAAAGTGTAGGACTTGTTGTATGTTACCTTCCGACCTCGACACAATGGAATTTACCAGCGCGCACACCTATTGCCCGCTGGTACGATTATCTGGCCTTTTGTTGGTTACATGTCTGTGCAGGGTAGTGTAACGATCAATACAACGTTATGCACAATGTGATTATAGGATATAAATTCGCCGGTTTGTAGGCACCCTACGTGAGGCCTTTTTCACATAGTCTAGGCGATATTTAAAAAAAAAGGTTACATGAAGAGGCATTTTGAGTAGAATTTGGTAACATAGCTATTTTACCTAACTTGGTGCTGAATCCGAAAATGATGGATACCAAGCTGGACGTTTAGTGGAAATATGTCTAATTTACATAAATCTTTAATACCTGTCGTGTAATATATTTGTTCCCATATTTGGGGATACTGTTTATTATATTATTTTTTGAAAAGTACATTTTAGTTTTTCTACTTACACTTCCTTACTTCAATAACATGTTCTAAAGCGTACAAGACTGAATAATTGTGAGGACATATACATGTAGTACCAAACCTAAATGGCTACTAACGTTGCGTGCCTTCTCCAAGTTCGTAACCCCACTGCTAAAAAAATAGTTTTGATATGACCTATTTCTTTCAGAATTCATAATGGAGATTCTCTCGGCCTTGACCGTCCTCGATGTTCGGTCGCTTCTTCTTGGGGTTGCCGTGTTTCTCGTCGTGTTTCGGTTCCTTCGTCGACCGCGGAATCTGCCTCCCGGGCCCTGGGGCTGGCCCTTTCTGGGAAACCTCCCACAACTAACGTGGTACGGAGGCGAGCTGCACGAGAACATCTCGAAGCTGACTGCCAGGTAGGAGCAAGTTTGATCGAAGACCATTGATAGACTATAAATGCAGCAAGTTCGACCGCGGAACATCGGCATACTGGTGATGGATTTTTGACGTAGCTTGCGCCTGCGTGCTAATAGCAAATGTTTACATCCTTGGTTCATCTTTGGTCAAACACCACACGCAACTTCTCGCTCCTTGTGATAATGCCTGCCTTTGCACGACTCATTGCTAATCAAATTTCCCAATCCCACTAGATATGGTAAGGTTGTAAGCGTCAATCTAGCAGGAATATCCATGGTCGTTCTGCATGGGCACGATACGGTGAAAGAGGCCTTCTCACGGCAGGAGCTCAGCGAACGACCACCCGCTTACATGACCCAGAAGGTTGCCCCTGGTAGAGGTAAAAATCTAACTTTGCTGAAAAACAAACAAAATACAACAAAGAACTCGCACACTAACACAAGAAAAAAAACCACTTCTTGGCCCTGAACACCACCCCAAAACCCATTTGTACCAACACTAACAAGCCCATGTAGTCTGTAAATTGAGGAACCTTTTTGCTCCTTTTTTTTTTGGTTCCTGTCGTTTGGACTTCAACTCTTTATTGGCATGTGCCATAAGCTTGGCACACGAAAACCAACCGAGAAGATTGGCTCAGGTCCTCTGAGCTGTCCCCAATTGTTTACTTTTTTCGGGGGGGGGGGGGACAACCCCATTTTCTTTATTAATGCTTTCAAACTGCGACCTTCACCCAATCGTTGACCCTATTTTTGAAGGTCCACTATTGAATGGGTATACATATTCGAACACAAATGAAGTGTTTTGATAACACATGATCGAACGAGGAATTACGATGCTCGGTTTTTGTAATTTGTTGGAGCCTTTGCACTGTCGTCTTTGCAGGTTTCTTATCATCCTCGGGTGAGAGCTGGATTGAAATCCGTCGGTTCACTATGGCCGTTCTCAAGAAACTCGGAGTGGGCAAGTCGGCGTTCGAGCAGAACATCGTCACAGAAGCCGAGATGTTCATCGAGGAAGTCCAGAGTCACGGCGGCAAGGCTTTCGACCCGAAGCACGCAATGAGCAACGCCGTGTCCAACATCATCTGCACGGTGGTGTTTGGCAGGAGATTCCAGTATACCGATCCAGCGTTCGAGCAGCTCCTGAAGGTCGTACATGAATTTGTTTTGCAGGTGGGGGCAGGGAGTGTGTTCGAATTTTCGCCGGTTTTCAACAAGCTGACCATGCTCCCATTTGTGCGGACCTATGTCGCCTGCTTAAGGAGCACCTTCGATCACATCAACCTGCTGATGAAAGAGCACAGCAAGGAGAAGAGCGCCGATCATCAGGAAGATCTTCTTGATATCTTCTTGAGTGAGAAGAAAATTAAGGAGCAACACGGCGTGGAGAATGCGGCTCTGCGACCGGAGAATTTGAAGCACATCGTCCGCGACGTGTTCGGGGCCGGGTCCGAGACCACCGCCACCACTCTCCTATGGGGCATGCTGTACATGATGGCGTACCCTGAGGTACAAGTCCGGGTCCAGAAGGAACTGGATGACGTCACTGGTCGCAATCGACTGCCCAGGATCGCAGACAAGCCTGAGCTGCCGTATACGGAAGCAGTGTTGTGTGAGATTCATCGCCTTGAAACCATCGTGCCGCTCTCTGTGCCTCACGCAAGCACGGAGGATACCACTATCGCGGGGTGAGCGAACTCGTGTATATACGTTAATTTTCCTAGTCCTAGTATGGTTTTTCTTATTTGTTTGTTCATATTCTTTGCTCGTTTAACTTGACTGACTCGCATAGCTACCGTATAGGATTACGCCAATAACGCCAGTGAATAACCTAAATCCAACCTATTGTCCAACAATAACCTAACATAAAGATACTTTCAGTGAATATCGATTCCTACTCAATTGAAAAGAATGTTGTGCGCTCTGGGACCAGCTTTACCAGGCCTACCATATCCTGTTATTCCGTCAACAGATATAACATTCCTAAAGGCACGACCATCATGGCTAACATCTGGCACAACCACTTCGACCCGCTGGTATGGGAAGAGCCCGAGAAGTTTCGTCCGGAGCGATTCCTTGATGGGGAAAACAAGTTTCGTCCCCGCGAAGAGCTCATGCCATTTGGATCTGGTGAGCAAACAGCCGTTGGCAATAAGTAAAAGAAAAATAACAAAAAAAAATATTATTTTACGCAAAAACCATACAAATGTTTTAATGCGCATTACAAGATCCAAACAATTGTTAACAATATTAAAATTTCGGATGAAAAATGGACATTAGGGTTCAACATAAAAACATTATGTATTTTAGAGAACACGGTACATCTGTTTAAGACATACTGTCCGTGCAATTTTTGAGTTTCAGCCCGAAGAAAAAAAACACCAATTGCTATTTTTCTTGCAATACAATTGTTTATCTTATCTATAGGTTTTCGGCCCGATCGGGCTTATGGGCTCCGTGCGCCAACAAAGAGGGCGCCCTTTTACCTAGCATGGGCTGTCCCATGGTCGGGACATTTAGCTGGTAGACGCGCACCGTTCCTTGTGTGTGACGCATGTGGATTTGTACTATCGGTACACGCAGTGGTACGGCCGCGCGTCGCGGCAAAATTGCAGTCAGGCAAGATGGCGTCGGTCGGTCACCCCCGACTGTACTTCCTTTGCCGGTGAGGAGGTACTTGTCAACGGAGCGGATACGTTCAGTTCTGGGGGAAAATATTTTTCGAGAAGCGCGCCGCAGCGAAAGTCTAAAAACAACTTGTAGACAGGTTCCCTCTCTCGAGCAGAACCCATAATGTTGGAACCGGAACTAGTCTACTTGCAGGCCGTAGGTCGCTTCGTGTTTAAAAGCAACTTCTGCCCTGTTCGCGTGTTATACGCAGTTTCAATTTTCGTGCTAGTTTAATCACACTGGTTTCAAGATTTTGTTCCTTTTTGTCTCTTTCCGTGAAATTATCATCAGGTCGCCGCAGCTGTCTGGGGGAGCAACTGGCGAAGATGGAGCTCTTCGTCTTCTTCACGTACCTTTTGCATCACTTCACGATCAAGAAACCCGACCATGTTCCCGCCGTGTCCTGCGAGGGGAAATACGGCATTATGTGGGTGCCGCTGAAATTTGACATCTGCGCCACTGTCCGAGAATAGGTCAGTTTTTGACGCATGGGGCGCTGTAACAACGCAAATTTCTTAGTAAAAACAGTAGAATAATTTCCATTAATAAAGCAGTTTGATACCTTAATTTACTTCTATTTTTAAATCGCAGCATCATGTAAATTAACGTAATGACGCGTCAATGACCTTGGATTACCTTTTTTTTGTACTACAACAATGGCGTCCCCCGAAGCGCCCTCAATCATTAACATATACCTAAAGGCAATTAAACGAGAGGGCGCTTTCGCGACGCCATTTTATGGGTAGGAACAGCAGAGATATCACGCTTATTGAAGTATTTTAACACATTTACTTTAATAAGGGAATAGATATGTGCTTGGCCGGTTTTAAACAAGTCTGTTAAGACCGACCGAGGGAATGGGCGCAGATTCGGGTCGGGCTATTATCACGGGCTTTTTACAATTTTACTTCATTTTTTTTCAACACCCCTCTGGCTATGTTATATTATGTGTCTCTCCCGCGTTGTCTTAAACAACTCCTTATGTGGAGATTGGCGCGCGCGTGGTGCGCACGTACGCGATGTGGCGCAGAACGCAGCGGTGCCGTATGAATTTATTATGAATTTAGTAGTGGTGAAGTATGAATTTAGGACTCTCGAAATACAGAATGATTACTGGCATTACGCATGGCTAAGTGAAGATTCTGAACGTTCAACCAATACAAGGATAAAAGGGGCCAGGCTTCATAGTCCAAATTTCATGTGACACTGGAAAAGCGTTGAAGACGAGCTAGCCGGTGTTTTATCAACCGTTTAAGACCGCCAACGTGGCGTACTCTCTTGGGTATTTATGAATATGAATATTAAAGAGTGTTTGAACTTTAGCAACATGTCAACTTACATCAATAAGCTAGGATTCGTAACATGTTTGCTGCTCCAGAATGGTGTCGCAAAAGCGCCCTCTTTCCCTAAAAAATATCACACCGGTCGCAGCGGCTTTTCATGGCAGCCATCTTGGAAATGCTGGTTTTTTTTTTCAAATGGATACCGAATACGCATAAGTAATCCTTTTGTGTATTCATTGTTACTAAATTGAAATTTAAGATGATAGATGCATTTAAAATGGTTGATGCATTTAAGAGACCTGTAAAATAATGAAATCTGTACAGCATGCGAGTATTATCTCTGCGTTTACTTTTTATGTAATCTTGAAAAATTTCGCTTAAAGTTAACGCTATGGTCTATAGCTAATTATCTTTAACTGAGAAACATTTAAATCTCATATTCTGTTTGGACTTTTTTATGTTTAACCATGAGGTTATTGTACGGTGTTAAACTAAATTTACCTTTTATGACTAAGACTTTTTGCTTATGTTCGTCACTCAGCATGGATTAAAATTTGACATTCATAACAACTAACTGTTTTACTAGTATGCAATATAGAATCTGTTATTAAGCGGCTCGGGCCCGCTAACCCCATTCCAAAAAGTTGCTTAGCTCAAAATACTGTTCTTTAAAATTTTATATGCCCAGCAAAAAGTCGGTACATAGCACCAGGTTTGGACTTGAATGACCAAATAATTATTTCCTGCATATATTGTGCGTCCAAGATGTGACGAAGCAAAATAAGTCTAGCTTTTCAATCTATAGGTAAATAAAACAAATCAAGGAGCACAGCTTAAATCCAAAGTTAAATTCGGTCACAATCTCGTTATTTTTAAAGGGACTTTTGTATATACGCGTACCCATTGTATAGCGTTAACTTATCTTTCGTTGTATGACGTAGGCAAACTTTTCGTCCAATCAACACCCAATACAATTCCCGCGCATAGTCGCGCTTCAAACAGGTGGAATGACGCGTTGACACCTTGATCAATCACAGTTTGATTGTATAATGCATTTTTTGGTTACGTACTGAATCGAGAGATCGTATGTTGCCCCAAATCTGTTTATATTATTTTCCAACTAAGGTGCAAATACCTTGCCAACTTAATTCTCCGCAATTTATGATACCGACCAACCCCCAGGCTGATGGCCCAGTTGCACTTAATGGTCTCTTGGAACTTTGGAAATATTTGGGAGTCGCCGCTGTGCGTGTTGGGAATGTTTCTGTGTCCCATATCCAGTTATCAAACACTTATGAAAACTATGACTGTAAATGACTGTACCTTTGGACTAAGCTATGAGATAACGATATCAGCGCGCAGTCATGGCAATTGCAGACATTGGACAACTTGCCTCACCGGTTGTATTGCCCTTTGTTGTCTGGTTTTTGTTGGCACATGGTGTTTATGTACCCGTCTGTGCAGGGTACTGTAGCGATAAATGTGCGCGCCAATTCAGTTCGCAGGCTAGGCCGGTTCGCAAGGAACCTGCCAAATATATGCAAGACTGGGGTACTGCATTTTGTTTCGGATTCAAATCAACGTATGTAAGTAGACGTTTCCAACTTATTATAACTACATTCCCTTTTTAAAATTTCTCCTCACTGATATTGAAAAGGGGGAAACTCTGTATAGCCTCACTAACTTAAGGTGGCCATTTTTTTTTCAACTAATTTGTTTCAAATGAAAAAAAAAAGGAGCAGACTTGAACTGAGGCTACGGAGTGGGAGTCCCCTTGAATATGCTTGAGAACGAAGCAACACAAAAGGAATGGGAGTTGCTGAAAAAATTCTAAGTCCAAACCAACTACCCTGTTGGCGGCTACGCGGTCACGAAGTGGGAGTGCAATGGAGCATGACGCATAGTACATACAAGTAGCACTGAGAATGTTTATTTAGGTCAACCAACCGTGACTTCGTAGCCAGCTACGAGGTGGATAGATCGAGTGGCGGGGTATTCTGCAATTGTGCCAATTTCTCTTTTTACAGTGTCAAAACTCGAAAATAAAACGGCACACCGTGTAATGTGAATGGCGCCCTCAATCGCCGATCAGTAGACTTGCCTCAGGGATTTGTGTTCTCCTTTCGGGGGAAGGGCAGGGTCTTAAGAATCATCCTGCAGACATTTTGTCTTTAATCAACTTGAACGTTACAGGGAAAATATCAGACTTTATTCAGGGGGTGTTTGGTCAAACATAAACTATGAACAAAAAAGTTGGGATCATTATAAAAACCACTTCCCGCATACCGCGATAATAGGGAGTCCACCTCCGTTCGCACACGCCGCGCATGTCTATTTTCACAGGCATCGTACACGGAATAAACTACTCCTAGAACTATGAGGCTCCGCGTGAGCGGAGCCTCATAGATCAAGAAGCCCGCAAAATTGCCTGCAGCACAAAACACTAATAAAGTACAAAAACGTCCATCAAAATGCAGCCATTTCACACAGAACCGCTGCACAGTTTGCCCCTATACTCCGTACTTTATCTCTTGACATACTCACCTATCTTGTGCGGAACTAACATGCGTGGATTCTGTCGGTTTTTAGGCCAAAATGATGAAAAATATGCCCTTTCCGCACTGAGCCAACCTGACACTTGAAACGTGCACGCATATGATCGAGCGATGATTTTCGGTTCGCTCGGAGCGCGCCGCGGGGGGTACGGTACAAGCGAAATGATAGTATGCACATGCGTACAAGTGCATGTATCGTACCCCCCGCGGCGCGCTCCGAGCGAACCGAAAATCATCGCTCGATCATAATGCGTGCACGTTTCAAGTGTCAGGTTGGCTCAGTGCGGAAAGGGCATATTTTTCATCATTTTGGCCTAAAAACCGACAGAATCCACCCATGTTAGTTCCGCACAAGATACGTGAGTATGTCAAGAGATAAAGTACGGAGTATAGGGGCAAACTGTGCAGCGGTTCTGTGTGAAATGGCTGCATTTTGATGGACGTTTTTGTACTTTATTAATGTTTTGTGCTGCAGGCAATTTTGCGGGCTTCTTGATCTATGAGGCTCCGCTCACGCGGAGCCTCATAGTTCTAGGAGTAGGAATAAACCACACCACCTGTAAGTTTTGTTTATATTAATTTAAAAAGGAAGAGTTATACTACACATAAGACAGGACAATTCTGGAAGGTTAGTGGGCAATCTCTATTCCGAACGAGAAACGTGATAAGTACCGCGATAATACGGCGTTCCATCCTACCGTGAGCACGCACGGCGTGCTGAATCGCAAGGCACAAACCGCGTAGGAAAATCGTGATTTCTACCCCAAGAATCTGTTCAAAATTGCAAAACGGGTGTCATTAGAATTGAGAAAAGTCTGCCTTTGATTGTAGGTGATTTTTTAGCATTAAAAAAAAACATTGATCTAAACAGGGCCCCACACTTCACGATCGCCATTTGTTCTTCCATAGCCCCATAAATGTGGCCTATTTACTGGACTGCCTCCGTAAACATAGGCCACACATCCACATGTACAAAAACGTGTCGCACTTTGCCAAATTTTGATGTTCACATTTAGGCTTAGTTTGAAGTAGCTTGAGTAACTCCAGCTGACATGCTCATATTCATTCACATGTGAATGAATATGAGCATGTCAGCTGGAGTTACTCAAGCTAAGTTTGAAGGTTTTTTTGGCTTTAGAAGCATACTCACCCTCTTTATAGGCTAATCAGAAAGTGCTGCCTTTTTCAGATGTATATTTTTTGTGAAATTTCATGTTGAAATTTTGATACGCAAACGTACGTGTAAAAATGAATCTGGAAATTTCACGAAAAATATACATCTGAAAAAGGCAGCACTTTCTGATTAGCCTATAAAGAGGGTGAGTATGCTTCTAAAGCAAAAAAAACCTACAAACTAAGCCTAAATGCGAAAATCAAAATTTGGCAAAGTGCGACACATTTTTGTACATGTGGATGTGTGGCCTATGTTTACAGAGGCAGTCCAGTAAATAGGCCACATTTATGGGGCTAGTTCTTCCAGTGACCAACTATAATCATGAAAATAACACATTTTTTTATACAGTCCTTCTGATTTGAAAATCACCGGTGTGTGGAAAAAAGCACACCTTGATTCTTTTAGGCGTGTGATTTTTCTAAGCGTGTGATTTTTCTAGGCAAGTGATTTTTCTAGGCGTGTGATTTTTCTAGGCGAGTGATTTTTCTAGGTGTGTGATTCTACGGTCCAAGCTGGGATATATTTCATAATACTGTACATGTATTCATCTTGGTTTACATTACAATATAACCATTTGCTCTTCACTGACGTACTATATTTTCACAAATTTTAAGTAAAATTATGCTGTAAATGTATGCTGAGTTGTGCGGTACTGAGGGATTCAGGCGTGCGATTATTCGCACTTCTCAGGAAGCATTTAGGCGTGTGGTGGCGTGGGGGTGTGATCGCACGCCTCAAAACAGTATATTTTATTTAGCGCTAAATTCTCCGGCGCCAAGCGCCGTAAAAACTGAAGATAAGCCTAGTGGATATATTGCCGGCGGTTCTGTCCATGCGTATATATCATAACTATTAGGGTTATGTGCTTACAGGTTCTGTACTTACGGCTTCTGTCATGTCTGTGCTTACGGTTATATTTCCCCAAAACCTCAGAAACATAAAGCCTCGAAAGGAGGGGCGTGACTAGTGTCTCGTGCCTCCTCCAACTTAAACTCCACTGCTGATAATAATTTTTTCGTAACCTATTTCTTCCAGACGTCACCATGGAGATTCTCGCGGCCTTGACCGTCCTCGATGTTCGAACGATTCTCCTGGGGATCGCCGTGTTTCTCGTCGTGTTGCGCTTCCTTCGTCGACCGCGGAATCCGCCTCCCGGGCCCTGGGGCTGGCCCTTCCTGGGAAACCTCCCACAACTGATGTTGTCCGGAGGCGAGATGCACGAGAACTTCTCGAAGCTGACTGCCAGGTAGGAGCAAGTGCGATCGAAGAGCATTGATAGACTGGTGATAGATTCTAGACGTAATTTGCGCCTGCGCGCCAATCGCAAATGTTTCCTTGGTTCATCTATGGACCTGGTCAAACATCATACTAGCCTTGGTCAAGGCATTACTCGTTATTCGTCCGTACGTAAACGATCGGCAGCATATCCTCGCTATGCGGTGCATTAAAAATATAGCGCGAACAGCGACCTCATGCAGCCTTTATTTTATGCAAATCATTTGGATCCAGACGAATGCCTTGGTCCAATCGTCCATTTGAGGTTTTTAGGGGTGGTGCTCATTATGCTAAAAAAAGTCGTTTTCTTATTGGTCGATCGTTGCGTGGAACTGGCATATAACAGCGAGCGGTACTGGCGAGACATGTATTGTACACAATACATGCACACACGCTGTATGTCGCGTCGATGTCTCACATTACACACAGCACCAATGCATAAAAAATATAGTTTTTGACACGTCCGCAAAGGGCGAATAGCTGCAAAAGTTTGATGACGTCGAGATTTACTAAGGTGTGTTTGGACACTCCACATATTAGTCCCGCCTACACTTATCTGTATTCGCACGAGGTCGTGCGCTGGAAATCTAGCACAAAATAAAGCAAAACATAAGCTTCATGGATGAGTGGACCAAGGCGTTCGTCTGGATCCAAATGATATGCATAAAATAGTTGCCGTATGAGGTCGGTGTTTGCGCTGTATTTTTAATGCACTGCATAGCGAGGATATGCGATCGTTTAATGCGTACGGACGAATAATGACAACGCCTTGACCAAGGCTAACATCATAGGCACTTGTGATTATGCCTGCCTTTGCACAACTCATTGCTAACCAAATTTTCCCACTAGATACGGTAACGTTGTAAGCATCAATCTGGCGGGAATGTCAATGGTCGTTCTGCATGGGCACAATACAGTAAAAGAGGCGTTCTCACGGCAGCAGCTCAGCGACCGACCGCCCGCTTACATGACCACGATGGTCGCCCCCGGACATGGTAAACCATAGCATTCTTGAAAAATGTTACCAGAATTATTTTCCTGGGTTGAAATTCTTCACTAATAATAACTCCCTCACACATTTGTACACGAGCATGTACACGCTTGATTGAGGCATTGATGCACATGTTTTTGTTTTTATTTTAACCTTCGCACTGTCACCTTTGCAGGTTTCCTTGCATCCTCGGGCGAGAACTGGGTGGAGCTACGTCGCTTCTCCATGACCGTTCTCAAGAAACTTGGGGTGGGCAAGTCCGCCTTCGAGCAGAACATTGTCACAGAAGCCGAGATCTTCCTGGAGGAGGTCCAGAAACACGGAGGCGAGGCGTTCGACCCAAAGCCCGCCCTGGGCAACGCCGTGGGTAACATCATCAGCATGGTGGTCTTCGGCAAACGGTTCCAGTACACCGACCCGTCGTTTAAGCGTCTCCAGCAGGCCAATTCTGATCTGGCTTTGCAGGCTGGGGCAGGGAGCGTGTTCGAATTCTCACCGGTGTTCAACAAGCTGACCATGCTCCCATTTGTGCGGAGCTATGCCGCCAGCTTGAGGAACTACTACGGTCAAATCAACCAGCTCATTGCAGAGCACAGCAAGGAGAAGAGCGCCGATCATCAGGAAGATCTCATTGATATCTTCTTGAGTGAGCGGAAAATTAAGGAGGAACAGGGCGTGGAGAATGCAGCTCTGCGACCGAGAAACTTGCAGCACATCGTCGGGGACCTGTTCGGGGCCGGGTCCGAGACCACCGCCACCAGTCTCCGATGGGGCATGCTGTACATGATGGCGTACCCTGAGATACAAACCCGGGTCCAGAAGGAACTGGATGACGTCACTGCTCGCAATCGCCTGCCCAGGATCGCAGACAAGCCTGAGCTGCCATATACGGAAGCAGTGTTGTGTGAGATTCAGCGCATTGGAACCATCTCGCCGTTGGGTCTGCCTCACGCAACCACGGAGGATACCACTATCGCCGGGTAATCAAAGTAGTGAATTTAACTTCAATTGTTAACCCGAAATGAAATAGGCATACACGACAATCATAAATTTTACTGGTCCCAGTGTGACAGCCTTCTTTATGCCTAACTGACTGACCAACGACTCACTGATTGACAGTCATTTGTGAGTCGGGCAGTTCTATTGTATAGGTCTACCAAAGTAACACCAAAGAAAAGCATAATGTAGCCCACTGTGTAGATTGGTACACATGAAAAGACTTGAGCAGCTATTCTGACACACCTGAAAAAAAAGGCTTTCAGGGACTATGCTTTACTTACGCTTGCCCAATCTTGCCATTACATCTACAGATACAACATTCCCAAAGGAATGACCCTCATGTATAACATCTGGCACAACCACTTCGACCCGCTGGTATGGGAAGAGCCGGAGAAGTTTCGTCCGGAGCGATTCCTTGATGGGGATGGCAAGTTTCGTTCCAGGGAGGAGTTCATGCCATTCGGAACTGGTAAGCAAACAGCTGTTGCGTTAACCACAAGGCCTAAAGATGTTATGGTGCTGTCCGTGCATTTTTCAAGGGTCATTTTTAAATCGCGATATTTCTAGCTGTAGGCCTTACACAGTTTATGACCTCGGGTTGTCGGACGCGCGGTGCGGCTGGCCATACAAACACGAGGTCATGAACTGTACAATGAATATTCATAACTTTGCCAAGCTCGCCCGCATAATGCATGCATTACGACGCGTCCGCCATTTTGAAATCCCATGGAGGAACATTTTTGAGACAATATTCGTGGGAGCTGATGACCGATCATTGTTTTTTGGCCAGAAACATGAAGATTTCTAGATAAAAGAATGTGTTTTCGAACAGGCTTGAGTTCGTCTACGACAAGGTACCCTAACGTTGGAAATTTATGTCCTGGATGAGAAGATAATTTAGATCAAAATCAGTAGTAAAATCGCTACATCTCTTTTTAGCGTTTAGGGGAGCATGGTCTGTCTGGCCGTACAGAGCTTGTGATACTTGTGTACGGCCAGAGACAGTCTGGCTATTCTGCCCCTTGCATAATCTATAATGTTGGAACCGAAACCAGTCTACTGCAGGTTACAGCCTGCATGTCTGTTCGTGCTTAAAGGTACAGTCCATCGTTTGTAATTTGTGCATTTTGTTCGTTTGAAGCGACAAACGCGCTCAAAATCTAAAGAAGGGTGCTGAACAACTAACCTGATGAACTTTCAGCTCAGCTTCAGCTGTATATTTTGAGAAAAGCAGCATTCTAGGATCTCGATTTCAAATCAAAAGTTGCTGAATCATGTTTAGAATTGGGCCTGAATTCAGCGTCCGAGACACGTTCTCACTGAGCAGATTGCAGCTACGCGATGTTGCACACCAATCCGACGAATTATAGCAACCGTGCGCACGTCTGCATCGTGTCAACGCTTGCGCATGCTTTGCCCAAAAACAAAAACAAAACGGAAATGTCCAACGATGCATCTTTAGAGGCACTGTTGGAAAGGTCTTCTGTCGTTGATTTCTTCAAAATGACAGCTTGCCAGAAAGAGTAATTTCTCAGGGAGTGCAGTCCCCTTACTATCTTTCAACCAAGAATGTTTTTCAACAATAATTACATCAGTTACTTTTTGGATAGCTGCGAATGATGGACTGTAGCTTTAAAAAACAATTGCTGTCCTGTTTATATGTATATAGCCGTACTTCATGTAAACTGTTCTTTGACTCCGTCTCATTTCGTCTCGCACAAAAAAATCCACTATCTGCAGGTCGCCGCATGTGTCTGGGAGAGCACCTGGCCAAGATGGAGCTCTTCGTCTTCTTCACGTACCTTTTGCATCACTTCACGATGAAGAAACCTGACCATGTTCCCGCCGTGTCCTTCGAAGTAGAGCAAAACAGCTCCTTGAGGGCACCGCAGAACTTTGACATCTGCCTCATTGCCAGAGATTAGACTCTCCCCCTCCCCTAACAAAAATATGGGGACCGGTAGCTAGCTCCGATTGAAAGCCATTGATTGGATCACATCTGAGCATGCGCGCAGCATGATTGTTTATTTTTGAATCAACATTCAGCTTTGTGCAAGGACGATGGTTGAACACAATACCAAAAAACTATGCAAAAATCGAAGCTCATCACCTACGAAATTGCACATGTGTGGCCTATTACCGTTTTGAAAGTGGTTGCGCGCCAACATTACCGTTGTGATTTTACGTTTGTAAATGCAGGAGGCGGGATTCGACTATGCACGTCCAGCATATTATTTGCATACATTATTTGAAAGCATCCTAATTAATGTTTAAGCTAGGATTTACTGCTAGCTACCTGTCCCCATTTTTGAAGTCCCAAGGACATGGAGGGACAGGGAACCAGACTATTATGCCAAAGATTAAGCCATCATTTAGGACACAGGGAGTGCGTTAATTAGTAGAAATAGTACAGCAGTTTGGTTTAAAGGGACACTGGGTCCTGGAACAGCCCAATTGGGCTACAAAACGCGCGTTGAACGAGATGATGTTAATCGGAAATAACATTTAAAACTAGGATATAAACATCCACACAACTATCCTTTAAAAACTGGGCGTGTTTGTGTTATTCCTGTATTATGCGTGCGAAAATGAATTTCGGGGTCCACTTTTGCGACCCCATAAATTCGAGCTGTTTGGATGCCATTCGTAAAGTGTTCGCATTTTGCGGACGTGGAAGAACCTATATTTTTTTGCATTGGTGATTGGTCACTGCTGTTCCCGAGACACACAACGTGTATATCGTACACTGAGAACGACACGAAAAACGTATCAGTACTCCGTCGTGTCTGATGTAAACAACCGCGTTTTTTTCGTCTTCTCGGAAACGGTAGGACATTAGGTTGGTTTCCTTTCCACCAGATGTTTGATGCTAAGTACACAATCCAAAACATGAAATTTTGGGGGATTTCAGGACCTAGTGCCCCTTTTAATTCAATCTAAAAATCAAAGATTAATGTCGTGAAGTTTCAATAACCTTGGGTTGTACACCACTGAAGGCTTTGTAAAGAGCGCCCTCATTGACTCCAATATCGACCTGAATGCTATTTGAACGATAACTTGGTTGCCATAACAATATGGAGCCGGATGGGACATTTTCCGTTTTTCTGAAATAACTATAATATTGAGGCCTGAAATATAATGTAATATTTTGCCTGAAATGATATAATGAATATAAGTATTAGCATAAAAACCAAAAAGGCACCCAAAATACCTATAGTTATAGCAAAACTATAATTACCAAAAAAATTGAAAATAAAGTTAACTTGGTTGCCATAATAATATGAAGCCGGATGGGAATTTGTCCGTTTTCTCCCAAAAGGATTTTCGCAGGTTTTTTGCCCCTCCCGTAAATATATTTTTTTGATGTCACAAGAAATATCCAAATTTGTCGTGTTCACTTATTTCACCTTAAGCCTTTAGGAAAGTCTGTTAGAGTTGTCGTTTAAAAACGAAACGTGCAATATTCATAATAGTTGCTTTACAATCATGCTGTAGTCCCATATGCTTATATTTTATTTTATTGTGCCGTATTGTCTTTGTAATGTATATGTGTGTAGTCATTTGTAGTTTATGCAGGGCCCCAATAGAAACAGTTTTAAACTGTTTTGGCATACCCTGGGTAAAAAAAAAAATAAATGATGAATAAATAAATGAATGGGGTACAAAGGTGCATTTTCAAAAATTGCATTTAAACATTACATTGAATGTGACTGTAAAATGTGAATAATTAAAATTTGAAAAAGAAAATCCCCAAGATAGCAGATGCATTTTAAGAGAAAGATGTGAGAATTATCTCTGCCTTTACTTTTTATATGTTGTCTTAATTGCAACTCATAAAATTCGCTGCAAAGTCAGTATGCCTGAAAGTGATTTAACTGAAATAAATATTAATCTCATTGAACAGTGTATCCATTTTTTTTGTACAATGGTTTAATCATGAAGTGCTTGTGGTAGTGTTCAACTTAATGTAGCCGGGCAGTGCTATTGTATAGGATTACCGAATATATTAGACTTAATCCAGTCCATTCAAGTGTACACTATATGCATGCGTAATATACTAATATAGGGGGAGTGCTTGCCCCCCCCCCCCCCCCCCCCCCCCCCCCCCCCCCCCCCCCCCCCCTGTGGGGGTAGGGCAAAGGCTCCCCTGCTCACGCTTGGAAAAATGATAAATTGAGAATATAATGAAAAAGTTAAGGAATTTTGGGGAATATTTTGCTTTGCCCCCCCCCCCCCCCTGGAAAAAATCCTGGCGACGCCCATGTGGGCAGCTTAAATACCTGTGAGAGTTCTGAGTATTTTTAAAAGAATTTTGAAGTATGGGCAGTTTAGCATGGGAATTTTAATACAGGGGTGCAACCATGGAGGAATAAATTACAATACACCCCGCAAAAACAAAAGATAAACCAGAACTCCTGAAGAGGGACTGCAAACAAGTCTAGACTGCCAGCTGTTTGTTTTGGTCTGGTACCTGATATCCGCGCACGCGCGCATGGACCACCGGACATAAACATCAATACGGATACGCGTGATCTTTGCTCAGCTAGCGCAGCGCTCGTGAGCAAATACAACACGGCTGCGCTGCCGAGAAGTTCACGGGCAAAGGTGAGTAAATATTTACATCAGATAAATAGGTTATATTCTTACATTATAGGTCATATATTTTCATCTTATGAAATACAAAATAAACTGCTTTCTAGCTAGGCGGTAGGCATGGTAGGTAGGCCCAAGTTTACAGACAGACCAGACCGACAATGACCGATGTCATGTGACAATCATCACGGTCGTTACTCATGTCGATCATTTTGTTGACTTGACTTGTTGTGCAACTGCAATCGATACTTTTTGTCTGCTTCGCTAGTGCGCATACGAAAACAGTGTTTGGAAGAAATGGTGCATGTTGATGCCACTCAGTGAAGGACGGTCATTGCAAAAAGGAAAAAAAATTGTTGCAACCTGACGCCACTTCAGCGGTTGTGTATTGTTGATGTACCCTAACGTGGCGCGGCCCCTAACGTGGCGCACTTTGATTTTTCGCCTGTAGCGCCTAGCTAGAGCAAAAGTTTTAACTGAAATTTCACAGAAAGTGAAATTTCATCAAGTTATAAACACTCCCGTTCATAAATCGCGAGTTTATTTACCCGCTACAAAGTTAAAAGAAAAAATTATTTTGGCGTGATTTTCCGATTTTATTTTCAAGTGCAAAGTGAACCCTTTGAAAATGCCCCGAAAAATAAGAAAATAATTTTGTGACAAACATCTGGCTGGGTATGTAGGTAGAGATAATAATGATTTATCAGAATTTATCGAGTTTACAGAAATTCTTAATTTGGAATTTTCCGAGATTTATTTTAGTGCGCCACGTTAGGGAACACTCCGCCAAATTGTGCCCAATTTCCGGACGCCACCGTTTTTTAATTTCGGCTTAAATTTTATGAAACCGAAATTGTTCACAGAGGTTAAACAGCAAGCATTAATAAGGTAAAAGTACCAGTATTTCACTGCATGAATTTGAGGTTTATCAACAAAGAGGTTTGGCAACACTACACGAGGAAATTTGGGTAAGCTTCGAAGTGCGCCACGTTAGGGAACACGACTATACAAAGTCTGTGGAGAGTCTAGCCCCATAAATGTGGCCTATTCAGAAAGTGCTGCCTTTTTCAGATGTTCATTTTTTGTGAAATTTGATGTTGAAATTTTGATACGCAAACGTGTGCAAATGTATCTGGAAATTTCACAAAAAAAGTACATCTGAAAAAGGCAGCACTTTCTGATTAGCCTATATAGAGGGTGAGAATGCTTCTAAAGCAAAAAAAACCTACAAAGTAAGCCTAAATGTGAAAATCAAAATTTGGCAAAGTCGACACGTTTTTGTACATGTGGATGTGTGGCCTATGTTTACGGAGGCAGTCCAGTAAATAGCCCACATTTATGGGGCCATGGAGAGTCAAGAAAATGTTCTGAGTATTTCCTAACAAAATTGGAATGTTTCTCAGTCCCAAATTCATGGTCGTACTCTTAAAATTCTTATCATCATTTTTGCAGTGACTGACCTTCATTGAGATGATATAAAATTTATGAAGAAAAAGGGGCGTCTGGTTGAAACATTTTTTCCTGCAGAAATATCAACATGATCAAAAAGACATGAATCTGGACTGGGTCTGAGAAACATTTCCAGGTTCGAACTTCGAAGTGTACTTTTTCCCATTAAAAAAGAAAAGAAAACACAGTTGATCATCCCTGCCTGCATTCTTTATTTTGTCTCGCCTCAAAAGCCTTTTTTTTATGCATAAACAGATAAAACATGCATAAATTGGGTAAACTACCGGTACATAGAATATTGTCAATGATTATTTAACTTCTATGTATTTCGATTTACCAGTACCATGTCTACTTGAAGTAACGGTAGGCATGGTATTGGTAGGCCTATTATTAAACTGCTAACTCATCATGTCGAGCGAACGTGTACTGGCCTACAATGTAGTTTATATAGCGTGCCCTCCTGGCAAGCACGCCCCGAGATCGAGTCCAAACCTTGCTGTTTTTGAAACTCTATTTTTATGTCCCAAAAAGTAAGAATTGTCGTTTATTTACTTAAATCGAACTCTGGATGAAGTTTTTTAAGGGAAATGAAGTCTGAAATTACATCAGGTCTGAGTCCCATCTTGTGACTATGAACATGATCATGATGAAGTGACACATCATTGAAAATTTCCGTTAGTATCTCAATTCAAATATAATCAGATAATAGGGTTCTGCCTGTTGCCTAAAAGTAACCCTGCTATCCAGGTCATGGCAGACTTTCACAATGAATACTTCCTTCCGTGTCTCTTCCGAGGGGGAAGTGTTTTGATGAAGTCAAGATGTTCTGCCGAATGAATGGGAAATTCTAACCTACAGTGTGTCTAAAAAAAACACACCACAGAACCCTTAAAGCGCCCTCTTTTCACAGTTTTTAAAAATATACATCGCAAATTTCTTTACATATTTGGGGAGTCCATAAGCTTTTCAACAACGGAAAAAAATCTGTCCAATTGGTGAAATAGTTATTGAGTTATGGCCAATTGAAGATAAGTACCGATTGAAAAATCAGATTTATTTTGAATTGGCCATAACTCAATAAATTTCCGTTGTTGAATTTTAGCTAATTGACTATACTCTCTAAATATGTGTAGATATATTTGCGATGTATTTTTATAAAAGCTGTGAAAAAGAGAGCGCTAAGGCCAAAAAAAAAAGTCTCCGGTTTCTGGTATGGAGCTTGCCCAAAAGGGGTGCGGCGACGTGGCTTTTTTTTTTTTTTTACCTGTTTTTTTTTTTTTTTTGGCTTCAAATGTCGGCTGATGACTGCAAATGGTGCCCGACTAAACTTAGTGCAAATATATGGGAGTCCAGAGAGGCCACATAAATCTTATTCTCGATCATAAACCCTTCTAAAAACACGTTAAAATTGTGCAGCAGCATAATTCCAGTCAAACTAGTGAGTTTGGCGGTTTTGAAACATCATCTTGTATTGACAAAAAAACTTTTTCATTTTGCCGACGCGCATGGCTATGGCGACGCGCGCGCATACCAGAAACCGGAGACTTTTTTTTTGTGTCCTAAGGGGGTGTGTCCGTACAGGAAATGAAGGTCACCGACCTCAGGAAGTACTTTGTTTTTGTTCCTTATCCAATCCAGATCGGATTTCAGATTTATGTTCAGTGTATCTGTCATCAGTTTCCGGAGGGGAGGTCTTATATGTATGTATTGAATGCAGAACTTCCGTAGCCCATTATACAGGGTGAGTAAAAAACAAGCGGAACAAATATGTAGCACCAAAAATAATTATGACTGGTAAGCCAATTATTAAAGTACTTTTTAGATGAAAAAAAATCACTTCAATTGCTCAATCGGTCCAAATTATATCACCATAATTTAAATGAAATTAATCGAAAATCAGTTTCTTTCCCCCCTCCCCAAAAGCAATTTATTGTGTGTTCCACATTTTCTTTGTTTGGAACAACAAAGAAAATGAAACAGAATACGTGTTTCAACAACTGTACGTGTAGTACACAATATCTTTATTAACCAACAAGCCTGCTTCGGCTATAACAATAGGATTGATCAAATCTACAGTTTTTTTTTCAAAGACGGGCCTTTAAAATGACTTTGTTGAATGTTTTTAACTTTTAAACTGAGGTTTTATCGCTGGTGATGTAGTGAAGGCAATTGTAGTGACAATTCTTGAAATTGCATTTTTGGACGAAACAGATTTTAGGGTCATTTCATTTAAGTGGTGATATAATTTGAATGGACTGAGCAATTGAAGTAATTTTTTTTTCATCTAAAAGTAGTTTATTAAATTGACTTACCAGTCATAATTATTTTTGGTGCTACATATTATAAATAGCTTGAAAAGGTGCTTACGAATGAATTAGTCTTGTTTTCAATGTTGTGAGTGGTAGAGAATTTGTTTACTATTTCTGTAATAACTAATTGCATTTTTCACGTGTAAACAAAGTCTTGAAATGTTTTGGGGAACAAAAAAAATCACCTCAGCCGAAACAGTGTCAGTTTTTCCAGAACTGATATCAGAATAAAAAAGATTCCAATAAGTTGTGTAAATATTTGTCCATTTTTATAGGGGCTCATTAAATGTCATCAACAATTCTGACATCTTTCCACGGAACCCTTTTCCCCCTCGAAATCCATGTTTATTTTGTTTATGTGAACATAAACAATTGAACCTTAAACTGTCAATAAATCTTTTTTGTTTGTTTACGACAGTCGACAGGAGCCCATAACACAATGACTTGCAAGCACTTCTGAAGTTCTTGTTGATTCCGTGGAGGTCGAAACTCGCCCCAGATTTTTTTTTTCTGTTGCACAACTGCAAAAAGGGGTACAATGTCCAATATGGCATACTTCACAAAACTGCGTGTGCAGAGTCAGGCTTCCGATGGGGCCTTATCAGATGGGTGTGTGGCGGCCGAGCGGGGTACCGGCGAGTTTTTGCAACCACTGCACATTAGCGACGACCCGGAGCTGCTGTGGCAGACGCAGAGCTGCTCAAATCTCAACGAGGACGAGTGTCGAGACGAGTTTCGAGACGTCTTTGAGCCCTTTGGGGGCGGATTTGGCGGCTTCCAGAAAGGGGGCGGGACCAAATCGGGGACCTCGCCAGTCTCGCCGAAGGCGGGGAAAGGAGGGAAGTTGCAAGGTCCACCGCCCTACAGACTGCGACACAGGTACATGTATTGCTTGTAATTGTTCGGAGGAGTGCGTTTTTACATTGGGAATTTGAATATGATGAAAGTACATGTACAGGTGTTATGTTAAATGATAATGCCAATGTACATGTACATGTACCCGTATGAGTTTGCTGTATGACTTTTGTACATGTACATGATGTACAGGCTGACTAGATCTGTTTGTGATTTCATATACTTTACATGAATTTTGCTCAGAAACATTTTGAGTGGAAGTTAACAAACTTGCATTTTGTATCTGCCATCTTGAATAAAGGTGTTTTAAATAAATCTATTTAAATTTGATAAATTAAAGGGAATATACATCATTTGCTTTTGCTGTAATTTTCAGAAATGGATGGAATTGGGGGGTTGGAAATATAAAGCAAATATAGTTACACTGACTTTTTGGAGGTTTTGGGTTCGAAAATGCTATAAAAACCAAGAAAAACGATCATTTTCCTGTAGTCTGGTTCCCTGACTCCATATAAGAAGAAACAGAGCAGTTTACATACATTGGGGAATTGTAAGGTCAGGGAACCAGTCTAGCTGGCTCGTACCCGTTCATAGGTTTGTAATCGATTGCAAACAAGTGCAATGGTCAATTGGGGCCAGTATTTGAAAAAAAAGCCAGTTGTTTCCAACGCTGATCGGCCGATCAGCGTTGGAAATTGATACAAAAATACCACTTTTCTTGAAAATGACAGTATACCAGGTGCCATAATTTTACAGGATGCTTTAGACTGTCATTTACCAACATCCTATTAAGGTATTTCGCAAAAACTTGGTAGTTTTATTTTTCGATGTTTGCAAATGTTGTATATTCCCTTTAACAGTAGAATGTCACCATAACACTGGTAGTAGAGGGTGAGTCAAAAAGATAGTGACCTTGATTAATTTGTTTTTAAAAAGCAATCAAATTTAATACAGGAATGAAGTATGTCTTGAAAGAGCATGTTCTTCCACTCATTTAGTGCCAATTTCATTGCGCTGCTAAGCACAAAAATTTGCTTAGCACAAAAAAAGTCTGCTTTATAAAAGTAGGTTACCAGGCAAAACTCCATGTGATTTTCATGCTAAGCAAACAACAGCTGAATACTGATCACGACCAATATACATCACATGGAGTTTGGGCTGGTTACCTGCTTTTATAAGCCAGACTATTTTTGTGCTAAGCAAATTTTTGTGCTAAGCAACGCCGTGAAATTGGGCCCTGGTAAAAGAAAAACCAAAATAGGCCTACTGAAATTGATCCATGCTATCTGAAGTTACATTCAGTATTTAACATGCATACATACATGTATGTATGCATGTTAAATACTTAAAGAACCTAGCTGTCCATGGAATGCCATTGGAAGCTATTGAGCTGAGTGAGAATTACAGATTACACGTAGAACGGTAAATGATCAGTGGCGGACAGCTGAATTTTGTGATCTGTTTATTAAAATTGTCATAACTTGGGAATAGAGTTTTCACAGTTACTAGTCGATAACATATACTTTATCACTATGTTATTTTTATGAACTAGAGTGAGCCACATATTTTTTTAAAGTATTGTTTATGATCCTTTCACTTTCTTTTTGACTCATGTAAATAACTTGATGTTTCAGGTGACTCGAGAACAACTTCTAACAACAAATCCTTTTTCCTCAAAGCCTGTGTCAAAATCCCTCGGCTACCGCTTTCAATAACACATGTATACACCTATGGAAGCCATTGCAGCCACTTCTCATAGACACATGTTGAGCTAGCCGCAGCCATTTCATTTGGACGCCATATTTTAAACCTCCTTTCTTAACAGAATGAGCGTGACAGACACTCCCCTAGCCAAGCTGCCCAACTGCCTTTTGGAGGTGTGTGTCTTAGTGGGTCTGGACCCGGAGACTGGAGTTCATTTTGGCAGAAATGCACAGGTAAATATAGCCTGAAAGTACGCCATTTTGTCTTTGAACTTCCAGGCCCCTCCGTGACCCTTCTATGGGCATTTTACACGAGGTTTCCCTTTTTCTTGCTATAATTTTTGACAGAGTGATTTCCAACCGTAATCACTCCAAGAACCATTCAAGTTGGAATTTTATCTTGGCATTCCACAAGAAAAAAATGATGAGAAATCAGTTGGAAATGGGTAAAAACGAATTTGACTTACGACCTTTCACATCTTGATTTTTGTACCCACAGTAGGTCTTCTTGTTCGATCATGTTTGTTTTCACGTTTGTTTTCACGTTTGTCGCATACTTGCGTGAGAACGAATATGATAAAGACGCGAAGATTTATCTACCTACATCCGATGGATTCTGGATTTAATTGGGCTTGCTTGAATACATTTCTTATCAACGGCCATGTTTGATTTGTTTGTAAATGAGAATTAATCCTTGAACTTTATTCCAAAGAATTGTGTGCCCCAAAATACATTTTAGTCTCCTATTTAAGTTAAAGTTTTTACCCAATGACCAGTTAGGTAAAAACAGTAAGCGGTGAGACTTTGAATAGTTAAATACAACATTATCTCTATGAAAACGGTCACAAATCCATTTCAGAACCTGACTGTATAATAAACCCCTTTTGGGCTACAGAGTTAAATAATTGCTGTGGTATGTGTGGAATGTAACAGTGGATATAAAAAAAAGTTACAGAAAATTTGTTGTTTTGAAAGACGAACATGTACAATTAAAGTTCAAAAATTATGGTCAACACCATGTTTAATATGTTTTCTATGCCTTAACTTTTGTGCCAAAAAGTTCCATTTTGGGTTTGATAGCGTGAAAAATTGGAGAATCCAGATAAGGTTACATGTGCCTGCCCCGTTTGCAGGCATGGAACTTTTCCTCGGATCAGCTGATTTCCTTGTTTTTCACTTCTCACTTAAGCCATTGTCTTATAAAGATTGGAGTTTCCTAGTTTGTTTTATACTTCCAAGTTGCATGCATTAAGAAAAGTTGCCATTTACATGTATTTATTGTATTCATCCCGACGTAAAACTCTTCCACGGTAACTGTTACTATGCCAACCAGGTCTCGGAGAAGGCCACCTCCAGCCTCTTCAGTCTTCCCCTGGACCCCCAGATTCTGGCCGTCATCAACAACCAGCTCGCCTACTTCCCAAACTCCAAGATTCCGACCGATTCGTACTACCCCCCGGTGCTGGTCAAGGTCGCGTCGAAGAGCTCGCGCAAGAACCAGCCCCCGCTGAAACGCGGGGCCTCGCGGAGGTTGTCGGTCAAGCCGCGGCCCGCCACGTTCCCGCATAACCAGGAGATGATCGCATCCTTGCCAACGCTTTGCTTTCCTAGTAAGATTATTAATTCAAATTAGGTTTTTTCCCTTCACCGACGTTTAAACACTGTATACTCATTGTGTTACCTCCCAAGTGAAAGTTGGAAAAAATTTGATTTATATCACCCCGACGCAAAAATGCCATCTTATAATAGTTTATGCGCTACCCACTGCTATGTACATCAGATTCGAACCGGCCAACCAATCCCGTTAGCTCGGAGGTCGAGTGGTAAGACATCTGCACTAGAAAGCAGGAGGTCGTGGGGTCGAGTCCCACCCGAGTGATTTTTTCCAACTTTCACTCGGGAGGTAACACACTGAGTATACAGTGTTTAAACGTCGGTGAAGGGCAAAACCTAATTTGATTTATATCACCCCAACGCAAAATTCCATCTTATAATAAGATTATTGATTGCCAAACAATGGCGGGTGGTAGCACGAAAACCATTTGTCCTATGGCGCAAAACTTACAATTTCATCTGTTTCAGCCTAAGTTACCCTACATTCTAAATATGAGCAAATTTGAAGGGAGTGGGGTTTAACCACTTGGGTGATTTGACACAGAATGACCCTGAATCAAATACAATGAAAGAAAGATTTGAACATGTTGAATAATTTTAACTGGATGGTATGCACCTCACATGTATCTACCTAACCTGATTGTATCACTTTGTCTCTCCTAATTATCATCATAATTTCACCTTGCAAACCTTTATGGTATTCGTTTACTTAGTTTCATTTAATTATTTAGTCAATTCTTTCAAATTTTAACTGGGTAGCCCATTCAGTGGAATCCAGTGGTCTCCCATGGGGCCCAGTAAAGAGAAGACAATGTGAAGAAATGACAGTTGTAGATGTGGGAGGAACACCCCAGAATAGAATATTCGGGGAAAACCAACGGAATCAGGCTGGGACTGAAAACCAGTCCATGTGTTAGCCCAGGCAGGAATCGAACCCGGTTCACAGTGGTTGAAGGCGAGGAAAGTACTGCTACGCCAACCTGACTCGCCAGATTTTGATGTATTTATTGTGGACACAGTGTGCTTTCATTTGTTATTTCATCATTTTGATTTTTATTTTGGTTTCAGGTGAAGCCTATTTACTTCCAAACAAACCCCAGGAGTCCTTTCAGTATCTAGTCCTGACCAGTATTTGCGGCAGCCGTTCCTACGCCACTTGCCTCACCTTCCACCGGCAATACTACCTCGTCATGGTAAATTTGACCTATTACAAAATCTTGTGACCAAGTCATCATTTTGTTGCTCTACTAATACTATAAATCGTCCAAATGTACAGCATGACCCCTGTTCCTCAGGCCATGAGACCAGTTTTCTTGCAGCAGCTCAAGATCAGTGCAATCTGGTCTCTACCCACACAGGTACCCGTTTATACTCCTGGGTGGAGAGAGGCAAATGTGGTAAAGTGTCTTGCCCAAGAACACAAACACCATGATTTCTTAAGATTCAAACACTCTTACAATCACGGGTGATTCGGACACCCTTGGGGAGACATCAAAATGTCTCCCTAATGACCGATGTCTCCCACCTTTCGAAGAAATTACGATAACATATCTCCTTAATGGTACATTTAGTGGAATAATAATAACGGGTTCTTATATAGTGCTGTTAAATAAGATCAAAGCCCTTTACATCATTATTACCCCTGATCATTGGTCCAATTAAGCATTCCAAATACAATCTCAGCTCCCTGGGGAGTATACAACTCGATGCAGCCCGTTAGGCGCAAGGAAGCTAAATCAATCACAAGAACCATCTCTGCCCTCACAGGTACCCATTTACTCCTGGGTGGAGAGAAGCAATGAGTGACAAAGTACCTTGCCCAAGGGCACACGCACCATGACCCCAGGCTGGACTCGAACCCACGACCTGCAGCTTTACCCGCAGACCACGAATCCAATGCCCTTAACCACGAGGCCACAGCACAACGCTACTTAAGGCCCAAAAAAAGCTCCAGTTTCTGGTATGCGCGCGCGTCGCCGTAGCCATGCGCGTCGGCAAAATGAAAAAGGTTTTTTTTCAATGAAAGATGATGTCTCAAAACCGCCAAAGTCACTGGTTTGACTGGAATCCTGCTGCTGCACAATTTTAACGTGTTTTTGGATGGGGTTATGATCGAGAATAAGCTTTATGTGGCCTCTCTGGACTCCCATATATTTGCACTAAGTTTAGTGGGGCACCATTTGCAGTCATCAGCCGACATTTGAGGCAAAAAAAATCATGTAAAAAAAAAAAAAAAGCCGCGTCGCCACACCACTTTTTGGGCAAGCTCCATACCAGAAACCGGAGACTTTTTTTTTTGGCCTAAGTTAATATCAGCAAAAAAATTGGTAATTTTTTTCTTCTTTTCTGAAGGCGAAAGACGGCAAGTTTGAGTTGCATCCCAATATGCCCGTCATGGAGGACAAGAAGAAAGCAGCAGTCACGTGTTATGTGCCGTCCTGCATATGTGCCATCTCCTCCCAGCCGTATTTCCTAGTCATGAAACAGTGCCTGTCAACGTGAGTCTAGTTGCCCATAGTTTTTTGAACAAATGCTGTATTGACGAGATGTCCTGGGTACAAACAATAGAAATATCATTGTTAAACTAATTCAATCAAAACTTTAAAGTTAGAGTAAATCATTTGTGATGCGATCAAGCTAAATGAGTCGTTTGTCGGGAATTTTTTTTGGAGATACAGGCCAAAATAAGATCACTTCATCACATCACATCATGACGTCTCTTGGTGTTCCGAATTCCATAATTTTGAACTAAAGATGGTATCAGCATGTGGTTTTCACAGAAGTAATGCTGAGATTGTGCTCTTTTCAAATCTGTAAAAAAAAAAAAAATTGACCAGGGTTGACAAACGCCTTATGTACCTTGATCGCATCACATTTGTCATTTGTGCATTTTTGTTTGTTTGAAGCAACAAAAGTGCTGAAAATCTAAAGAAGGGTGCTTAAGAACCAACCGGATGAAGTTTTAGCTCTGTGAATGCTCTATATTCTGAGAAAACAATATTCTAGGATCGCGGTTTCAATACAAAAGTGTTTTGAATTGCGCCCGAAATCAGCGTCCGGGACATGTTCTCATTCAGCCGGTTGCGGCTACGCACTGAACGGATGAATTATAGCAACCTCGCGATCGTGTGGGTCATGTCAACGCTTGAGCGCACCCATTCACGGCTTCCCCGAATTAAAAACGAACTACTACTCACTCAAAAGACTCTTTGTCTTTTGCCTCACAGCCTCATACCAAGTCTGAAGGACGACTACGACAACATGCTGCAGAGCCTCAAGTTTTTCACCATACAGATGACGATGGTGCCTACGCCACCCGCTGGCTCACTAGCTGTGGTAACTCAACTATATGATATAAATCAATTGGTGCTTCACTTACTGTTTGCCACCATCATTGGGGATATTGGCAAAAAAGACACACACAATGAATATAATAATGCTGTCCGTACTGAATTTTTTTTTTTTTCCAACATCCGCAAAAATTTCATATATATAACTGGAAATTTTTCACTTCAAGTCACAATTAATTTTTGGAGGATTTTAAACTTGCTGCAGTGGAACGTTGCTACATCAAACTTTGTGGGATCCACAAAAATTGTTCGTAATAGCAGTCCTTCGGTATATGATTTTCACATATTAGTGTCACCCTCTTTTGACCATTGTTATAGTGAAGTTGCATTTAAAAACCACGCGCAGAGAGTAGCCAATCTTTTCAATTCGGGCGATTCACAATGCAGTGCGCCACCTAGAGTTTACCATAGAGGGTCAACTTTTTAAGTTTACGGTCAACAAAACATGGCCCATTTGAATGAGTGTCAAAAGATAATTTGAGCTAATTTGTTATAGATTTGGGCATAGCATTTTATCAAAAATCACCGTATTGATAAAAAGAAAAGAAAAGGGCAAACGTATACTCGAATCATACGCTTACGAAACTATTGACCGGATAAACGAACAATTTCAAATGTCGTGCTGCGAATTTGTCGACCATCGCCCACAATGCACTGTGAAAAATGAACTCTCTGTGGCAAACTCTTGGTGGCGCACTGCATCGTGAATCGCCCGAATTCCGTAAGCAGAACCTCACCATGTACGCCCAGGCCTACAATAGTTGGCAGAATTTCTCCGTATTGATTTGCTTATATTTGTCTTTTTTCCTGTTTCGTTTACTCTCAGTCGTTCTACATGAGAGACAGCTTCAGGCCCATCTTGGTCCACCCGCCGGACAACCCGGAGAAGCAAGTCGTGGACGTCCCCCTCAACCTACCCTTCCTGTGTTTCACCACGGAGGACGTGCTCACCATCGTGACCTGTATCCTCACCCAGCAGAGACTAGTCTTTGTGTCGCAGGACTACGCCCTGCTCACGCCCATAGTAGAGGTAAAATTATAGTAAAGTTTGTCGGGGAAAAAATGTTGCAACCTGACGCCACTTCTGCGATTGTGTACAAGGTCTACGGAGAGTCAAGAAAATTGTCTAACTATTTCCTAACAAAATATTGGTCAGTCCCAGATTCATGTCTTGTCATTTTTACAATAAATGACCTTCATTGAGATGATATATGAAGAAAAAAGTGGCGTCAGGTTGCAACATTTTTTCCTTTGTCGGAACCAATGTGTCTCATCAGGCCGGCGTTTATCTCCAGATTCTGTGGCATGAAACAAGAATGTTTCTTTTCCCTGGATTTGAAGTCAAGCCGGCACAGGTTACTCCCCAGCTAATGCTGGGACCCATTTGTACTCCTGGGTGGTGAGAGGCAAAGTGGGGTAAAGTAGCTTGCCTGGGGACACAAGATATAAACAGTTGCAGCATTGGAACCTCTGATCATGAGTCTCAACTCCTGGCCACTAGGTTCATAAAAGCGACTTGCCTAATATACATATGAACAGTGGCAGGATTCGAACCCCTGATCTTCTGATCATGAGTCTCAACTCCTAACCACCCGGACACAATCCCCATAATTCATAACATGTGAATTGCCTGAGGACACTACATATGAACAGTGGTAGGATTGGAACCCCTGACTTTCTGATCATGAGCCACAACCCCTAACCACTCGCCCACAATCCCCTTAGTTCATGTGATGTGACTTGCCTAAGGACACTACATATGAACAGTGGCAGGATTCGAACCCCTGACCTTGTGATCATGAGCCACAACCCCTAACCACTGTGCCACATTCTCCCCAGCAGTAGAAGTACATAGAATGTACCATTTGGTTCCTATCCACTCCTTTCACAAGTACCCCCTCACACACAAGGAACGGTGCGCGTCAACCAGCTAAATGTCCCGCCCATGGGACGTCGTTGCTAGGTAAAAGGGCGCCCCCTTTTGTTGGCGCACAGAGCCCATACAGAAGTAGTTCTCGGAAGAACGTTCCTAGCAAAAATGCCACGGAGATTGACAGTTAACCAAGCCAAACCAATGTGTTTTTGTATTGTCTTCTATTTGTTTGTGCAGTGTTTCTTGCTGTTCATCTTGCCATTCAAGTGGCCGTTCGTCTACGTTCCTGTCGTCTCCTCGAGTCTGCTTGACCTCCTAGAGGCTCCTGGTTGTTTCATCATGGGCTGCAACTCCACTCACCGACAAAGAATATCTGAGGTAAGGATGGTATATTACTAAAGTAGTTTGTAGTCAATAATCGCAAGTCCAACATAAGTCCGTCACAAGTCCATCGTATGTCCATCAAAAGTCACTCACAAGTCCATAACAAGTCAATCACAAGTCCATCATATTCCATTTTATGTCAAAATCACAAGTCAATCATAAGACCATTATCTCAAGACTTGAAGCTATGCACGGTGGAGATCAATAAGGTGAAATTTGCGGTGACCCCATGGAAAATAACTCTTTTGTAATGAGTGATTCTGAAAAGAGGGTTTCCTCATTGTTTCGACCAGTATGCTCTGATCGTCTTCGGTAGACCAGAATTACTGATAGAGTGCCCTATGTCATCTGTGCATGACAGACTTGTAAGAATTTAGTATTATTTATTTTTCCCCATAGGTTGAAGGTCTTGTGATCATAGACATTGACAGGGGACATGTAGAGAAGTGTAAATCCATCAATGTACCGCCCATCCCTGAATCCGGCGTGGCAACCTTCAAAAGACTGTAAGTTTTTCTTGAACGGCAATTGTTTATGAGCCTAGCCAGGACCTGAGTGTCCTTGGGCAAGGTACTTTGCTCAAATTTTTGTCTTTCCGACCAGTGCGTTGTACACAGAGTGCATGTGCATATTTAAAATGTGGCCATATGTAGGGTGAGTCCAAAAAAAGAGAAAGGAAACCCAAATGTCAGGACCGTTTTTATAATGAAGTTCTGCATGCAACACTTTCAATATCTAGGATATGAAAGCCAAATTTATAAGCTTTCTTTTATTTAAGTACAAGAATCATTCAAATCACTCATGTACTTTTCAAGTTGCGGATTTTTACAAACAAGCACTGTTTTAAACCCTGTACTACCCACAATGCATTAAGTTTCCTTCACAGTTCCTTTGTATGGGGTATAAGTCAGCAAAACACCAACTGCAAAGTTAATTGTAGCAGGATCTGTATATTGTGTCACACATTTTCACGTAAGGAATGATTGATAAGCTTGCTTAGCGGGGTAATAGTGCAGCAACTTGATCACCACAACTGAAATATTTTTACATTTCATAAGTCATCGTTTCTTTTAATATTAATTTTTTAAGAGTTTCTGTTTCGAAAAATTGGTTTCCAGTTTGATGTCAATGTTGCCAGTTTGTAATTTGAACTGTCTTTCTTATTTTAGGTACACTTTGGCGAATTCCAAGCAGTACGAGATTGCGTCGCTCTCACGTCCTGCTGCGTCGACGCTAGAAAAAGACTTCACCTTCCGAGAGCGACTGCGCAGGCAGTACCAGCAGGACATTCAGCGCTGCTTCACTGAGATGTACACCGTGCTCTTTGGGTTAGTCAGTTTATATCACTACCTTCAGGGTGTCTTTTTATCATATCGCCTTTTTAGTTTATTTTAACCCTAACTCCCTAGGCCTTTTTGCTAGGATGTAGCCTCAGTCCTGCAAAATCCTCCAATTGGCCTCATGGAAAAATAGCATGTAGCCTCAATCCTACAAATTCCTCTGTTATTTCTTCAATATGGTCCATGGAGGGGTGACCACTGCCTGAATCCTGCAAAATCCTCCGGCTATGACTGTCAATAGGCTGAGGCAGAGGCAGTGACATCCTGGAGTAGTGCGGAGGATGTCAAGAATAATCAAGGACTAAATTTATGCACGGCTGAGCATAAACAACACAAGGTCCGGCCTAAGACCTTGACACAGTGCGTACTCCGAAGTCAGCAACGCACTTTGGCCATGTAACCTCAATCCTGCAAATTCCTCCAATTTGCAAAAAGGATTTTGGAGGATTCAGGGCGGTTAGGGTTAATTTCTACTTTATTTCACATTTATAAGGTAATGAACTCTGTGGCTAGTAAGCGATTGAAAAGTTAGCACGTCTGCAATCATGTGCTAAAGCATCCATTCTTAAAACGACCTTTTCCCAGTAAATTCATTATTTGGTCCCAGTTAATCTCTGTTTCATTCATTTTCTTCAAATTAGGTTTTTGCCCTTCACCGACGTTTAAACACTGTATACTCAGTGTGTTACCTCCTCAGTGTGTCGCCTTCTGAGTTTATTATATTTTCCACTTTATTTCACATTAATAAGGTAATGATCTCTGTCGCCAGTAAGTGATTGAAAAGTTAGCACATCTGCAATCATGTGCTAAAGCATCCATCCTTAAAATGACCTTTTCCCAGTAAATTCATTATTCGGTCCCAGTTAATCTCTGTTTCATTCATTTTCTTCAAATTAGGTTTTTGCCCTTCACCGACGTTTAAACACTGTATACTCAGTGTGTTACCTCCCTTCATTTCTTCTCCTTCTTTTTTAAGTGTACATCATATTTTTGATAGCTGAAATATACATATCTAGGTGTATCAATATTTTCTTTAAAATACCAACCCCCGAATCCAACTATTTCTGAAAATTCCAGCGAAAGCAAGTGTTGTATATTACCTTTGATAAGCATTGAGTTATCTGCTATGGGCTCCGTGTACAAGTACTCCTTCAATGGTCAGAAAAGGAGAGTTTTCGGGAGACCTAGACTTGTTCCCGGTCCATCCACTGGGTATTTCGAATGATCCAAAGTTATTGGGGGCGAGGATTAGTCGGGGAGACCATCGCCCGTTAAATTTGTGATGCGATCAAGCTAAATGAGTCGTTTGTCGGGAACTTTCATTTGGAGATTCAGGCCAAAATAGGACTACTTCATCACATCACTTAATCACATCTCTGGGTTTTCCGACTTCCATAATATTTGAACTAAAGATGGTATCAGCATGCGGATTTCACAGCAGTAACGCTGAGATTGTGCTCTTTTCAAAAAAAAAGAAAAAAAAAAAGACCAGGGTCGACAAACGACTCACTAAGCTTGATCGCATCACATTTGTGACCTGTTCTGTCAAAATCAGACTTTTCTGGGCACAAGGTCAAAAATGAGATTTTTGCATATTGTTAAAATATGTACATTTTCCTTTTAAAAGGTGGTTACATTTTTGAAACCGGTCACTCCTGGTATTTTGAAGTTCATTGTGTCGAAAAGTAGAAAACGGAGAAAATGGCCACAAACGTCACGAAACAGACATTTCTTTACCTGATATACCTTAACAAATCATCAAAAATACTATATTTAGAGTTCAAATTACGGTTTCAAACTTTTATAGTGTATTTTAGACATGTTCAGGATTACAAATATGCAAAAATTAGAATATCGAGAAAAAAAATCACCCCCAGAGCATTTTTTGGCTCTATCTCAATTTCAACCTCTGCCCAGAAGCGTCTGCTTTTGACAGAACGGGTCACATTTGAGCGTTTTCGCGCGTGAATGACGCCTGACTCTCACAGGAAGACGCGGGCCTACTAGCTGTAGCACATTCAGGAAAACGTGCGTACTTCGCGCGCGAACCAGCACAGTACAGTACGCACACGCTGTGTGTTCTGTCCACGGGCTCTCAAAAGTGGTAAAAATGCGCCCTCTTTTGTTGGTGCACGGAGCCCATAGTGACCATGTTTATTTTACTAATGGTAAGCAGAAAATGAAATACGGCCCTGAGCTGCACTAAACTCTCTTATTAAAAGGGAAAATACACCATTTGCAAACATCGAAAAATAAAACTACCAAGTTGTTACGAAATACCTTACTAGGATGTTGGTAAATGACATGCTTAAGCATCCTGTAAAATTATGGCACCTGGTGTGAAGCCATTTTCAAGAAAATGGTATATTTGTCTACATTTCCAACACTGGTCGGCCGACCACCGTTGGAGAAACCTAACTATTTTTCAAATACTGCACCAAATTTACCTTCTTTTTTTTTTGTCTAAATTTTGTTTTGCTAGCTATTGGTTCCATGTTCATGAACGGGTGCAGGCCAGCTAGACTGGTTCCCTTACCTTACAATTTTCCGGTATTTTTGATCCATTTCATCTTTAGTGGAGTCAGGGAACCAGACTACTTGAGCAGTTTTGTTTTTCTTGGTTTTTCCAGCATTTTCGAACACAAAACTTCAAACATGTCAGTGTAACAATATTTGATTTTTTTATACTAACCCCCCAAATAGTTCATTTCTGAAAATTACAGCAAAAGCCAATGATGTACATTCCCTTTAACCAAAGAATTTCTTGAGTAAAAATTTGTTACTTGTACCCGCAGGGACATTTTGGATTTCATGAACTTTGACCAGCAGCGGTTTAAAGTGGACGAGTTTATCGCCTGCAGAGCAGAAGATGAGAGGGAATTTTACTCTGTGGTAACTATGGCAACAGGACATCTTTGGAATTGTTTAATGGGGAAAAAAATCACAACTTTGTTCAGGGTTTTCTGCTCTTCCATTTACTGTGCCAATGAAAATAATAGAGCGTTTTGAAGATGGAAAATCTGTGAAATCTTCCCAAAATGTAATGAACTGTCACTCTCAATTTGTTCTTATTAATAAATTTTCAAGCATGAAAGTTCGTTTCTAGTCCCATTATTAGTCAATTTTCACTGGAAAGTTTTGCAAGTTAACAGTGACAAGTGACCATTGTTTCTTCATTATTAAGAAAATGCCTAAAAAAAATTGTTTAAAGTTTTGCTTAAAAAAAAATTTGACTCACTTTTTCAAATGTTTTGCATCCACAAAGCAGTAGTGATTAGTTCACTACTGTTTTGTGGATGCAAAATTTATGAAAATGAGTGTCAAATAATTTTGTTCAATCATATTTTTTACATGCATAAACAAAATAAATTTTTGATTATTTTTGTGAGTTTCAAAAAGGTTTAATGCTAGCGAAAGGGTTGCTAATTTTTTTTATGTCAGGAAGATGCGTTTTTCTTCAGTAATTTCCTTTTTTTTTTTTTTCGTTTTGCAGTTTCTCCAAACTCATCTCTTCAAAACTTACAAACACGACCGATTGGACAAGAAAAAGGACTACTACCTTAACTTGGACAAACGACGCCAGCATTTAGATTCACACTCGCACTCGTAGGTCAACTTTTTATATTCAAAAAATTTGAAAATATCCGTTTGCATTTGTGATTTGGATTTTATTTTCTCGCTCGTCGTGAATATTTTATTTGCATGCAGACGGCGGAAGTTCAGCAGTAACGTGCTGGTACCCAGCCCGGTCGCCAGCCGCAAGTCCGACAGCCAGAAAGGGAACGTCGCCCCCTACACGTACTTCAGCTTGCCACCCTTCAAGATACCACTAGAGTCAGGTAAGACCTTTTGTTTCTCGAAAAGAGGTCGTTGGATAAGTTTCGTTTAACCAGTTCGCGTCGGAGGACGTGATGACACACACTAGCGGCTGATGGGTTTAAATGCCAAGATTGCCTCGACTCGCCTCCGGGTGACGTCTAAACACGCTAATCCCTGGTGCCTTTTGTACAAACACACAAAGTCCGTGAAGTCTGTGGAGGCAGACCGTGTGTTGATTTCGAATTGGCCATTGTGCATGGCCTGTTGTACAATTTACACTCAAGTGCACACCTCACAATATTGAAACATATGAGGTTTCGGCAAAAAATATTGTACAAATGCTGTTGAAATGGCTCTTGCGAATCAGTATTTGTGGCGTTTGGCTGTATATCAGAAGTTGGCTGGATTATTTAGCCTTTTGCAAAAATTGAAATTTTCGGTAAAAATAATCCTGGCGCAGAGTGGTTAGCCAGTGATCCTACATTACTTTACCTTAAGCTATTTGTTCTCATTTTATGAATTTTTTTTGTCCTTCAACAAAATATTTCAGCACAACTCCATCTTTTTTGCGAGCTCAAACATTGCATTCAAATCATCTGTAAATGATGTTTTGTATGCGAAATTGGTTGGAAAATTAAACAATATTGGGAAAATCATATGAAGTCATGACCGAAATGTAAGATGCTCAAATCTCTGTAGTTTCCTTGTAAGAATTTATTGCTTATTATGTTTTTATGAAACAGATAGTTTTTGCCGAGTATAACTTTGTTTCGTGTTCGCATTTCAGCTCACCAGTTCTATGATAACTGCATTGAATTTATCAGCATGTCCATCAAGGTAAGTTGAGGAACATTTTCCCACATTCGTCGCAAAAGTTTCATGTTTTCATCTTTTCATTTTTTTTCCAATCTTTTATGTTATTTAGTTCTGACATCAAAATTCACAGGGGGTAAGTATTACCCTGCGTAATGGCCCCAATAATTAGGGAACAAGCATAGTTGGAATTTGAGCTTGGATGCTGCGGGCCAACGAATTCTTGTTCATTCATGAGTCACGTGATTGTGCCATGTAATTTCTGGAAGGAGTCGTGTTTTGAGTTTTAAAAAAAATAGATTTTGACCCCAGTGACCCCATGATGACCTTTGACCCCAGTTTGGTCATGTGACATGTTGGGGCTGGGCTACTGATACTTTTGACAAAGTTTGGTTGAAATTGGTCAAAATATGTAAGAGCATTAGACGATGTCAAGGTTTGTTACTAACTAACGGACTAACGGAGAGACATGATGATTAGTTGAGCTGCTATCCTGCAGCAAAAAAAATCTTGGCAATGATATATTCGGAGAAAAATATCACAACCTGACGCCACTTCAGCGATTGCGTACAAAGTCTATGGAGAGTCAAAAAAAAAATCTTAAGTATTTCCTTAAAAAAAATTGGAAATATTTCTCAGTCCCAGATTCATGTATTATCATCATTATGGCAATGAATGACCTTCACTGAGATGATATATGAAGAAAAAAGCGGCGTCAGGTTGCAACATTCTTTCCATATATTCCGCCAACTACATGAAGCGGATGGGCACAAAAATCTAATAAGCACGTAGAATATTTGCTTAGCAGAAACAGGTTACCAGCCAAAACATTGCGCAGCGTATATTGCTTAGCACTGGTTCTTGGCTGATTTATGCTTAGCACTAAACATCATTTTCTGCATAGCTTTTTTAATATAATTGTATTTGGTTCTACCTTTTTTTCTTTCCTTTTTTTGTTGTTGCAAAGAATGTCAAATCAGCAAGCATCAAAGCCTCGTACCTGTACCTACGTGGGATGCTCCGTATAGCGTGCGCACGCCCTCTGGATGGGCTGGACGACTTCCACCAGCTGCACACCACGGATCTGTCCATCTTCCCAGTGGAGTGAGTACACTTGAAAGAATAGCCAATTATTCAGGGACCAGGAAAATTTAATGTCAAAAGAGTTGAAATCAAATAAGTCACAAATCACATCACAAGCAGGCCCGTCGCCAAGAAGTGGGGGGGGGGGGGGGCTGGTGGGGCTGAGCACCCCTTGGCGAACACCCCTTGGCGAGCACTTGGGCCCCCAATGGCAAAAGCCATCCATATGTATTTTGTATACGTACATATCTATTTTGTATTTTGATACTATGGCGCTCCCCCCCCCCATGCTCAGGGCTGGCGATGGGCCTGATCACAAGTCATTCATAAGGCAATCACATGTCAATCACAAGTCAATCACAAGTCAATCACAGGTCAATCACAAGTCAATCACAAGTCAATCACAAGTCAATCACAAGTCAATCACAAGTCAATCACAGGTCAATCACAAGTCAATCACAGGTCAATCACAAGTCAATCACAAGTCATTCATAAGGCAATCACATGTCAATCACAAGTCAATCACAAGTCAATCACAGGTCAATCACAAGTCAATCACAAGTCAATCACAAGTCAATCACAAGTCAATCACAAGTCAATCACAGGTCAATCACAAGTCAATCACAGGTCAATCACAAGTCAATCACAAGTCATTCATAAGGCAATCACATGTCAATCACAAGTCAATCACAAGTCAATCACGGGTCAATCACAAGTCAATCACAAGTCAATCACAAGTCAATCACAAGTCAATCACAAGTCAATCACAGGTCAATCACAATTCAAATAACAATTAAAGTCATAAGTCAATCATAAGCCATTCGCAAGTCAATCATAAATCTATCACAAATCAGTCGCAAGTCAATCACAGGTCAGTCCGAAGTCAGTCCCAAGTCAATCACAAGTCAGTCACAAGTCAATCAAAAGTCAATCACAAGTCAGTCACAAGTCAATCACATCATTCACAAGTAAATCACAAGTCAGTCAGTGGCCAAATGACCGATGAATCACAAGTCAATCATAAGCAAATCACAAGTCAGGTCATAAGTTAATCACCAGTGAAATCCTTGTCACAGGTCATTTGAGTAGTTTGCGACCTCGCTTTCCACTCCAGGACTTTTGTAACTTGGATGTGTCTTTTAATTCTGAAAAAAAAATTGTCATTTAAAAGGAATTGACTTTTTGTTTTGAATCATTCCAATGCAACTGGCGTTTCGAAACAATTTGTTTTTGTTTTTCCAGTGAGATCACAAGGGTCGTGGAAGACCTGAGCCCCTCTGAGAAGGCGGAGCTTGAGGACCAGGAATTCTACAAGAGGGGGGAGATCCTGAAGAAAGTCAGTCAGCGAAAGAGACCAGGCGGACTGACCAACCCGACCATACCGGAGGATATCCCCATCGAGGGAATACTAGGTATAGTCTTGTTCCCGTTAGCTCGGTGGTCAAGTGGTAAGACATCTGCACTAGAAAGCAGGAGGTCGTGGGTTCGAGTCCCACCCGAGTGATTTTTTCCAACATTCACTCGGGAGGTAACACACTGAGTATACAGTGTTTAAAAAAAAAAAACGTCGGTGAAGGGCAAAACCTAATTTGATTTATATCACCCCGATGCAAAATTCCATCTTATACAGTCTTGTTGTCAGTCAATAAATGTACTTTCCCCATGCAGTTTTGACAAACCTCTTTGATCTATTCCCAAGATATGACATAGGAATTTCAACAGTGTCCTGCCAAGTTTCTCTAACTTCGAGAAAAACAGCTTTGAAAAAAAAAAGACAAGCATTGCGCCGCCAATGGCAGTGAAAAAAACATTCATCAGTTTTTCACTTTTGTGGGTATTTTTGTCCAAACAAAAATGCAAATTGTGAATCTTGGATACCTTGGCTATTCAAAAATACAAACTAATCAATATCGATTTTCACATGATTTTTCTTGTGTATCCGACTTCAGGCGTCGACTACTCAAAACAAGGTTTTGGGGGACATTCCTCATTTTGTCTTGGTATTTTTTCAGTAAAGCTCGTTTGTTGATGTCGGTCAACGCATTAAAACTAGTGGATATTTTGCTTGCTTACAGGACTGTCTGATTTCGTCAAGCATGTCCAAAACCTTGAGATTGCCATCGATGTGGACGTCATCGAGCGTCTCTTCACCGCGCTGACTGGCGGTAACATCCAAGCTGGTAAGAGGACCAATCAGAGGTCAGGGGTCAGGGGTCAATTTCATGAAGCTCCTCAGCACAGAAATCTGCTTAGCGTCAAAAACATTTGCTTAGCAAAAGTGGGTTACCAGTCAAAATCTCGTTCTCTGTAAATGGTTTGTGACCGGTCCCCAGCTGATTCATGCTTAGCACAAAATTTGCTGTGACTGTTTGCTGCTTATTGTGAGGTGCTGTGATCTTTGTAGAGCACCATATAAATGCTTGGTATTATTATTATTATTATTAAGTCCATCACTCTATAAATAAGGGAATAAATGTGTGTTTGGGAGGTATGGGTAATTATCACCCATCCAGACTCCCACCGGCCTTAAACAAAGTGTTTAATACCGACCGAACACATACTTATTCCCATTCATAAATACCTTTTCGGTCTAAAAACGAAACCTTTTCGGTCCAAAAATCGAATAAAGGCAAAAACTTGACGTTGCCCACCATTTTGTTCAACAATTTTACTTCATGTTTTACGAAACACCCCTCTGACTATAATATGGAATGCCCCTCCACAACTCGTTACCTTATAAGGACATTGGCGTGCGCCTAGTGCCCAATGTCACGCAAAATGCAGCTGGGCTGGTGTAGTGTGAATTTCGGACTATGAAATACTGATTCAGTGGTTGTATTGCTCTTGCATACGTTAGGAATGTGAATGTTCAACCAATGAAATGTTAAAAGGCACCAGATTTCAAGGGAGTCCAAATTTCATGTGACACTGGAAAAGTGTTTAAGACCAGCCAGCCATGTCTTTATCATCCGTTTAAGACCGGCCATGTGACAGGCTCTTAACCAATAGAAATGCGTAAACCATCTTAGGTATTTATGAATATCTGTTTTACCACAGGACTGGACGCGGACTCGTTCGTGGCCTTCGTGGACGCCTGGAAGGAAGGGGAGCTGGAAGGGCTGAAGATCCCCAACGAGGTCTACTCGGAGCGTCTGGATCACACGGAGAGCATCCTCAAGATCTCCTCCCTCATCATGTCCAAGGTGGGCATGGGAAGAATTGTCTTGTCTGACAAGAGGTGAGTGAAGAGCAGACAACTTGAAAAGACTGATATCCAATCTGCCCAATTTCAAATTGTAATGGCCTTTGGAATACACATAAATACATCAATAAAGGAATATATGTGTGTTTGGCAGATTTTAATCACTCTGTTTATAAAGACCGCTTGGAGTCTGGGTGCTAATAATTACCCGAGCCAAAGGCAGTTGATTTTTAGGAGTCCAAATTTCATGTGACACTGGAAAAGTATTTAAGACCAGCTAGCCATGTCTTTATCATCCGTTTAAGACCGGCCACGTGACGGGCTCTCGACCAATAGGAATGGGTAAACTGTCTTAGGTATATATGAATAAGGGAATAAATGTGATGCCATCAAGCTAAATGAGTCGTTTGTCGGGAACTTTTATTTGGAGATACAGGTCAAAATAGGGCCACTTCATCACATCACTTCATCACATCTCTTGGTGTTCTGACTTCCATTTTTGAGCTAAAGATGGTACCAGCATGCAGTTTTCACAGCAGCAATGCTGAGATTGTGCTTTTTTCAAACCTGTAATAAATAAAAATGACCACGGTCGACAAACGACTCGTTTAGCTTGATCGCATCACAAATGTGAGTTTGACCAGTTTTAAACAAGTCTGTTTAAGAGCGGCTGGGAGAATGGGAGCTGATAAGAGCCTGAGTTGAAGGTGCTGGATATTATTGGGGACCAGGCCCGCAGCCAGTCTTAAACAGACTCGTTTAAAACCTGCCATACACGGATTTATTCCCTTATTGATGTATTTAGATGCGTTCCAAGTGTCATTACAATTTCAGTCAGTTTGGCTGATCAGGCTGGCGTTTATCTCAGTCCAGTTTCAATGGCATGAAAAGACTGAGAATATTTCTATTCCCCCCCTTGGATGGGATGCCAGTCCATCGCAGGTTGCTCCTCAGCTAATGCCAAATACCGTCAATAAAATGGGTAAAGGCAAGTAATGGTAAAGTAGAATGCCTAAGGACACAACAGTTTGACGGATTTGGCCCTATATAAGCTTATTATTATTGTATAGATTCAACTCCCTAACCCACTGACCATACAGTGGTGGACCCAGGGGGTGCGGAGGGGGCGCCGGCCCCCCGGCAGTGACCAAAATGTTCTCAAATAAGGCAATTTTTTACTTGCGAGAGCTCTTCCACCGCCCAGTTCAGCCTCAGCCCCCTCCCCCGGAAGTAATCTCTCTAGATCAGCCCGTGCCATAAGTCACAAACCCTAACCACTTGGCTACACTCACTTCTAAGTCAATCAGAGAACTCTAAACATTACATTTTTCTGTCCATAATTTGTCCCCAAAAGGCTTTTCTTCCTGACGGAAGGCAGCAACAACTTTGACGAAGTCATCCGTATCCGTGACATCCAATGCCTGGAGAAATTTGAACAGTCGTATCGGCTCCTGAGCAGCGCACCCGCACTCAGAATATACAACAAACGTGAGTAGATCGGTGCATTCCAAGCTGGGCATTGTAAGTTGGGCATTGTTTCGATCGTGCTGTTACTGTCCTTGATCACGTGAGCTAGATGTGGTCCAATGGTTACGGTGTTCGACTCGTGTGCCGTGGTACATGGGTTCGAATCCTGACCATGGGAACATGGTGCTTGTGCTCTTAAGCAAGGCACTTTACCATTATTGCTTCGTCCTTTGGATGGGACAAAAAGCCGTAGGTCCCGTGTGTTGTGTACTGCACGTTAAAGATCCCAGTGACACTAATCGCTAAGAGAAGGGGTTTGCCCCGGTGTTTCTGGCAGTGGCTGCAATATGCGCCGCAGCACCTTGTAAACCCCTAATAAGGTGCTACATAATGGGTCTCATATTTCTCATAAACTTTATTTACCTTTCTTTATTAATAGACATAATTCCAGCGCCTTGAGTACCTAATTGTTGGTAGATACATGCGCTATATAAGACTCCGATATTATTATTATTATGATATTATTATTATATCATTATTAACGGAGTTGTATCTGAGTCAGTTACAAGTCAGTCACAAGCCCAATTCAAAGGTAATATACAACACTTGTAAACATCAAAAAACTTAACTACCAAATTATTATGAAATACCTTACTGGACTGTGAATGTGGTGTGCTTCCATTTAAAGCCAAATCACACCAAACATAAAAATTGTGATGACTTGTGATTGACGTTTGACATACGATGATTTGTGATCAACTTGTATTGTGATTGACATGATTGACTGATGATGGACTTGTGGCTTACTTGTGGATGACTTATGATTGTTGCGATTTGACTTGTGATTGATTTGTGATGGCTTGTGGGTGTCTTGCGATGACTATCATAGGTCATGTCACAAATGACTTAATGATGACTTAATGGTGACTTGTGATGACTTGTGATGACTTGTGATTGACTTTTTATTGACTTGTGAAGACTTTGTGATTTCACTTATTTACCTTGTGATGACTTATGATCAGCTTGTGATGGCGTGTGATTGACCTATGATCACTTGCGATGAGTTTTTATGATTTGTGATATTACCTTTGATAGACATTTCACTAACTTGTGATGACTTGTGATTGATTGTGATTTGACTTCTGATTGACTTGTGATTTGCTTGTGATGACTTGTGATGGCTTGTGATGACTTGTGATGACTTGTGATGACTTGTGATTGACATTGTGATTGACTTGTGATTGACATTGTGATTAACTTGTGATTGACTTGTGATGACTTGTGATTGACTTGTGATGACTTGTGATGACTTGTGTTTGACTTGTGATTACTTATGTTTGACTTGTCATGGACAACATAACTTGACTACAACCCCGATCAGTAGGTTAGTTAATGCATGGTTAACCATAGAACTATCTTCATTTTGTTACTACAAAGTAAGCAATTCACGCTTCAAACTTCTTCCAATTCCCAAGGACCCAACAAGGAGCCCTACATGGCCAATCTCAAAGGAGAGCGCAACAGCTGGTATACCCTGATCACCGAGATGTGGTCGGGCCGCGCCATCGCAGACGCTCAGAAGGACCCGCACATTGTCCAGCAAGCCGCGAGGAACATTTGCCTCCTGGACGCGGCCATACGCAGCGCTGAGAACTCGGGCGCGTCTTACGCCAAACACTTGGATGTTGTGTCTCAAGTATGACCTAAAACTTACTCTTCCTGAATTGGATGTTTTGAACCTAGCAAATTTTGAAAAGAATGTTGCAACCTGACGCCACGTTTTTCTTCATATATCATCTCAATAAAGGTCAGTCATTGCAAAAATGTTGAAAAGACATGAATCTGGGACTGAGAAACATTTCCAATTTTATTAGGAAATACACAATTTTCTTGACTCTCCATAGATTTTGTACACAACCGCTGAAATGGCGTCTGGATACTACATTCTTTCCCAATATTTCAATTTGTTTGTTTTATTTCAACATTTTTGGCATCTGCTACCCTCTGAATTTGCGCAGCTAATGTACAAAAAAATCTTCGTGCATTTTCGTCGGAATGCAAAACTTTTTGGACTAAGTTTGCCAAAATTTTTGGTTTTCAATGTCTCATTCAAAAGTAAACAGCTCCTATTTGTAGAAAAATACCAAGTTGATAAAAATCTTTTTTTTCAGAATGAAACTTGACAATAGCAGGGGGAGAACAACTTGAAATATCAACATTTTAACATGTTTAATAATGTTTTTCTCAGATTTTGTGCTATTTCACTCATATGAAGTCGCAAGGCATGGCAAGCGTAGCCCCAGAAACAAGTAACGCCCTGGTTCACAAGTTCAACCCGTCCAGCAACGAGGGCCAACGTAGTACGGTGGAGGCCATGATCTATACACCCGGGAGTAAGTAATCATTGCTTGTTTTTGTTGTAGGAATTGCTCCTGCTGAGCAGTTTTAACTTTTCAGAGCAGTCTTCGCACTCCAATGTATAAAGTACAAGGGCACAATTTCATTGCAACTTTTGCTGAACAAATTCATGTCCACAAACTGTTCAGAAGTATCCACGCACAATTTAAGGTACGGAGTGCCATTTGGTCATGTGGTGAAATGGTGTGCAGTTTGATAAATGGGACCAGACCACAAAATCAGACTCGACTTTCTTATCATTGCACATACGGCCTTGATTTTTACATCACACAAAAGTGTTTTAAAATTCAAGGAACAAACTTTGCTCAAATCACTTTTGATTTTAATCACTCCACGACAATGAAAATCTAGGTTAAAACAAAAGTGAGTTTTGGACTTGTGGTTTATTTTTTGCGCTCTAGTGATTTCCGCATGAATGAACAAACAATTTGGTTCTGTGGAGAGCCAAGTCAGTAAAATATGTTGTAATTATATAAGGAAAGGGTTTAACAGCCTTGCTATCTTATTAAGAGTGCGTTCGATTACTTCCCCCCGCGCTTACTCGTGCAAGCGCGACAGCGTTCGATTTACCTCTCACGTGACTTCTTGCGCTTACTCGAGCCTGGCCCAAGTAACCGACTCGCCAAGCCGGTTACTTGGGTAAGTATCCCATAAGGCCGTGCAATAAACATGGTTGCCAACGTGACGTCCGGCGAGCGCCTCAGGCCGTGTGCTTCCAGAGCTACAGCTACGTCAACTGTCAGCCCGTCCCCGCGTATTTTTAATGGGCGCGGACCTAGACCTAGCTCTAGACAGTTGATTCGGATGCAGCCTCAGTGTCATGTCAAAGTTCAACTTTCCAGCTCTTACACGAAACTTTAATTGAAACCGTTCGTTTATTTAGCTCCTCTGCGCATGTCTGTCATCACGCGAGGAGCCAGGCGCGAGTAAGCTGGGGGAAGTAATCAAACGCACTCATAGCGTGGAATATTGTGGTATGCATATGTTTCCACAGTGTTTGACAAGCCAACAACAGATTAGTTTTTTTGTGGTATAAAAAAGAGTTTGGTTTTAAAAGACACTGATTGATTCTTTCAGACCGTAGCGATGGCAGTACTGAGGAAGACACAAGTCCCAAGCTATGGTGCGCCATGGGGTCAGGAAAGGTCAAAGTTTACGACGGCAGTAACTTCCTCTTGGAGGCGGAAATACCCGAAGCCAAGGACAGAGTAGTAAGTCAAAAGTAATCTTTACTTATCCTTTAAGTACCATATGTGCCAAACAGATGAAAAGTGCAATAAAAAAAAGGTTCCGGAAAAAAATTGGGAAGGTTTTGAGGGTCTGAGGTTTCAATCCTCTCAACTTTTTTCTTGAATGCCCCCCCCCCCCAAAAAAACCTGCTTCTGTGTTTGAAATCTTAGGTCTTTGACTGATGAATGAATTTACCGGCATGTCAATGGTATTAACATTTGTTACCTGCTGTGGCAGAATGAGGAATGTCCCCCAAAACCTTGTTTTGAGTAATCGACGCCTGAAAAATCATGTCAAAACATATAATGAGGTATTTTTGTGTAGCCAAGGTAGATTCACACTATACATTTTTGTTTTGAAAAAATACCCCCAAAAGTGGAAAAAACTGAAGAACTTTTTTTCACTGCTGTCGGAGACGCAATGTGTATCTTTTGTTTCAAGGCAGTTTTTCTTGAAATGAGGCCGGCGCAGTTCGACGGGACACTGTTGAAGTTTTTGCTGCATATCTTTGGAATAAATTAATCTACAGAAACAAATTTGGTATCATCGGAAAGCCAATGATTTGCGCTTTCACATGATGTATGTAATTGGAAAAGTCAAAGGTGCGGGTTATTCTTCATTATGATATGGCAGGTCACATTTATGGTAATAAGAACAACCCAGTGAATCTGCTTTTATTTAAACTTTCCCACCCTTAAGAATGTCTAAAAAAGTTCTGCTTTTATTTGCCGCTTCTAACTCGCGTCTGTTACTTTCCTCCCTGATTATGACAGTGTTGTCTAGAGTGTGTCAATGGTGAACAGGTCTGGGCTGGTTCCTTCGATACCACCATCTACATCATCGACGTCCACACGTACTCCGCCAACAAACAGCTGATGGATCACAACGACATCGTCTCCGACATTGCTGTTACCGAAAACCAGAGGTGAGCTTTCATGCAGAAAAGGTCCTTGGCACCAGAATTCCGATGGGATTTCTGTTAACACAGGGAAAGTCAAGTCTAAGGTCTTAGGATGCGTCTTAGCTAAGATCTATCTTAGAGTTAGGGACTCACTGAAGTCCTTAGATGAATTGCAAGATGAGACGAGTTTTGCGCGTTTCTTTTCAGCGACTGTTTCGTCAAGCGGTAAAAACAAACATGAAACAGCCATCAAATTGGTAGTTTTGATTCATCTTGCTTAAGATGGGTTTAGTGAAATCGGTCTTAGGACGTGTCTTAGCTGAGATCTATCTTAGATCTATCTCCTCTTAAGTCCTAAGATGAGTCGCAAGATAAGACGCGTTTCGCAAAATCGGCCCCAGGTTCATCCCTAGAAAAGTTTCTTAAATGACTTCACCTGGATTGTTTTCTAATGACAGTGTTGCCTACACTGCCAGTCTCAACGGTCAAATCATAGAGTGGGACACCGCAACACTGAGCAAGAAGAACGTCATCCAGCTACAGAACACCGACAAGCTGGTATCCATCAAATGGGACAACATCTCCCAACGACTCTGGTGCTGTAAGTCACAAAACAAAAATATCTAACTCTCCACATTCAAAACATTTGTCATTACGAAACAAAGATTTGTCATTTTCATCCTCTACTTTTCATACTAAAAAGGTACGGTCCATCATTTGCAGCTATCCAAACAGTAAATGAAATTATTGTTGAAAAGCATACTTGGTTTAAAGATGGTAATGGTACTAAACTCCCTGTGAAATTATTCTTTCCGGCATGCTGTCATTTTGAAGAAAACAATAAAAGAAGGCCATTTCCAACGATACGTCTAAAGACGCATTCCTGGAAATTTCCGACAGTAGTTCATTTTTAATTCGGTGAAGCCGTGAATGAGTGCGCGAGCGTTGACACGACGCATGCGTGCGCGTAGTGCTTTTATTTGGCAGTTCAGTGCGTGACATAGCGTAGCTGCAATCGGCTGAATGAGAACGTGTCCTGGATGCTGATTTAAGGCGCAATTCAAAACATCACTTGGCAACTTTTGAATTAAAATCGACATCCTAAAGCATTGTTTTCTCGGAATATACAGCATTCACTGAGCTATAAAAAGTTCATTAGGTTAGTTGTTCAGCGCCCTTATTTAGATTTTGAGCAGTTTTGTCGCTTCAAACGAAAGAGAAAACCATAAGTGATATTGTCTACCTTTGTTATAAACTGTTGCAAAGTTGAACTACATGTACACTGGGTATGTTATCCTCCTTTCTCATTTGCTGGGCCTCGAATATCAAACTCTTTCCCTATCGCCATCTAGAATGCATCATCTTTTGAACAGTTGAAACAACTCATGAAATCTCTTTTTTCTTTCTGTTCCTAGTTTCCTGTCGATCTATTCACAGCGCTTTGTATCCTTTGGCAAAGGCACTTTATAAATTCTGAGTTGTCGTGATCTGATTACTTACCCTACTCAGGTACGAAGGACGACATTCGCCTCGTCCAGAAGAGTGGAGGGGTCCTCCAGAAGTTTGTCTACAGGGATGACCAAGGCTTCCCGATACTACTGGAGACTTTCATTATCACTAGAAATACGGTGAGCAGACTAACTATGCCTAAATCAAAATGATATTTGCCATTACACATAGAATGTAATGGTTAGTAGATCGCTTCGTAATAATAATGTGCGTTTTATACCAGTGTCTCATGGCGCTTCATAGTTAATAATCCCTGTTCATCAGGCCATGGTACTTTTTTCTGCAGCAGCTCGAGATCAGTGCAATCTAGTCTTTACCCTCACAGGTACCCATTTATAATCTTGGGTGGAGAGAGGCGATTGCGGTAAAGTGTACTGCCCAAGAACACATATACCATGTTCCTATGGGTGTGGAATATTTTCAAGCTGAAAATTTGGCTTTTTTAATAGATGATGAACGTTTTGTTTTGATAAATATTTTGGAGCAGTTATGGGTAGGTTGCGGAAGGCGAGGCGAGCTGGTCAGCTGGGATAAGACGTCGTTCAAGAGGCAGAAAATCCTGAAGATGGACTGTCGAGGCATCAGCAAGTTGTTAGCTGTCAATAAACGAGTAAGTCCAGAAATGGTAACCCATTTCACAGCATCCATCTGACCCTCACCACCAACCCTCACCCCATTCCCCACCCCATTCCCCACCCAATTCCATACCCCATTGCCCACCCCGACCCCACCAAATTGACCACCCCAATCCCCACCCCATTGCCCACCCAATTCCATACCCCATTGCCCACCCCGACCCCACCAAATTCACCACCCCATTTCCCCACCCCATTCCCCGACCAATTCCATACCCTGTTGCCCACCCCGACCCCACCAAATTAACCACCCCAATCCCCACCCCATTGCCCACCCAATTCCATACCCCATTGCCCACCCCGACCCCACCAAATTGACCACCCCAATCCCCACCCCATTGCCCACCCAATTCCATACCCCATTGCCCACCCCGACCCCACCAAATTTACCATGCCATTTCCCTACCCCATTCCCCAGCCTATTCCCCATCCCATTCCCCACCCATTCCCCGACCCCCACCTCATCCCATTCCAAATCATGACCCCAAGCCTTTCTCTATTCTGCATCCATACCAAGACCCAACCAAGACCCCACTCACTGTTTTCTTCCCCTAACCTGTCTGCTGTTGATATTCATCAGAAAAGTCTACCTGTGCAGTTGACTGAGCACATGTTAACCTGATGTATCCAGAATACCCAACAATGTTACTGCATAATACCCTGCTGAGGGACACAGATTATACAAACTATGTTACTGCAGATTTGGCCGATGTGGTTAAACAATAATCCTGTTGGTTTCATTACAAGTCCTTCCCTTAGACTTGTTAATTACTAGAGCTATTTTGTGCATGTTTCACTTTGATGTCTACTGCTTTTTCTCGAAGCTGTGGGCCGCAAGCAAAGACGGCAAGATTCACCTCTTTGACCTGGACACGGGAAAGTTTGAGAAGACGCTGACGGCCCACGAGGACGCCATCCGCTCCATGACGCAGGCGGAGTCGCGCTATGTCCTCACGGGTGCGGGCAGCCGCGACGGCAAAGTGGCTGTCTGGAGGACTAACTTCCAGACCTGAGGACCTTTGTCAAGACAACGCTGAGGTTTCAGCTGCAGCGCTCTAATCTTCCGAAAGACATGGATCTATGCCAGACGGCAAACTGGCCAAAAATTTAGGTGTGAGGATGTATACGGAGAGTTTGGCGACGTTTCTTTTGCAGCGCACTGATCTTCTGAAAAAGGGATTAATTCAAGATGGCAAACTGGCCAAATACTTTGTGGATCTGTACAGAGAGTTTGGCAACGTTTCATTCACAGTTCAGTGATCTTCTCAAAGGGGAGTTCAGAGGAAAAAATAGCCATCAGTTGTGAGGAATGAGGACGTATCGTGATGCTTTCCCAATATTCAATCACAGTTCACTGTAGTTCTGGAAAGAAGAGCCAAGATAACAAAATGGCTGTTCAAAGAGTTTTGATGTATGAGGTCGTATGTTGAGACTCGACAATATTTCATTTCTTTTTTACTGATCTTCAGAAGTTGGTGCTAAGTTGACAAAACGCCTGTAGGGAGGACTGATTTCTATGTGAGGAAGAGGGTACATTTTTTCCTGCGTCAAAATGGCCGTGAGGACAAGTTACCACATGATTTAGATTTAAGGGGCAGACAGTCTGTGGAGATGTTTCAAAAGTTTCAGTCACACAACACTGATCTTCTTCAAGAAAGCTGAAGCAACAAAATGGCCTTCAAGAGGAAAATGTCCAGTTGTAAGGAGATTTGTGGAGACTTTCCAATCTTTTCAATCACCATGCTTCAGTCTTCTAGCCTAGAAATCAAGATGGCAAAGTGCACGGACATATGTGACGACTTTACCAACGTTTCAGTCACAGTCTGCCAATCTTCTTCCGAAGTGGAGGAGTATGTAAAGCCCCTGTTAATAATATCCTTCATGTACCAACCCCAACTGTGCATTAATGTAACCTTTTAAACAAGTACTTCAGTCTATACCTATTGACAATCATGACTTGTAATTTTACCAACATTTTGATGGGCTTTGAATCAATTGTATAGTTTAAACTAATTTTTCAAAAAAGTTTTTTTCTAAGTTCCGTTATCTAGCCCTTGTCAACTTTTTAGGGCCAAACTTCTTAGCATTTCATTGATAATTTTAAAGAGCATTTTTAAGGACAATATGAAATATTTCGAAGATCATTCTTCTTTGTGAATTGTGCGTTGCAGTGCAACTGTGCATTGGGACCATGAACAATATATGGTGCATATGTAGAGAATAATTTTAACATCAAATTTTAAACAAATAGTTTATAGATACATGTATGTGCAATTTCTGCCGATTTCATTTTCAACTCACTTCTGTTGTATAAAATTGTAAATAAGAAGTACAGAAATTTTAATCAGAAATTGTTAGGATTCTTATTGATTAATAGACATTTTTGCAAATTTTTAATTATTTTTTTTATTGAGAAAATTGTGAATTGACATGAACAATATACTGAGCAACAGGGTAACAGCAATCATTACTCTAATAACAAACAAAAAGTTCTCTTGCTTTTTTCAGCCTTAAAGGGAAAATACAACATTTGCAAACATCAAAAAATAAAACTACCAAATCATTTTGAAATACCTTGCTGGACTGTTAAAACGACAGTTTATAGCATCTTGTAAAATCATGGCACCTGGTATACTGTCATTTTCAAGAAAAGTGGTATTTTTGTGTCAATTTCCAACGCTGGTCGGCCGACCGGTGTTGGAAAAAAACTGGCTTTTTTTTCAAATACTGGCCCCAATTGACCATCGCACTTGTTTGCAATCGATTACACACCTATGAACGGGTACAAGCCAGCTAGACTGGTTCCCTGACCTTACAATTCCCCAATGTATGTAAACTGCTCTGTTTCTTCTTATATGGAGTCAGGGAACCAGACCACAGGAAAATGATTGTTTTTCTTGGTTTTTATAGCATTTTCGAACCGAAAACCTCAAAAAAGTCAGTGTAACTATATTTGCTATATATTTCCAACCCCCCATTCCATCCATTTCTGAAAATTACAGCAAAAGCAAATAATGTATATTCCCTTTAAAACTGTATTATTAGTATTGTTTTATCATTTCATTTCAGATATATAGGCATGATGGTAATGTTACCAGAAACCACACCCACGCTATTACATGTACCACAATATCCACAAATTATGTGCAAGAATTGGGAGATAAACTTTCTAGACCGTTTGTCTATTTGTTACTAGAAACATGATCTTCAAGTAGACTTGAATCCTGGATCCTGATTGGTCGATCCATGGCAACAAACCGTACTACATTATCCCATGTAGCGTGGTCCATACTGCACTCCGCGTATTACACACCGCTGAAAAGTTTGTGTACAGCATGCGTGTTCCATCTTTACTGTGCGTCAAGTTTGCTTGAAGATAAATTTGTCACCCCACTCGCGCTCGTGGAACACAGACAACGTAGTGCGGCTGCGTCCCACCTACCACTCTGCCTTCAGCCTCGTGGTATGTGGGACACAGAGGCACTACATTATTCCGTGTTCCACTCTTGCTCGTGGTTTATTTAATCAGCCCTAACAGAACTCAACCCATCAAACCCCTAGTGCATGTGTTGTTGGAAGTTAGTCCAGTGTTGTAGTCGAGTACCTTTTTCCGAGTACCGAGTACGAGTACTTGTATTTCCGAATACAGCCATACGGCAAGTGGTTCGTTGTGCGTAGTTGGCCCAGGCCCAGTCAGACCGATATACAGACCCACTCACGACTCACTGTTAACAGGCATGCAACTTTTCCTCGGATCAGCTGATTTCCTCTTTTTTTACTTCCCATGTGTGCCATTGAAAATAGAAAAACACTGTACAAAGTCTGGGAAAAATTTGAATTTCCTCTTTTTTTGTGATTTCCCAGTTGCATGCCTGTGTTAAATGTGTTTGTCTGGACGTGCACAGAGGAAAATCAGGAAACTTTTATTTCTCTGCAAGCCGATCATCCATTTCCAACTGAAAGTATGGATAATAAAATATGGCCGTGGTAAGTCAAGCTATACCATTTTTTTTTTCGAGTACTGCTATTCGAGTATGAGTACTTTGCTGCCAGAGTACGAGTAAAAGTACGAGTACTTTGACATTCGAGTATGAGTACGAGTACTCTGTAAAAAGTACTCGAGTAGTACTCGAGAACAAGTACCGAGTACGAGTACTACAACACTGAGTTAGTCTAAATTTTGTTTGTAATTGATTACACACCTTTGGACGAGTACAAGCCAGCTACATGTAGACTGGATCCCTGACCTTATAATTCTCAATTGGGTTTTTCCTGCATCTATCTAGGAACACAAAACTTTAAACAAGTCAGTGTAACAATATTTGCTATAAAATACCAATCTCTCAAATCCATTCATTTCTGAAAATGACAGCAAAAGCAAATGTTAATGTTGTATATTCATTTTAAGCAATTTGACATTGTGCTTGTGAAAACTTAAAATTGCTTATTGTACCACAGCAATGTTTGTGTCTATATTCAACCCTGTACATATTGAGTTAAAGAAATTAAAACCCTACTTTTTCAGCATCTATTTTTGACTTATTCACAGCAATTTACTAAGATCATATTGGATTTGGCCTTACATGCTAGTCATGTACTTCAATACTTGTAATAAAAAAAATAGCTGAAATAAATGCCAAAAAAGGTTGTAATTTCTCTATGAACATAAATATACACACACATTACAGCAACAATTTCTTAACTTGTAAACACAATATAATATTTTATTTTAACTTGACACAAACAAATTTGTTTCACACAATTACTGTATGTACAAAAATGGCAAGAATTATAGTGCACAAGACGTGTTTGTTTTATTTTACCAAATTGGAAGTGTACCCAATTTTGCAAGGGGTTAACCTTACATTTTGAGTGAAAATTTGACCAAATGAATTTGCAAGGGGTTCATCTTCAAATTTGTTTTCATCTTTCCTGCAAGTTTTAAGGAAGTGGTCCAAATTTAAAAAAATACAAGGGGTTAGCCTTACATTTTATCAAAATTTGGCCAAAAAATGACTTTTCTCCAAACAACGCAGAAATTCCTCTGGAGACGGGTGGAGCATGAATCAATATTCAAACACCCACATTTTGGCAGATCTATGCAGAAATCATCCATTTTTATGGGAGGAAATACATGTAAATAAAAATCATAATTTTGACTGTTTTTACCTCAAATTTTCTTTGCGAAGGCACATCTGTTCCTAAATCCAATTGGAATGTGTTCAGGGTGACCTTAGGCATCTTTCCTGCAAGTTTCAAGGAATTTCATTTTTGGGCCAAAATTGTAAAAAAAACAAGGGGTTAGCCTTACATTTTTATCAAAATTTGGCCAAAAAATGACTTTTCTCCAAACAACGCAGAAATTCCTCTGGAGACGGTAGGGGCATGAATCAATATTCAAACACCCACATTTTGGCAGATCTAGGCAGAAATCATCCATTTTTCTGGGAGGAAATACATGCAAATAAAAATCATAATTTCGACTGTTTTTACCCCAAATTTTCGGCGAAATTTTCCTTGTGAAGGCACATCTGTTCCTAAATCCAATTGGAATGTGTTCAGGGTGACCTTAGGCATCTTTCCTGCAAGTTTCAAGGAATTTCATTTTTTGGCCAAAATTGAAAAAAAAACAAGGGGTCAGCCTTACATTTTTATCAAAATTTGGCCAAAAAATAACTTTTCTCCAAACAACGCAGAAATTCCTCTGGAGACGGGTGGAGCATGAATCAATATTCAAACACCCACATTTTGGCAGATCTATGCAGAAATCATCCATTTTTCTGGGAGGAAATACATGTAAATAAAAATCATAATTTTGACTGTTTTTAACTCAAATTTTCGGCCAAATTTTCTTTGCGAAGGCACATCTGTTCCTAAATCCAATTGGAATGTGTTCAGGGTGACCTTAGGCATCTTTCCTGCAAGTTTCAAGGAATTTCATTTTTTGGCCAAAATTGAAAAAAAAACAAGGGGTTAGCCTTACATTTTTATCAAAATTTGGCCAAAAAATGACTTTTCTCCAAACAACGCAGAAATTCCTCTGGAGACGGTAGGGGCATGAATCAATATTCAAACACCCACATTTTGGCAGATCTAGGCAGAAATCATCCATTTTTCTGGGAGGAAATACATGCAAATAAAAATCATAATTTTGACTGTTTTTACCCCAAATTTTCGGCGAAATTTTCTTTGTGAAGGCACATCTGTTCCTAAATCCAATTGGAATGTGTTCAGGGTGACCTTAGGCATCTTTCCTGCAAGTTTCAAGGAATTTCATTTTTTGGCCAAAATTGAAAAAAAAACAATGTTAGCCTTACATTTTTTTCAAAATTTGGCCAAAAAATGACTTTTCTCCAAACAACGCAGAAATTCCTCTGGAGACGGTTGGAGCATGAATCAATATTCAAACACCCACATTTTGGCAGATCTAGGCAGAAATCATCCATTTTTCTGGGAGGAAATACATGTAAATAAAAATCATAATTTTGACTGTTTTTACCCCAAATTTTCGGCCAAATTTTCTTTGCGAAGGCACATCTGTTCCTAAATCCAATTGGAATGTGTTCAGGGTGACCTTAGGCATCTTTCCTGCAAGTTTCAAGGAATTTCATTTTTTGGCCAAAATTGTAAAAAAAACAAGGGGTTAGCCTTACATTTTTATCAAAATTTGGCCAAAAAATGACTTTTCTCCAAACAACGCAGAAATTCCTCTGGAGACGGTAGGGGCATGAATCAATATTCAAACACCCACATTTTGGCAGATCTAGGCAGAAATCATCCATTTTTCTGGGAGGAAATACATGCAAATAAAAATCATAATTTTGACTGTTTTTACCCCAAATTTTCGGCGAAATTTTCTTTGTGAAGGCACATCTGTTCCTAAATCCAATTGGAATGTGTTCAGGGTGACCTTAGGCATCTTTCCTGCAAGTTTCAAGGAATTTCATTTTTTGGCCAAAATTGAAAAAAAAACAAGGGGTTAGCCTTACATTTTTTTCAAAATTTGGCCAAAAAATGACTTTTCTCCAAACAACGCAGAAATTCCTCTGGAGACGGGTGGAGCATGAATCAATATTCAAACACCCACATTTTGGCAGATCTAGGCAGAAATCATCCATTTTTCTGGGAGGAAATACATGCAAATAAAAATCATAATTTAGACTGTTTTTACCCCATTTTCTTTGAGAAGGTACATTTGTTCCTTAATCCAATTGGAATGTGTTCAGGGTGACCTTAGGCATCTTTCCTGC